AAATTAGTATAATGTAGAAGTGTATTAGAAATGTAGAAGTGCTGGTTATAATATAATATGATTGTTATAGTCGTGTAGAAATCGCTACAACAAGCTGGCTCGCTGGTTATTAAATGATCTTAATGTCACTAATTATGTGTGTAATCTGTAATGCTACCAAAAGCGAAGTTGATAAACTTCGAAGATGAGTGATCTGTCTCAAATAAAAGTAAGCTAAAGTGCCGTTTCCAAGACTAAAAGTAATATTATTCCATAGTAAAAAAAACAAGAAAAGACGCCCAACCGCGACGTGATTAATTTCGTTGTGATGACAGTTGTTACACGTATAGCTATATTAAATACTGGCGTTAAAATTGTTCATGTAACTTGTAACTTCTGAAACCCTTTCTTTCATTTGATATATTAACTACAAACTCGATGGTCATTTAGATATAGCCGAAAGTTGAAGAACCGATTGATTTCCTTTGAGACAATGCGATTATGATACGACATATTTCCGCTTTTGCCCAAATTTCAAAACACAACAACATTCACACACAACACTAAAATAGATTTGCTTGGTGTGTAGGGACACCGCTTTTGATTTTTAGACATTGTCCCCATTATACTTCCTAGACTTTACAGATATTTGATATTCGTTTAAAAGAAAAGCAACAGTGTTGCCGGAGAAGGCTTTACATTATGGTATGGCATTGTTATACGTTATGTATACATTCAGGACTGCTTTAATTTTCATGAAGATGACGAGAGGGAAAAACTCGATTGCTAAAATTCTCGTTATTTCAGTTACGATTAGGTTAAAAAACCTTTATTATAGCTGTCATTACACAAATACTTACATAAAGCGACCACGGACCGGCTGAGGCAGCTGAATCGCCTGACAATTTGCTCGCTGCAATCGCGCCACAGATCCCAGAGACGACAGCAAAACCCAGCAATATACAACCAGTTATTATCGAGCCAACAGCGGTACTTCTTGACATTGCCATGTTGAACTGATTTTCTTCCACGAATTATAATTTAAGCTCTCATTGGGATGATGAAACTACTGGATGCTGATTGGTTGAAGGAAGTAAATTTATTTCTATAATTATACTGCGGCCAATTGTTTTAAAGCCGGTGGGCTTGACCTTGGTTGAGTAATTCTTACACCACTTTTCTAAACTGTTGTTAATGAAATTGAATATTCTTTTTTTATAAATGTTTCCTGGAGATAAGTTATACCCATCCAAGATAGAAGTCTTATTTCTGAAAATTTTGAAACGAAAAGCAGTGCATAGGCATACAAAGCAAAACAATGGATAGTCTTAATTTAACAACCTGCCTCGACACTGAATTTTTTTTTCAAAATCCATGTTATGGAATAGTAAGGAAGTTTATAACATATTCATACTAATTGCTATTTCCATACTATAGATATGGTATAGCATTTTTAGCATGGGTATAGCATTTTTCAATACAGCGGTTCAATTCCCAAACTAAACAAGGTATTTCTATGCTTACGGTATAAAATTTTAAAACTTTTAAAACGCCACATCTGGATTGCTAGAGGCGTCATTTTTATCTGGATTTCTAAAGGCATCATCTTCTAAAAAGGTAGTCCTTGCGGCAAACTTTTATACGATTGTTTTGCCTTTTCCAATATTTTTTTATTGAATGGCGTTCCGGCTTTTAATTTCACCAGGGGGGTTGTCTTATGCTACTAGCATGCACGAATAATGAATGCTACACAAATCACTATGCTACACGAATAATCAATCGATATCGCTACTACAATTAGGGATTCAGAACTTTGACGAAATTTTCAAACATAACTGAAAATGTACTATTATAATCCCTAACATTCTATTATTATTCGTCTCAAACATGCACTCACTATCGCATGATAACCCATGCATACTTGCAGATTGTAATTTAAATTTACAGCTGAATGTAAACTCTTCATAACTATCGTCTTGATCGTAAGTTTGTAGGGTCATACATGTTATCATGCAATTTCTGTAATCGTATAAGTTAAAGCTCATTACCCAACGTTGCATGATTAGTACTAATATTCTAATATTGTAATTAGTACTAATATTATTTGCAAACAAATATTCTTTTTACTGGATTGCTTCATTTTTTAACAATGACAGTCCTCAGCTATGTAAGACCTTCCAAAGAAAGCATTGCAATCAATTCATCCAAAGAATCTGTGTCCTTACCATCGTTGCCATAAACATTCTGCGCCGAAGGAACGGCATCCTCCTTCAAACTGAATGAATAAATGTTAAATTTAAAAAGATTTAATATCACAACTACTAAATTATATTTGGTTTACACCAAGTGTTATACCAAGTGTTAAATTGCAAAGAATCCCTGTATTCAAAAAGTTAACTCATACTCCTTGAGCGTGATATGGAAAATCTATGATTACTTATCAATGTGAGAAGCTTTTCTCGATCATTAGGAAGATTCTACTCAAAGTATAAGAAACTGAAAATTAAGCTCTTATTCAAGTGGAAATACTGCCATGCAGTCTTAAAGACGTGATTCAGATCTTCCAGTGAGTGTGAGTGAGTTTTTGAAATACAGGCGTAAGCTCAGCGGCATAGCCCGGAATTTTTTGACATTTTTTACACCGTTGATCACGATCGTCTAGGTGCTAAAACAGCATATTCCTCCCACGAAAAAACTGGAAAGTGAATCTGACATTTAGCTTACCTCGAGACAGATAGTCGGCGAATTTCTTCAATTTCCTCATAGGTTAATACGATATCTTCACCAATTACTTGAAATGGCGACCAAGCAGATGGTGGGTATTTTTTTCATTGCAACCATCGCATGCCGTAGCGCACTACACACGGAACAGCCGTTGACCATCTTATCGTAAAACTCAATCATGATTTCCATCGTGGCTGCATCGTCGATTTGCCAAAGTGCCACGAGGACGGCACGTGCTCCGGATCCGAGGAACGAACGTGCGATGCCGACGACGCCCTCCGAAGATATTTCACCACGCCACTATCACAGCAACTCAGGACAACAAGACGGGCATTCAGGCGACACCTCAGGATATCTTCAGCAGTTAACAGATATGATGATGGGTGATCTGGTGCTCCGTCATTGGGTGCCAGAAATACTTCTGCGTGTTTAAAATAGCCATGTGATGCTATGTGAACAACGCTCGCATTTCCAATTTCTCTCAGAACTTTCTCTTTGGTAGCCTGGTGTTTTAACAACGGTTGCGCATTGAAATACTTGCTACACTCAATAGCTTCTTGTTCAGCGTTTGGTAAGGGGGGTAGCTTAATACGTTGGCCATCAATTTCAGCCATGTCAATCTCCGGATTTCCTACGAACAAAGCGGGTCCGAGCTGAGCTGGTTGTCTCGATAAACAGAAATTAAGCACGTGCAAAGACGGGATGAATTGTAAGCTGTACTTTTCGCATAAGTAAGTCCCACTAGGATCGAGAAGAGCGGGAAATGGGAGCGTAAACAAAGGTCCCTCAGGAACGATGAGCAGTTTTGAACCATAAAGGTGTTCCTCGATAGGTTGGATTAAGGCAGCGTAGAGGTCTTGCAGGTCAACATTATAGGGAGCGCTCTGGGCTGACTTTTGGTCGAAAGGCTTGGTTTTCGAGAGCATGAATTGTTCACGAAATCCGTGTTTCTAAGATGATGAATCTCAGCTATGTTTTCACCTTCATAATTTTCATTTTCATCCGACATCGAAAACAGAGGGTTGCTTTCTGACAATTCGATATCAGGCAATACTTTGAAATCTTCCCGTAAACTACTCTGCGCAGTTCTGACGTTCAGGTTGCCCTTAAGGCAGGAAATGTGTCGATGTAAGAGTTTCTCATCGATCTTCATGCGGGATCTTATACGACTTGTGAAATACGCCTTGAGAGATCACCCACGAATTCAATTCCCCATTTGATCCAAATGCATACGAAATGATTGCGTCTGCTTGTCGAATTTAATATGTTGTAAACGAATCGACGATTAGATTTTCCAAGCTGCTTGGGATGGATCTAAGGCAATGGTTTCCATTGGATCTTCTTTGTAGAAATTGTCGAAAGGTATATCGTCACACGATTGAACTTTTTTCCAGGTTAGATCACGCAGAGCCTGTGCTTTGCCACAATCGGATACAACAAGGGCTGTCTGCACCTCTTTCAAATTGAGCAAACTTTCAAGCAACAGTTTATGAACGTGGGAGAATCTATTGGACATGGAAACGTTAAACTCATCATGCTCACGTAAGGATTTACGTATGTCTTGAAAATTTATTATTGATTTTGCGAAAAGCGAACATGCCTTGGAAGGATCGGAGTTTATGTAACATTGTCCTAACATTCTTGCGCAATTGCCGTTAATTCTGGACTGCCAAGGTCAGGTCTTGAGATTTCAAGTAAGCGATTAAAATTTTCAATAGCTTTCTCAAATTGATCGTGGTTTTTATGATACTCCCCCAAACCAAGTAAAGCTTTTGCCAACGATGATTTGTCATTAAGCTTCTCGGCAATACTCAAATGTTCAAGATGACAATTGAAGGCCTTCTCAAACTGTTTCATGTTGGCGTACGTAATTCCCATGTTTCCTTGCGCCCGTCCATTTCGAGCTTCGTTACCAAGCTCCTCGGCAATGTCTTTATCTTTACTGTGACATTTCATTGCGTGTTGGTGCTGACCAATTTTGCTGTAGGCATTTCCAAGATTCCATTGGCTCTTCCTATTTCAGCCTTGTCGTCCAACTCCGTGGCAATTTTTAAATGTCGTTGATGGCTTTCAATAGCCTTTCCAATCGACCAACTGCTATATAGAATTTACCCAAATTCCCGTAAGCTCTTCCCTCGCGGGCTTTATCCTGGAGGTTTTCTGCGATTTTCAAACAGCTATTGCAACATTCAAGTGCTTTGCTGTACTGTCCAATCTCGATATAGAAAGGGGCCATGCTTGCCAGGGCATCTCCTTCGTCTGCCTTGTTGCAAAGGTCCCTCGCTATCCTCAGGTGTTCACGAAATTTTGATCTCGCTTCTTGCATATTCTGTCCGAACTCCATGTATGCATTCCCAATTTGTTCCTGAAGCCCGCCCCTCTCCAGCTTTGTCGCCGACCTTTTCAGCAATAGCCAATGCTTTCTTACCGGAATTAAGAGCCTTTTCAATCTGACCACTCAAATAGTACGACTTTGCCATACTTTGGTGAATGCGTCCTTCGGCTGCTTTGTGACCAAGCTGTTGAGAAAGTTTCAATGCTATATTTTGGTACTCAAGTGCTTTTCTGCATTGGCCACTCGCAAGGTAAGTATTTCCTAAGGTCTCGTAAGCACGTCTCTCGTCGCATTCGACATAGTTATCTTCAGCAATCTGCAAGCTCGTCTTTTGAAGGGCAATAGCATTTTCGTAATCACACAGCCCTTTGTAGGCATTGCCCAGGTTTCCAAGCATCTGACCTTTTCGCACTTCATTCCCAAGCTCATTCGTAATGATTCTTTCTTCTTCGTGGTATTTGACTGCCTTTTGATACTGTCCCATTTCCGTTAACATAGTACCAATTGCTCCTTTTGCTCTGCCAATACCCGCCTTATCACCAATTTCTTCAGCAATCCGCATGAATTTCTGGTAATATTCTATTGCTTCATTACACTTACCAATTGCAGCGTAGTAACGTCCGAAATTTTCATTTGCCCGACCCTCTTCCTTTTTGTTTCCAATTTCTTCCGCCAGCTTCAATTCTTTTCGAAAACAAGCAACAGCTTCACGCTGATCATCTTTACCAAGAAGAGCCACTCCGATGTTTCCTTTAGCGCGGGCAATTCCTGATTTATCGTCTAATATTTCAACGATGCTGATTTCTTCCAAAAGAAAACGTTCTGCCTCTATAAATTTGCCAAGTGCCGCGTGAGCACAGCCCAGAATATCGTTTGCTCTTGCTTTGCCGCTATCGTTGTCAGAAATTCCCAATGCTTTACGGGTAAACCTTACCGCTTCTTCATATTGACATCTTGCCAGATGTACTTCGGCTATGTTGCAGTTGGCGTTGCCCTCTTGAACACGGTCACCAATTTTCCTAGCAAGCTCCACGTACTTCTCTTGCATATCAAGAGCTTTTCGATAATCGCCGTTGAGGATGTGGTCATTACATAAACATTCCAAGGCAAAAGCCTGCTCTTTCATTAATTTTTCACATCTCTGTACAGCTTCTTTGTCGTGTAACCTTTTAGCAACAACGCCAGAATGGCAATAGTTCTCAATGGCTAGCAGCCATTGTTCTTTGGCACTGTACGAATTAGCGAGGTTTTCGTATTCACTTTGTTGTCTTTTTTCGTCGGCGAGACTTTTGGCAAATTCTAAATTCTCCGAATGGTGTTTGATGGCATCTTCGTAATCAGTATTCGAAAACAATGCGCCCGCCAAGGCTTCTCGGATGTCTGCTTCTAAATCCACATTTGGATCTGCCAGGCTCTGGGAAAGTTCCAGTGCTTTTTCATAAAACTGAATTGCCTCGGCAATTCTATGTTGAGCAGAGACTGTGTTGCCAAGTTTGTAGTATATTTGGCAACGTTTATCTCTTCCTGCGATGTCAAGGTCTTCCAGATAATATTTATAAGCCTTATCAAATTGATACCTGTTGTAATATTCATCTGCCAATATCTCAAGAACTTCTTCTTTCAATTTAAAGTCGCCAGAATCCACAGCAAGATTCAAACATTTGAAACACGAATCAATAGCATTATCGGAATCACCAATCTCTGCATACAATTTACCTATTTTAAGGTAAACTGTTGCTCTTTCTAAATTGCTCGTCTGCGTACCGACCATTTCTATGAAATACTTGTAAAACTGCAAAGATTTTTCAGGTTGGTTGACCTTTCGGTAAGAATCGCCCAAGACTCGGGACGATTCTAAAATTCCTGCTTTCTCGTTTTTTTCTTCTGCAATTTTCAAACAACGTTGGTGATAAAAGATGGCATTGTCGTAATCTTGGTTCTCATAATATGTATTTCCCATCTTTCTTTCACAATTATAAACTGCTTCGGCATTGTTGAGTTCGTTCGCCAAAGCACGAGAACTGTTGTACCACTTGTTGGCTTTCGACCACTTCTTACAGGAGGCGCAGACATCGCCTAAATTCTCGCGTGTTCTTTGCTCTCGTTTCTTGTCGTTAAGTTTTATTGCGAGGTCCAAACTTTTTTCGTGATACTCAATTGCGCTATCGTAATTGCCATTAGAGTGAAACGCGTTTCCCAACCGTTCCAAAGCACCTACCTCGCTTTCTAGGTCCCTCGAACGTTCGGCGTTTTCCAAAGCCTCGTTGTAGCACGAAATAGCCATTGAGATCTTTTCCTGAACGCGAAACACATCTCCTAGTTTCAGACAAACGCGTCCTTTCAATTTCTTACCTCCTTCGGCGTCAAGGTTGGCAATCACCTGAGCTCTCGTGTAATGCTTTTGCGCATCGTTATATTTAGATAGATTTGCGTAAGCATCTCCTAAATTTTCGTGGACATTTCCTTCTTTTTCCTTGTCTTCCAGTTGTTTCACCATCTCTAAACCTTTAAGATAACACTCAACGCCTTTTTCGTACTCTTTACATTGTACGTAACAGACTCCCAGGTGGAGAATATTTACCTCGGCTATTTCAGATCTGTCACGTTTTTCATCAGCTCTTTTCAAGTATTCTTGGTAACAGCTTATAGCCTCTTGCAGCTCATTAAGTTTTTGGTGCACACGGCCCATGTTTTTGTAGGCTAATGCAATTAAAACTCTGTCATCAATTCTGCGGGCTTTATCTAAGCATTTCTCAAAATATTCGATGGCACGTTTGTATCGATTTTGGGCAAAATTTACTCCACCCAAACGTTCGTACACAAGGGCGATACCTTTTCTGTCTACCAATTGTTCGGCAAGTTCCAAAGACTGCTGGAAACATCCAATAGCTCTCTCGTAATCACCCAACTCTTTGTGAATGCAACCAATACCCATATGTACCTGCTGTTCTATATCCTTGTACATCGAGTCTTTTGAGATTCGAAGACTTTCACTAAAGTTCCTTCTAGCCATTTCGTGTTTTCCCAAACCTTTATAAGCAAACCCTAAATTGCAAATTTCTCTCGCCACTCCATAATTTTCATTGTTTCCCAACTGCGAAGCAATTTTCCAGCTCTTCTCATGATATGGAATGGCTTCCTTGTATTGACCATTATGCTGATAACACGAACCCAAAATAGAATTGACAACTCCATTTAAATCTTCGCCTCCATCGTTCAAAAATTTTTTCATGAAGTTGATGGAACGTTCGTAATCCCCGACGTGAAAGCTCGAGTATCCTATTTGCGCATAGATATTCGTTTCGTGTCGTGTAAATCCTTTCTCTTGAGAGATAGTCAAAGCTTCTTCATAATACTCGAGAGCTTTTCTATGATCCCCTCGGCCGGCGCATTCAATACCCTTTCTAACAGCCTCCTCTACATTCTCTTCACATTGTCCCATTTCATAAAGCTCTGCAGCCCCCCGTGCAAGGAGAGATAATATCTCCATACCTCGTTCCCAATCCCAATGTTGTGAATTAGAGCCCATTATACTTTACGCAGAAATAATGTCGACGAAGATGAAACAACTACTACAGTGTACCTTTATCCGGCTGACGTGTTTCTCAAGTGGCCAGATTTAAGATCAAAGTGATCCTCGCGTTCGCCGTTAATTGTTGGCAAAACCCTACCTAGTAATGAAATTTTGTAAATTTCAGTGTCAGTACTCAGTGAATACTACGCAACCAGTTTCGGCTACCAAGCCACTGTTGTTAATAGCATAGGAAGATAACTTCTTCCAATCTCACGGTCTATCTGCGAATACGGGAAATTATACCTAATACACTTCTGAAAGTTGAAGAGCGGCGATTTAATCCGGCATTGTTAAGAAACAATGCCATTTTATTTCAATACAACACTGTTGCTCACGATATTTGTTTGTTACTAAGAGAAAAACGGTTACTATGCAGGAACATGGTTTATTTGTTGTAAAATAAGGACTTTAAAACGTTGATAAAAAAGTGTCTTTGTTTGGGAGTAATAAAGCCTAAAATTATTCTGCTGAGAACCAATCAGATTGTAGGAAATAGCATTGGCCCGATTTGTACCAGAGACGGATCAACCGTCTGGACGAACTTGGGCAAAATAAATATAGTTCGTCTTCAAGTTCGTCTGTGTGTAAACACAGGCAAACAAAAAACAGATGGATCCTCCGTCAAGGCGAATTATCCGCAAAGTTCGTCTATTTAGACGAAGTTGAATGGGTAGTTCGTCTAGACGCATCGTCCGTTTGTTAGTATGAATACGGAATTACGACGCGGCCAGCTCGACGACGCGCTTGTAAAACAAAGAAACTCTACACGCGAGACAATACGTATGCATAATTTGGTCCCATGACAGCGTTGTCATTCTTAAAGTCTAATTCAACGGAAGCAGTCTTTCTCGGCGAAATGCGAAATATTTCGCCTGTTGCTTTTGAATTTCGACTACTTAACTATTTCGCATTTCGCTTGAAAATTTAGCCCGTGGAACTAGGGCTTTAGCCGCCTTCAAATGTGGCATTTTCACGGCCTCTCGATGACATGAAAGCAGCGGTATCAGCTGAAGCAGCAATATCAGCTAGATATCGGAGGTTTCAAAATGAGTGAATAATCATACAACAAAATAATACCATACAACTGCCCGTAAACTTATAATGCAGCCTTGTTCAGCGTAACTGCTTAAGAGCGTCAGCGAGGCAGCACACTATTCGTGAGTGACAGTTGATTGACATTGACTGATTCTCAGAAGTTCACTCGATCCAGTAAGCGAGCTATATATTGTCAACATCTCGATCTTGTGTCTGTCCTGTATGTATTAAAGTAAGATTATTTTCCGGGGCATGACGTCACATATTAGAATATTCTTCAAAGTGAACGAGAGTAGTTTTTTTGACAGATGAACTCAGAACGTTCACACGTTTTGGTTTAGAATGCAAAAATAATTTTGAGATTATATTAGTAATTTAATGGTTGAATTCACTGCTCTTTCTATAACATGGGACGATGAACTGTTAAACTTGGAACTGAGTAATATGATTATGAACTTAATATGACTTTAATTTTTTTGTAATGAATTGTATATTTGTTTCTGATAATATTAAAATTTCTGATATATTATTTGTATACAGTAATATACTTGCCAACCTTGTAATACTTTAAGCCTTGGTCAAACGGCCGCAATATTTTGTTGCAACAAAATGCAACATGGTTGGCACATGTTGCGGCTTGTTGTCATCATATTCGACCAGACTGGTCAAACCGTACCAATCTTCGTCATGCATCTTTTACATGTTGCCAATCCCGGCATATGTTGCCAATCCCGGCATATGTTGCCTAGGTGAGCAATATGGCCGCCATCTTGTATTCAAACTTCATGCTAAGAACATCTGATGCGCATGCCCAATGACAACAATGTTGTTTGCAAGTGGTCAAACGATCGCAACTCCAGAAATTGTGACAAAATGTTGCGTTAAAATTTGACTGGAGTCAAACTCAACGCAACATGTTCTGACATTATGCAACATTCTGTAAAAGGGTGGTCAAACGACCGCAACATTTTGTTGCAACATTGTTGGACGATGTTGCAACAAAATGTTGCGGCCGTTTGACTAAGGCTTTATACATAAGAGGTCATTGATATTGGTGCGTGCGCTACTTTATGTAATGCAAATTATAACGGATCAAAATTCTAATTGTGGATTAATGTCATGAAAAAACACATTTTCGGGTAACCTATGGTCTTTCAAAAATTTCTGAATAAAACTGTCATTCTTAAATTCATCTAAACATTTTACTGATTTTAGAAATAAACAACTAGGCAGAAGTAAAGATTTTTAATTCAGATCTTCGGCAGCAATTTTTCCTTCTGATAAGAACTTCTAGTTTTTTATTTTGTGTGAGAACTGGGGTCGGTTGTATGAAAGCTAGATAGCGCTATCCACCGGATAGTGATTTTTTCAACCGTTCTAAAAATGCTTGAAGCGCAATAAAATTTCAGCTTTGGAACCAACGATCATTAACGAGGATCCTTAATTTAGGAATACTAAGATTTAATCGAAGTTATACCAAACAACGGGCGATTTTGAGGGGATTGAAAAAAACACTATCCGGTGGATAGCGTTATCCAGCTTTCGTACAACTGGCCCCTGATCATTAATTTTATACGCAGCAGTTACATTGGGAAGCTTACTTTAGGCTACTAATTTATATGCATATATTACCCAATTGTAAGACTTCTTTCAGGCAACGTTAACGTTGTTTTTAAACGATTGCAGTCCTTGTGTTGCGACGCAAAAGCCACCAGAAACGACTATAAAGTTATTATCCTACCAATTTCATAAATCAAAGCGCCAGTTTGGTAAAACAATCCGTGTTTATCCGATTGACCTTTCCTACGCTAAACAACCTTACTGATTACACAATTCGAGTCTGTCGGAATTTTAAATAATATTAGCATACAGATTAGCCCCGAAACATTTGAATGCAATAAATCATCGTGATGTTACACAAGAACGTTGAGCTATTTCTTAAATTATCCAAGGTAGTTTATAGTTCTGGGGCTAGTTGTTCGAAAGGCGTTTAGCTTAATACGGTGGATAAGTTCGAAATGGAAAACAAAATTATCTATTTATTGAACTGAAATATTTCGATGTATGTTAAACTTTCAATGGAAGTGCATATTTAATGCAAAAGATGTAGGTTCATTCATTCACAAGATGTATGAGAATATTTTTAAATTTTGGCTTATCCACAGTTTAAGGCTTTCAGCTAAACGCCTTTCAAACAACCGGCCCCTGTGGTGTGCCACGTTCGCTATATGATTTGCTCTTTGTTTTGTAACAGACTAACAGTGGCATGCAGTCAGTGATTCTAAGCCCCCGCCGTTTAATTTTATTACCCGTTACTTTAAACAGTAGCCGGTAACCACTATTATTGGCCTAATAAACCTACTCACAACAGAGAAGTGCGCTGTGTAAATTTAATACTACGTATGAAGCTACAGTTCCCGATAAACAGCGACGCTTCAACGTTATTTTTGCGGAAGCCCGGAAGGAAGCAGGTCACGTTAGAGCAAGCAGTTGTATTATACCCAGTGATTTCTATTACACTCGCTAAGTACGACACAAATTCGCGGTCCTATAAGGTACAATAAGCGGTACAATAAGCAGTGACCGAGTACAATGGTTCAATCCATCGTATAATATCCAATATAAGTCTCTTGATCAAGCGTAAATACCGACACAGAATGAATATGAGATGATTTTGATCTCACACTCAGCGTACAAGGCAGTAGTGATGAGCTTTTACATACAACAGGCTAAGACGCAAGATCTCTAACAATTTTGCATAATCTTACCTTATCTTATCTTATCGCAGTGACATTCATGCCTCTGCAAGCTGATTATATATAATGCCCTTTAAAATCTTTGATTTTCATGTTCCAATCTCCTATGGTTTGCATATCGTATGTGATTGATAGTGTGAGTTTATCGATCGCGTTCGGGAGCATCGGGAGTCTCCGATTCCTGGAATCGAGGATTCCACGAATCAGGAAATTTGCGAATGCAGATCAGATCAATGCCGTGAGGGGGTAAAGAATTTGAAGCCTTGATCTCACATGATACTAGATAATGAAACAATTATTGGACGAGGCTGAGCATATCAAGAATTATTCAGACCAAGGTCAAGTTATCTGCCTTGATATCATGCAAAAGCTGAATTGTTTTATTAAGACATCAGGGGCCGGTTGTTCAATAAATAGATAATTTGGTTTTCCATTTTTAACTTATCCACCGTTTAAGCTAAACGCCTTTCGAACAACCGGCCCCAGAAACATAGGTATAAAACGATTAAACGAAGTTTATAAATGCTTGATTTATTTTATTTTATTTTATTTCATTAATGTTCATTTTATTTTCGGGCTGTTTTGTATTTAGGTTGTGGGCGCGTCAAGGTCTGGGCACGAGAGAGTCCAAAAATTGTTTTTTTATGCAAGTTCGATCCAAAAAATAATTCTTGGCCGCTGCTCACGTCAGGAGCTGAAACTACGTAATATATAAATAGAGAATTTTGAGAATTAACACTGTGCTTTATGACTAATCAGGAACGACAATACATGAAATATATAATAATAGCAATTAATTAGATAATCTCACTCGTTCTTGTGCGCACCTTATATCAATTATTTTAATCCTTATGCCTTAGGAATGTCTTTTAATCCTTATGCAATTTAGATGCTTGTGCACTTTCCTTTATCCGGTAAAAACGGAAGGCCGTGGGGGCGGGTGTATATTCATACATCCAGGTTTACTGTATGAACAATAGCGTACAAAAGAAATCAGTTGGGCATAAGACGAATATATGAATATACAGCCTCCCCCCAATCACGATTCTAGCTACGGCCCTGAAAAACGGCCAGACCGGCCTGTTCTATGTTAGTACATACAGGTGTTTCATGAACTCTGAACGTCGTTATTTACGAGCACTAGAAATGCGATTTCACCGCTATCTTCCTATTCTTAACGAAATACTCTATTTCAATTCACAATATGACAAGTTTGACCATTTTGGCTCACGAAAGCGCCCTAGGGCTTCAGGTTTATGCTGCCGAACGTCTGCGAGACAGCTAACTATTCTGCCATACTGCAGATGTTTCTCCAGTGTTCATCATAACCAGTCTCTTTCACTGGCGTAGCAAGACGAATTAGTCCAGGTAATTGGTCCCGGTATACAAATAATTATCATCATTCTTTTCTTCAGAAATTCTCCAAACTTGATTCTCCAAGCAAATTTCTTCAAATTGAACTCCAAACTTTCAGCATAGCGGGACCAAATCGTTAGGCTGAACTGAAAAAGCTTTATAGATGTATTCAAAAAGATTACTGTGGCTACACCTCTCATTTTTGGCGTTTGCGATTTTGTAATGAATCCATCCCTGGCCATGATTGAATACATGTTGTCTACTAATTGCAAATACGGAAATACCCGGATAAAAATTTCAAATTCCAAATTTATTCCTATCGATTTGGTGCGTACATAGCTGTGCTTCACATGTTTTTTGGCGTAGCCATGCTAGAATCACATCATGCAAATTTTTAGTTATTGTTCATTTCTTTACAAATTGACTGTTTTTACGGTCAGTGAACAATAAAATATTAGCATGAAAAATTCAAATCACCCATAACAATGTAATAGTTAGAGTTAATATGTCTAAGCACCCTGTAGGGACCCTTGTGGGTCAATCAACGTAAAATTTTTGTATTTACACAGTAATCATACTCAATGATCTATCGTATTGGTCACCGCCGTCGTCGTGTTTCATCCTACATGCTCAAGGTCACTTCTGGAGAATGTTTATTTGGAGGCAAGCCAGTCAGAATACTCGGGCTTCAGAATCCTACGACATATAGCCCAAAATACCCGCTTTTGGTAAAGGTAACTACACAAGTGATTATTGAAAATTCTGGCCTCTGATTGGTCGAACGACCTTAGATTATTACGCGTTAATCACCTAAGCAGATTTTTTTAAAATGCCGGCGAGCTGTTTCAAAGTGGATTTGTTTTTGCGGCACTTGTGCTATTTTAGTGGTCTCTGCTTGCACTCAAAACTATACAGTATTACCTATACTAAAATGTATTTCCTAAAACAGACCTCGGCTTCGTTTCGGTTTTTATAATCGGCGAAATTCACCTCGAATAATTGTTAATTATAATTGAGAGGTAAACCTAAGTCCGTTTGTTGTGCTATGAAGATTTCTTTAACCATTAAATCTGCTTCTGTTTATCCTTACGTCAAGTTGAACCTATAAGCATTTTTGTTGGCTCCATTACATGTACCGTTAGGCTTAGAAAGCAGTGTTGTGGAAGCCTGGTATAACTGGCTGGCTTTCTTCCTGGGAAACCCAATAAACACCCTCTAGATTCGCACCTTATCCACAGGTAATCTACCTCACGAAGTAGTAAAAAATTGTAAAATTAGGTATTAAATGTAAGCAATTTTCTATTGGTATTTAACATTTCCCAGTATTTTCCCCAGTATTAAACAAACTTTTCATTCTTTGAATACAATTTGTCCAAAGTCATGATTTCTTTTTCCATTACCTTATCTAAAAGAGAATGAGAAAATTAATGCCCTGTTCGCCCGGGATTATTGACATTCCATATCTGTATTTTGGTTTTCACAAAAATGCAAGCTCCTTTTATACAGTATTGTCCAGAAATAACTTAACACTGCAGTTGCAGTTCGGTCGCAGTTCGCTTGCGGTCGACCGATAAAAACCGCAAACGACCGCAAGAGATAAAATACGATCACAGTTGCCGTTCGCTTCCGAACGGAATTCTTTGAACAGCCGAGAACGGCAAAACGAAAACAAATTAAGACATGTCTGTCAGACCGGTTAGGCCGAGGTTAAACCTCCGTCTCACCGCGGTTCGACCTCAGTCTGACCTCAGTGCAACGGCGATCAGACCGAGGTGTGACCTAGGTTAACCGCGGTTTTTGTTAGTTTATTTCTAGACAGTAGTTTATGTACTAATTCTTTTTAGGGCCTAAAAATGCCCCATTCATAGTTCAAGCTGGCAGAGCCAAACGTTCTTCGTTTCGTTTCGTTTCGCAGAGGTTGACAAAAATCGTAATTCATCGGGTCAAATCATTGGTGTTCATACAAACAAACCGCAACACAACAGCCGACGATATAATAGCTAGAGTATAATAGAGTAAGGTGTGACTGATGTATTTACAACGCACACAAGTCACCGGACGAAGTATAGCTCGAAATTATTTTGTAAAAATAATTTTAAAAAGCGAGGGTTGCACCCGAAAAAGCGAAGGTTGCGGGCTGTTAGATGTAGTATGCATCCTATATGTTTCTATTATTGTTAAAAAAGTCTTCTTTCCTGGAAGATTTTGTCTCACTCTTACCGTAAGGCAGATAGCTGGCGAATTTCTTCAATTTCCTCACGGCTGAACGTGATATCTTCACCTACAACTTGAAACGCCGCCCATGCACTTGGTGAGCTGTATTTTATCTTTAGCGCAACCATCGTCCGCTGTAGCGCGCCACAAACCGAAAAACCCATGAGTATTTGACAGTAAAACTCGATCATGAATTCCATCGTAGACAGGTCATTAATTTGCCAAAGTGCCACGACAACAGCACGTGCTCCAGATCCGAGAAACGAACGTGCGATGCCGACGACTCCCTCCGAAGATATTTCGCCTCGGCCACTATCGCAACAACTTAGGACAACAAGACGGGCATTCAAGAAACAACGTTGGATATCTTCAGCAGTTAACAGATACGATGAAGGATGGTGTGGTGACCTTTCATTAGGGGCTAGAAATATCTCTGCGCGTTTGAAATAGCCATGCGCTGCTATGTGGACAACACTTGCGTTTGCCATTTGCTTCAAAACATTCTCCTTAGTGGCCATGCGTTGCACCAACGGTTGTGCCCTGAAATATTTACCGCACTCGATGACTTCTTGCTCGGCGTTTGGTAACTCCTCTAACTTAACAGTTTGCCCTTCAACTTCCGCTATTCTTATCTTTGGATTCCCCACGAATAAAGCGTGTCCAAGCGCAGCAGATTGTCGTGATAAACAGAAATCTAGAAAGTTCAAGGAAGGAATGAACTGTAAGCTGTACTTGTCGCACAGATAGTTCCCACTGGAGTCCAGAAGGGCAGCAAATGGGAGCGTAAACAACGGGCCTTCGGGAACGATGAGCAGTTTTGAACCGTGCAGGTGTTCCTCAATAGGTTGGATTAATGCAGCGTAGAGGTCTTGCAGATCAACTTTATAAGGTGCATTCGGTGGCAAAATATTAGGTTTCAGTGGGGATTGGTTGTTGCCAGGATCGTTTTTCTGGAAAGAATTACCATTGGCTGACTTTTTAGGATAATCTTTTCCTCCACTTAAAATTTCGTCAGTCATCGAGAATACAGGATTGCATTCCGTCATCTCGATTGCGGCGTATGCAGCCCTGTCGTCCTCCTGCGAGGTATCTTTCTTCGCATTTCGCAAGCCAAGGTGTTCTTTAAGAAGAGAAATGTGGCGGTTTGAAAAATCTTTCATCGACATTTTGTGATCTATTTTTAATCGCTTGTGAGATACGCCTTGAGAAATCACCCACGAATGCAGTTCTTCATCTTCTCCAAATGCGTACGAAATGATTGAATCAGCTTGACGAGAATGGAGCACGTTGAACAATGAATCGTTGAGCAAAGTTTCCAAGTTGCTAGAGGATGGATCTTTAGCAATGGTCTCCATTGGATCAAAGGAAATAAACGGAAAAACAATACTATGATTACTCATCTTCCATGTTAAATCACAAAGAGCTTGTGCTTTACCACAATCTGACACAACAAGGGCTGTAATTTTGTTCTGTAAATTGAGCATACTTTCGAAAAGCAATTTATGAACGTGGGCATTTCTATTGGACAGGGAAATATTGAATTGATCCATATCACCTAAGGAATTGCGGTTCCTCTTGAAATTTATTATTGATTTAGCGAAGAAGGAACATGCCTTGGGAATACAGGAGTGTCTATAACATTGCCCCAGCATTTCCTGTGCAATTGCTGTTAATTCTAGGCTGTCTAGATCGTTAGGCAACGAAATGTCAAGCAGTCGATTCAGTTTTTCAATCGCTTCATTGAAATGGTCATGGTTCATATGGTACTCCCCTAAACCAAGCAAAGCCCTTGCCAATGATGATTTGTCATTCAGCTTCTCAGCAATATTCAGACGCTCAAGATAACAGCGATACGCTCTCTCAAATTGTTCCATGAGGGCGTACGTATTTCCCATGTTTCCTTGCGCCCGCCCAACTCGTGCTTGGTTGCCAAGCTCTTTGGCAATGTCTTTGTCTTCACTATGACATTTCATTGCCTGTTCATGCTGACCATTTTTGTTGTAGGCATCCCCAAGATCTCCATTAGCCTTTCCTATTTCTGCCTTGTCGCCCAATTTCCTAGCAATTCTTAAATGGTCCTGGTGGTTTTTAATAGCTTCTTCATATTGGCCAACTGCCATATAGAATTTACCCAAATTTCCGTAGGCTCTCCCCTCCCTGCCTTCGTCCTGAAGACTTTTTGCGATATCCAATGACCCATGACAACATTGAAGAGCCTTGCCGTATTGTCCTATCTCAATTAACACAGCAGCCATGTTTGCCAGGGCATTTTCTTCGTCAGCCTTGTTCGAAAGGTCTTTCGAAATCCTCAAGTATTCACGACAATTAAAACTTGCCTCTTGCTTATTCTGCCCGAACTCCACCAATCCTCTCCCCATTGTTCCTAAAGCCCTTCCCTGTCCGGCTCTGTCGCCAACCTCTTTGGCAATAGCCAAAGCTTTCTTGCATAAATCAATAGCCTTTCCAATCTGACCACTTAAGTGATACGACTTTGCCATATTTTGGTGAATTCGTCCTTCGGCTGCTTTGTGACCAAGCTGTTGAGAAAGTCTCAATGCTTTATCTTGGCATTCAAGGGCTTTCCTGTACTGACCACTTGCAAGGTGAGCATTTCCTAAATTTTCATAAGCACGTCTTTCATCACCTTGGACATGGTTATCTTCAGCAATCTTCAAACTCTGCTTTTGGAAGGCAATGGCATTTTCGTAGTCACACAGACTTGTGCTTGCTTTACCAAGATTTCCAAGCGCCCGACCTCTTCGTACTTCGTTTCTAAGCTCCTGTGCAATCATTTTTTCCTCTTCATGATATTTTATTGCATTTTGATAGTGTCCCATTTCGGTCAACATCATTCCTATAGCTCCTTTTGCTCGGCCAATTCCTGCCTTATCGCCAATCTCTTCAGCAATCGACAAGAATTTTTGGTAATATTCAATTGCTTCCTTACAGTTGCCAATATCTGCGTGATAACTGCCGAGATTTTCATTCGCTCGGCTTTCTTCCATTTTATCATGGATGTCTTCCGCAAGCTTCAATTCGATTCTAAAGAAAACAACAGCTTTTTCGGGATCACCTTTACCAAGCAGAGCCACTCCGACGTTTCCGTTTGCACGAGCAATCCCTGATTTTTCACCTGATGCTTCAACAATACCGATTTCCGTGCGGTGGAAACGCTCTGACTCTATGTATTTACCAAGTGCCGAGTGAGCACAGCCCAGAATACCGTTTGCTTTCGCTCTTCTGGCGTCGTTCTCAGCAATTTGCAACGCACTACGACTAAACCTTACCGCTTCCATATATTGACCGTTGGCCATATGTACTTCCGCTATGTTGCAGTTGGCGCTTCCTTCTTGAGCGCTGTCGCCAATCTTTGTGGCAACTTCCAGATATTTTGTTTGCATCTCAAGAGCTTTGTCGTAGTCGCCATTGAGTGTGTATTTATCGCAGGAATTCTTTAGCGCTCGAGCATTAGCTTCGATAAATGCCTCGCATTTCTGTAATGCTGCTTCATCGTTTGCGACAACACGGGAATGCCAGTAGTTCTCTATAGCCATTACCCATTCTCCATTAGCACTATACGCGTTAGCTAAGCTTTGAAAAGCCCTCTGCTTTCGTATGTCTTTTTCCAGAAAATTGGCAAATTCGACATGCTTCAAATGGTATTCGATCGCATTCTTGTAATCAGATTTGGAAAAATACGCATCTCCTAGTGCCTCGCAAATGCTTGCTTCAATTTCCATATCTGGATCTGCCAGATCTTGAGCAAGCTCCAGTGCTTTGAAATAATTTATAAATGCCTCATTGAGGTTATTTAGGAAAAAGGCTGTTTTTCCGAGCTTATAATATATTTGGTGTTGTTCATCTGGTCCGGCATGATTGAGATGTTCCCGATAATGTACTAGAGCTTCTTCATAATCGTGTTTGTCGTAATATGCATCTGCCAACAACCCAAGCGCTTTTCTCTTAAACATATTGCCACCAAGATCAAAGCATTTCTGATAGAAGGAAATAACTTTTTGTGGGTCGTTATATTTTGCACATAATTCTCCTACTTCGAGAAAAACAGGAAGTAAAAAAGCAGTAAGTTCTGAGATGTTTGTCTCTGAATCAGCTAACTTCTCAAGATATTGGTCATAGAATTCCAGAGACCTTTGTGGTTGATTAATGTTGGCGTAGGAGGAAGCAATGACTCTGTACGATTCCGCTATTCGTGATTTGTCTTCCAATTCCTGAGCAATTTCTAAACAGATTTTATGATGAATAATAGCATTGGCGTAATCGTCGTTTTCCTGACAATTATCTCCAATGATTTTTCGCACCTGATACATCGCTATGCGCACTTCTGTATTCTTTTGTTCGTCATTTTCAGCAAGATCTAAACAGCTTTTATAGTAAACTAGTGCTTTGTCGTAATCATTGTTTATCTCGCAAATTTCACCCAATTTTTTTTTCAATCGATAGACTGTTTCCATGTCTAGGTCCTCTTTTGCAATCGAGCAGGAACTACTGTAGCACTTGTTGGCCTCAGACCAATTCTGTAAGGCAAAGAAATCATCTCCTAAACACTCGTGTGCGTCTTGTTCTCGTTTTCTGTCATGTTTTGCGAGTTCCAAACTCTTTGTGTGTTTATCTATGGCTTCTTGGAAACTGGAATCACTGTGAAACGCGTTTCCCCACCCTCTATAAGCATCTGCAAGGCTTTCTTTATTTTCTACATTTTGAGCAATTTCCACTGCTTCGTAGAAATACGGAAAAGCTTCTGTGGGGTTCTCCTGAACTAAGAATAGATTTCCCAATTTAATATCCACGCGGGCTTGCAATTCTCTATTTTGCTGGTCGTTTGCAATTTGTAGTGCGTCTTTGTAATGCTTTTCCGCCGCTTGATATTGATAGTCATTGTGATAAATGACTCCTAAACACTCATATATTTCACCTTCAGTGTTCTTGTCGTTAACCAACTCCAAACTCTTGCGAAAGTGATCGATGGCCGTTTCGTATTCGTTGCTTGACGTGTAAGCCTTGCCCAATTTTAAATGCAAATCAGCTAGTTCAGTTTGTTCATTAGCAATAATCATACATTGCTTGAAACTTTCAATAGCTTTTTTCGGCTGGCCATCATTCGAGTAAGAACCTCCCAAATTTTCGTACGCTAATGCGATCAGTGCCCCATCCCCAGCTTTTTTGGCATTCTTTAAGCATTTTTCGTAATTTTTTATTGCAGGTTGGTACAGGCATCGGATAAAATCAATCTCCCCCAATGCGCAGTATGCGCTCGCAATTTTCGTATTGTCCTTTAATTCTTTAGCCAACTGAAGAGAACGCAGATAAAAAGTAACGGCCGTCTCGTGTTCATTCATATTTTGGTATACACAACCAAGCTGGTAATTTACAGCTTGTTCGACATCTTGAAATTTTCCATCTGAAATTCCAATGGTTGTGTTTAAACTCTTTATAGCCTTGTCATATATTTTTTCTTTCGAGTACGCAATTCCTAAATTAGCGTTGGTTTCTGCGACTTTCTCAATGTCACCCAAGTGTTGAAAAAGCTCCAAGCACTCTTCATAGTATGGAATGGCTTTCTTATATTGATCAATAGAAGAATAGCAAAGTCCTAAATAATTCATTGCTAAAGCTTTTTCAGCTGGATCGTGACAACCAAATCTTAAAAACTCTATGAGGTGTTCCATCGAAAGTCGGTATTTTCCATTTTGATAGTACAATTCTCCTAATTTGAGATAAGCTTCTCTTTTTTCATCATTGTTGCCATGTCTTTCCGCTATTGCTAGGGCTTCTTTATGATATTCGATTTCGTTAAAATGGTCGCCTGTTTGGTCATATTGATGCGCTACGGTTTCTGGAAGTTTCTCTTCAATTTGAATTGCTTCATCAAACTTATCTGCCAATCCCAAAGTAATTTCAGAAAAATCCTTTTTAAACGCTCCCCAGATATCTTTAAGCGCCATCTATATAATAGTGACAAACCACCTTATATGTTTAATAATGTAGAGTAGTCTTACGTCGAGAGAGCACTACGGATGATCACGGTGATAATATTAGTTTAAGGGGGTACACTACAAAGAAATAGGTCAGCTAAGCGTACATGTATTTGAACATTATTTGTTCTTCTCTTGTGCATGCAGTAGGTGATACTCCTAGCCATATTGTACATAATCAGAATTAAGATTGATCAAAATATATCTGGAATTTATTTATTTTATTGGCAAAGTGGACATCAAATTACTTAATTTGCACAGTGCATATAAGGGACAAAAATAGCATCCATATACCTGTAAAGAACAACCAAAACAAAAGTAATACTTAATTCAATTTATTGGTGCGGGATTGCTAAAATCCAGGCTTGACCTTTGTACTGGAAGCCTGTGAAAAGATAAAAATGGGTGTTGGGCGATTTTTAGCTGTGGTGTGCAAAATTGTGTGTAGTGCAAACAGAGCTAAAAATGACAATGGTATATAATTTTAAAGGACAATGCTATCATATACTATTAACTTTATGAGGGATCCAGTGTAACACCTGTAATATTAAGTAACATCACCAACAAATTTCAAACATTTTTCTATACAATGAATGTAAGGGTCAAATGGTTTTACTCTACCCAATTATGTCATTAAAATTGTAGCAAAATAGCGCTAACTCAAAATAAATATTTGGTTGCGATACGGTTTTATATTTTCTGAAATTCGAAACATTGCGATTCAAACTTACTAAGTGAAAAGTTAACATAGTCTGACTGGAGCGTTGGACTAGAGTAAAATTAATAATGCAAATAATGTTAACTGCCTGGAATCTGATGAAAGATATTTTGACAAAGGTCAAAGCATACGTATACCTGCATGGTAATTGGTAAACCATTTCCCTGGGACCGGTTGTATTAAACTCTTAGCTTTAACTACATATTCGTAGTTAAACCCTACTTAACTCGGAAATACACAACTCTGATTGCCCAATTCTGTCTTAACTACAGTAAAAAGTAACTAGTTCTTTATACAAATTGCCACCCCGGCCGGCTTATCGAGTAAAATCAAATAAAACTTCTGTTCTAATATTAGTTTCGGAAAATAAAGCTTAATTACACTGACTTTCAAGCGTATGACTGTTTGAGAGGTAAAATTAATTCTTGGGTATATAAGAAACGCAATGAAGTGGGCAAAAAAGCCTCAATATCACAAGCTTCTGCTGAAATTTTGGAATGCAATTAAACATAAAAAAATTCGGGATACAATTAAGAAAATTTACCCCAACAAACCACTCAGGCCCCATCCACACGATGCCGGAAAATATGAAAACGCAAGAATATTTTTACGCCGGCTTACGCGTATCACGCGCAAATATGACGTATCTGCATTTTCGCCCACGGAAAACGGAAGAATCTGAGGAATTTAAAAACGACGGCTGAGCAGATACCCGTGGACACGTGAAGTTCGCCCCTAACGGCTGCTTTCCACTGTCGCGTTTTTTTTACTTATTTATACGCACGTAAAAGCATAGGCAGCCAAAAATTGGAGTTGTTTAGATTAAATAAATCAATTCATACACACTAATCCTTCTATAGCTTGCGGCAAGGCGGCGTTGCTGTGTTTGTGGCACGATGGTCTGTCCAGTCTCTCGCGACGTCCGCGTAGTCCCATCAGTTTAATAAATTCCAAAGGTTGACAACTCTTGACGATAATTATTATGTAAACCAATCATTCACCGTTAACGAAAGCACGTTAAATATCTTAAAAACAAATTGCAATAACATAAAAAAACTAAAGCATATTGATCATGAATAATCTTACTACATTCACATAAATTTTCCCGTTTTAAATCCTTTTAGAAGCGAAAGTTTATGTGGGGGTTTTTAATTTTTTTTTTAAAACCCATCCTTGGGAATAAGACTGGAATGCTCACTCTGTCGGAGGTTTGAAGCCAAGATGGGGGACACTGAAGCCTTTCTTGTAGGTATGACCCAGGCCTCCACGCGGAAATTTCGTAGGTAAAATGGCGGCAATTTTTATTTTTCCTTTAAAATTTCCGCCCCAGAGGCCTGGATCATACCTACAAGAAAGGCTTCATGATCCGCCATCTTAGCTTCTTTCACTCAACCTCCAAAGGCCCCAAAACTTTTGCTTTTTTCACATGCGTCTGAAAGGATTTAAAACGGGAAAATTCGTGTGAATGAAGTAAAATCATTCATGATCAATATGCTTTAGTTTTTTTTTTATGTTATTGCAATGTGTTTATAGAAGACATTTAACGTCCTTTCGTTAACGGTCAAAGTTTGTTTACATAATATCGCCGAGAGTTGTCAACCTTTGGAATGTATTAAGCTGATGAGACTACGCGAACGTCGCGGAAGATTGGACAGACCATTGTGCCACAAACACAGTAACGCCGCGTTGCCGCAAGCTTTAAAAGGATTAGTATGTCGGTATAAAATTGATTTATTACTCCGGCGTCAGCGACGGAGTTGAAAATTCGCCCCAGTTTTGTTTTATTTTTTTTTTGTTTTTTTTTTATTTTTCGTCGTCGCAAGTCTGTAATGGCGCGAAATAAACTAGTATTTAAATTGTGTATGTGACCGTATTTATCTACGTCCCAGTCTTATCTCCCAAGAGTTGTGGTGCAGCTTTGGCTAATTTTCCAATGCGCGATTCGATTTCGCTCGCATGATACGCCAATTCCTCCAAGAGGAACAAATAAACCGTTCTTTTCATGCTGTTCCGCCTGTTCGATTAAGTTTAGATTGAATTGGGGTAAGAATATAGCCCCGTTTACACTACACTCGATTTATTGGCACGGCACGGCTAAAATGGGTACCCGTGCCCATTTCATCTGTTCTCGGCCTTTGTTTTGGTAGCTTGAACACTATTAAAATTGAGCACGGGTACCAATTTTAGCCGTGCCGTGCCGATAAATTCAGTGTAGTGTAAACGGGGCTTATATTCAATACATGTACACCCGGTCCTATTTTAATAATATCGCTGCTATTTCGCCGTTTAACAAGATGATGTGGTTGTGTATGGGCGCGTTGACACGTCGCGTAGTTTGCACAGGATCGAAGATTTAATACAACTATATAAGCGCGAATTCCAAAGGCAAAGTGTAAGACGAAGCGAATGTATCATGCGGTTTATTTACCTTTTTGAACAATTGAATTTCTATATTGCGACGTGCTTCTGAATTTCGCGATCGAACATCATCTAAATGCGCATATGTATGCGAAACAATACGCGAACTGTATTGTTTATGTTCAGACTTCAGAAGCTCTATATTGAAGACTGGCACGTGCGCCGGAGTTAACGCCAGAACGGCGTCTTGTTTTCTCTAAAAAAACACCAATTTTGGGTCCCCTATGGTAAAAGTCAAATATTATTTAAATTATACTTATGACATCTACGATTGAATAGATGCATAGGGTTGCATTCTGTTGATAATTTGGTGTGCTTTTTTCTGGCATAAGATTAATAACTCAGAGAGTTTTAAGCTTTTACGTGCGTGTTACTATATACGTACAAAAACCGCGACGGTGAAAAGCAGCCCTAAAGGTTGTTTTCCACTTACGTTTTCCATATACGCACATAAGGTCAGGCGAATTTTGTCGTATGACTAAATCATTAATTCCGTGTGCGATGTCATTTTTAAGGCATTTTAGTCGGCAGACTGCCATCGCAATATATCAAAACAGTTTGATATTTGTCGATTGAAATTGCCCGACTAAAACCGTACGACAAAAATCGCGTCGATACATTCTGATAAATTATACAGAACAATACAATAAAATAATTAAAATATTCAGGATCGAATAGCATTTTATTTATACGTTAACATGTATGTAAACATTACTGATTAGAAGTACAATTGCGCAAAAAGGCGCAAAGAAAATTTTAGGAAGATAAAAATATAATAAAATAAAAGGAAAATAAAAATATAATGATCATTCTTTTTGCCATGTCTGTCTGATTAATTAAAGGCATAAAACCTTTTTAACAAGTCCACATCACCAGAAATCATAAGCATTACTAAAATTATGCACTCGCCCCATTCCTCTCGTTTTGGTGGCCGTGACACATTTCATACAGGAAAAGTATTGAGCTGAACATGTTTATTCAATTATTTTGCATTTAAACAAAAAACTTAAAAGTTGAACTTACATCTTGAAAGATGGATATGATTCGAAGATACTGCCATACTGGTGTAAACATGGGCCGAACATGTTGAAAAGCGACCTTGATTCTCTCCGTTTAAAAACTATTTATCGCTCCTGTGACTCTGTCAATGGACGACTTGCGCTTTAGACTAATTTTTGATCGAAGTAACAAGAAGAAAATATATCATCACAGTTACAAAAATCTTACTTAAATTAGTGCAAATGCTAAGTTTGGCTGCGAAATTTTGTAGAATATGGAAAATTTAGCCATGCGAAGTTGGCATTTTTTTATACTTTTGTATTACGTGCGGAAACTGTGTAACTAAAATTTTTAGTCAGAAACTTCCAGCCGTAATACAAAATATACAAAATTCGTGAACTTCGCATGGCTATATTTTCCGTAATTTACAACTTGGCAGTTTTACTAATTTTAGTAAGCCGTTTGAGAAAATGTCCTTTTTACCGTCGAGGCAAGAAATTATTCTAAAGCGCAAGTCGTTCATTTGACGCGCAATGGAATATTCTAATTATAATACAAAATGTTATCAAATAACCAGAAAATCTGGTCAAATTTAACGAACACATGGCCCTAAAGAGGAATGTTGAACTTGGGTAATTGCAAACGAACTTAATATTGCACTCCATTCGAGTTACTTTTAATATGCTTTTGAAACCTAGCTTTTTCCGGTTGAAAATTGCGTGTTACATTGTGTTTCTGGCCTTGCGTTTTGCCACAACAGGAAAAAGAAAAACGCAAAGTTTTACAAAGTTTTCAGTTGCTTGCGATTCAGGAAAGCCACAAAGATGTGCCAATTGGACGCTGGAAATGCTATATATAATTCAACATTCCGACAGACAAGCCTGGGCATGTCATCTCACGCAACCTAAGCGACATTTGGGTTCGTCTTTCCTGTAATACCTCGACTTGCTCGACAGTCGCCGTTCCCTTCACTAGTGTGGTATCAGACAATTATTTCAAAAATTATTACTGATTAATCCGATGTATCGATCAAAGAATTAAAAATTGCCCTTGTGCACGTGGATTCTACAATAATAACTCTGGCGCCAGCGACGGAGTTAAAAATTCGCCCCGGTTTTGTTTTGTTGTTCTTTTTATACTAGAATTTGAAATGTGTATGTGACCGTATTTATCTGCGTCCCAGTCTTACCTCCCAAAAGTTTTGGTGCACAGCTTTGGCTAATTTTCGATGCGCGATTCGATTTCGCTCGCATGATACGGCAATTTTCATGCTGTTCGATTAAGTTTAGAACGAATAGAGGTAAGAATATATTAAATACATGTAGATTCTGGTCCTATTTTAATAATATCGCTGCTATTTCGCCATTAAACAAGATGATGTGGTCCTGTATGGGCGTCGTAGTTTGCACAGAATTGAAGATTTAATATAACTATATAAGCGCGAATGCCGAAGGCAAAGTGTAAGACAAAGCGAATGTATCAGGCGGTTTATTTACATTTTTGAACAATTGAACTTCTATACTTTTTAAAGTACGATGCGCCTCTGAATTTCGCGATCGAACATTTAGGTTCGCAAGGCATCTAAATGCGAATATGAACTGTATTGCTTATGTTCAGAAGCTTTATATTGAAGACTGGCTCGCACCGGAGTTAACGCCAGAAGGCCCAGAACAGGCGTCTTGTTTTATAGATTTCTGCGAAGCAGGGAGGAAACGGCTTCGTTTCCCCCCACAATTTTAGTTACTAGTTGAGATTCGCAAAGGTTGGCAAAAATTTGCAAGAACTTTCGCATTTATTTACCTCATATTCCAATGAATTAGTCCGCTTTATGATTAGTTCATCTGTGTTTCGCTTTAGTATCCCTTCAGATAACTTTTCGTCTTCGTCTTTCAAAATGGCTTCCGCATTTGACGCTTTGCTTTGAAAAATAATTTCCTAATTCCTATATATTTATTTCATCAGGCATCGTGTTACACTCGCGTGATCAAAACAATGAGTCAATTGCAAGCGCAAAGTGAACGATCGTTGGTACTGTAGTTTCCTTAAAATAACTAAAAACTTGGTGAGATACCCAAGCTTTTGGTCGCTTATACCATAGACAATCCAAAAGACAATCCAAAGATGTCTTTTGGATTGTCTATGCTTATACCTAATAGAATTTATCGAGAAGGGATGAATCTGAGACAACCACTATTAAATTAGTTGTTTAATCAATCTATTTTTACACGGTAATTAATACTTTTTCTGCCAACTTGGACAACTTGGGTAGTTCGGTTTTTAGTTTCAAAATCGGAGCACTGCCCGCTTATTGTGTGAACATTTATATACTTGTCTACGCAAGCAGGTAGTACGCGGAATTGTTCTACAAGTGCAAATTCTGTTTTACGTAATAATTATGTTGTCTTTGAATATACATAGCTAAACGTCAAGTTTATAAAGTATGGGGTAATTATATAATGCTTATATTTACATAATACTGTAAAAATTATTGCGCTCGTCTAAGCTACTACGTCTACTATTGTTCATTTTTCTTATCTTCATTTAATGTCTCTTGGGTTTTTCCAAAATCACTTGCATTAAACCAACCGAACAAACAGCCGGCTAATACAACCGGATTTTTATGACCAGCTTCTAGAGCACTTCGTGTGGCCGCGACCCTCGTCATTGTGGCCTGCAGTTGAGCATTGGACTGCTGCCGCTGACCAGTTTTACAGTAGTAAGCAAAATCTTCGCAATTATTACCCAAGATCTGATATTCTCCAAATCCATTTTTAAGACACTCGGTCACACGCTCCAGCACTTTCTCAGTGCCTTCGCACTCCTGTGCGCAGTAGGTACCAGGCCATTGAAGGTTGTCCGTGCCTTCGGGTACGCCATATTTGTACACCCCGAATGGATAATCTTTCACGAAATCTGAAACAGCGATCTGCTGGACGAGACCATTGCTTTCGCAGTGACCATCTAGATGGCTTATGAAATGAGTGATTGTATTTTTTCCGTCGACGATGCCTGAAAAAGTTTAAAATTTGAGGTTTCTTTCCTGGCTCGTGGGTTGTAATACCTCTCGGAATGTAATCGAGTGAATGGTGGAACAATTATAACTTCCTCATCAGCGAATTAACATAACATGCACGACGAAAATGAACCAGCGAGTTCTGTTGGAACACTAAACTATTTTTCACGCTAGTAAACTTTGCAAATTATCTTTTCACAATTTCTTACGGTGGAAATAAGTTATTTTGACAGGAAAATTTTATTTAAAATATATACTGTATGCGTGCATTTCTCATCGTTCGGATACATCAAAAAAACAATATGCATGTAGATTACTTCCATAATATACAGATGTTTTAAATATTCTTCATGTAAATGCACAAGCATTTTATCTTGTTTTGGTTACTATATAAAGAACGCGAATTCTTGGATTCCACAAGACAAAAAATATGACTTATTTTAAAGTAAAAATGACAAAACTTGTGAGGATTGTATCTCTTGCAAACTGCCATGCATTTCTTTGCAATTACAGACAAATTCTAAAGAAAATTTCCTCAAGATTGTGTATATACATAAAATTATATAGAAATGGTGTTTACATTCTTTATAGTGTATGGCGCTGCCTGCATTTAAGCAGAGCCTAAATAGCCGTACGGAATAAATAACCCGGCAAGTTGTGTTTGAAATCCATTTCTTGTTATTAGATGTTGTGTTTTTACATGTTTTATTCGCAAGAGGGAACCTAAATGACGAATTATATATTATGAATCTAACTGACGAATTATGAAGTATTTTGTATATAGCATGAAATGAAATCCTTCTAAATTAACGAATCGATAAACCCACTTATAAACATAGACATAGCGTTAACTTTACATCACGAGTTCTTACCATGATGTAAATGACTGATGCTTTGCATAGCGAACACATGATCTCCCACAGCGAATTGCATTGAATTTTCATCCATTTTGTTCACGTTAAACCATAATCTCGCGTTCAACAGCAAACACCGATACGAATAAACAAATTTTCTGATACGAATAAACTCTTTCGGTACGAATAAACAAGTTTTCTGAAACGAATAACCTCTTTCAGTACGAATAAACAAGTTTTCTGATACGAATAAACTCTTCCGATACGAAATAAACAAGTTTCGTTTACGTTTAAACAAGAGAGTAGATTATTTACCATACAGGTTTTCTACATCCAATAATGAAGGCTGGGACAGAACGCGGTTCGCCACAGACAGAGGCATATATTGGATACAGCGTAAATTATTTATATACTACCTGTAAAATATTAAAATTAGTTTTAGCTCGCTCTATATTATTACATCTCTGGCGTGCAAGCTTTAATTATCGTATAAATAGATCTATGCATGCCATATACAATTACAAAAAGTTTACTGAAAAATAGTATTTTAAAGGAAAATATAGCCATTCCGCGATTTTCACTTTTGTTGGAGAAAACTTGTTGTGCATGCATGAAAATAATATCCCCTACACTTCATATGGCAGCTACATTGTAGTTAATATCCTACCAATTTTTTAAATTACAATCAAGTAATAATAGAAACCCCACAACGGCAACACAATAATTATATAGTGAACATAACTATAGCTATAAGGTTGTTTCATGATTAGTTAATCATCATTGGAATTCGTATAGCTAGGTTAACGTTTTATGAATCATCTCGGCTTAATTGCGGAATCAGCACCAGCTAGACCTTTATTGATGATATTTGGTCTTAATGATATAATTATACTGTACTGATTATTCTGCAAATTCGTTTTATAAATTTTACATCGTGCATATAGTTACCATGCATATGCAAAAGAATCATATTCGCATTTTTTGTAAGGTTCTCTCGACATACTTTTGAAGTCTTAAAGTTAAAATTCTCTGCAGAAATCATTCGTTTTGTAAGGACAAATTACGAATATTTCACACATATGACATATCTCATATCAGTTTCATAATATGCCTGTTCGCAGGTTAGATGGCGGGCGTTTAGCCTAAACAAGGCCGCAAGGTTATGTGGGACTTGTTTAACCGCCACGCATTTTCAAATTTTGAGCGCGTCTTTGTATGTAGTTTGTCATCCGTTGATTCAACGTTTTATAACTAATACTGGTAGAATTTAGTGCGTTTTTCTTTCGTATTTTAACATGAAATACGCATTCTTTGAATTTGTCAAAGAGGAGTCATAGAAGGGTGGTGAAACACCACTGTGAAGTTAGCCGCGGATTCGGCCTCAGATTCGGCCTCAGATTGGGCCTCAGATTGGGCCTCACATTCAACTGTGTTCAATCATTCAAAAGTAGAATTTGGTAATTTAATAATAACCCCTTTTTTAGCCATTTTTTCGTTTAAACTTTATAAATACGAAGATGTATAGCTTATTTATGCATTGCTAGACTGTAATTAGAACAAAGCAGTCGATTTTATACAGATTTACAGAGTAAATTGATTATTATTTTTGGGCACTGTGTGAGAAGTTGTTGACCCGCATAGATATGGCATAAACTAAAATGTTTTATTGCAATTCCTGTGTATACGTCTATATTTTACAGAATAATACGGCCTTACAAATGGCGTGCATCGTTGGGCTGCACAGTCACAACATACTCGGGATTATTTGCTTCCTTTCTTAAATTAAAAATGTCCTTATGATATAAATACAAAAGACGTAACTAGTATATGATCCTCTCACCGACGCTATCAATGTTACAATTTGCCAAAGTCAGTTGCTACAACAAGAATTAGCGTAGATGTGCATACAAATCAAACGTACTATTGCCATATGACAAACAATGGTCCAACGAGGTTAGGATTACAAGTTAAACTTGGCGCAACTTTCACACGCATATATAGATCGTTTCAAACGTTATTTAGAACAGTATTTTCCCATCTATCCAAAAGTACACATCAGTTGAAGGCGCAGACGTTACACGCTGAATGTTTGAGGGCAACAGCAACGACTCATTGCAAAAACATCTTACAATATTACATGGTGTTGACATATATATCCACGTTATCATCCTAATTGTGCAATTTAAATTTATGCATTTCATACAAAATGCATGCCTATTCCATCCACTGCATTGAAGTTAAAACTTCTGTTTATATGAAGGTATGATTTCATTGTTCTACAAAATAATACAATGTGCTGTGCCGTGTTTTGATGCAGTTTGTAGCGCAGACGATGGAACCTGCGCTTAGGCATTAAGGGATTACTCAGAAGACAGAAGGTTGACCTGCTATTAAAGTAAAGCAATTAAAACAGTGATGACATGTAAAATAGACGCACTTAAGCGAACAAAATGCGAAAGAAAGATGATCTCATTATGCCTGCTTAATTAAAAGACACATTTATTCAAGAGGATTAGACACATTAGAGATTAGACAATTATAATACTAGTTATGGTATCAAACTGAATATATAGCCAAAGATGCTCAAAATTTAACTGAAAGGTTTAATGAAGCAAAAAATCTACGTAAAAGATATAAGATGCCATTATGCTAATCAAGAACAAGTTACAATCAAGAGAAGTATTTCATATTTAACCAGATGACAGAAAAACTAAACTATTGTAATTCTGAAACACAAGTTGTAAAATGAAATATAATTTCGAATGGATAAATGAATGTCAAGCCATAACGAAGGAAAAAATCTATGTAAGAAATATATAAGGCGCTATTATACGAATCAAGATCTTGTTACAATTGAGAAAAGTACTTAGTATTTAGAGGATGATTTCTTATTAACTGTCCATACAAATGTTCTCAAATTTTAGTATTCAGTACATTACTGTACCATCTTTCTAATGACACCAACGTTTTTGCGGTAAAAAGAAAAAAACGGGCGTTTTTGCGATACATTCGACTTCTATTTTTGACGTATTATTGCGTAATAATGAGAGCACAGAAAAACTAAACTATTGTAATTCTGAAACATAAGTTTTAAAATTAAGTATACTTTCCAATGGGTAAATGAATGTCAAGACAGAATGAAGCGAAAAAATCCATGTAAGAGACATAAAAGGGGCTATTATACGAATCAAGATCAGGTTACCATTGAGAAAAGTACTTAATATTTAGAGGAAGGTTTCTTATTAACTGTCCATACAAATGTTCTCAAATTTTAGTATTCAGTACATTACTGTACCATCTTTCTAATGACACCAACGTTTTTGCGGTAAAACATTACCAGAAATTTGAGACATTTTGCGTCCGCGTTCGTGGGCAGCGTCCGCTTCTTGACCGAAGGAATTGGTGAAAATTTCATAAAATGGCTCGATGGTATAATTATGCAATTATAATTACCACCGCAAAAACGTATGTGTCATTAGAAAGATCGTACAGTAATGTACTGAATGCTAAAATTTGAGAACATTTGTATGGACAGTTAATAAGAAACCATTCTCTAAATATTAAGTACTTTTCTCAATTGTAACCTGATCTTGATTCGTATAATACCGTCTTATATATGTCTTACATAGATTTTTTTGCTTCATTCTGTCTTGACATTCATTTATCCATTGGATATTATATTTCATTTTACAACTTATGTTTCAGAATTACAATAGTTTAGTTTTTCTGTGCTCTGATTATTACGCAATAATACGTCATAAATCGAAGTGGAATGTATCGCAAAAACGCCCGTTTTCTTCTTTTTACCGCAAAAACGTATGTGTCATTAGAAAGATCGTACAGTAATGTACTGAATGCTAAAATTTGAGAACATTTGTATGGACAGTTAATAAGAAACCATCCTCTAAATATTAAGTACTTTTCTCAATTGTAACCTGATCTTGATTCGTATAATACCGTCTTATATATGTCTTACATGGATTTTTTCGCTTCATTCTGTTTTGACATTCATTTAGCCATTGGAAAGTATATTTTTAATTTTACAACTTATGTTTCAGAATTACAATAGTTTAGTTTTTCTGTGATCTGATTATTACGCAATAATACGTCATAAATCGAAGTGGAATGTATCGCAAAAACGCCCGTTTTCTTCTTTTTACCGCAAAAACGTAAGTGTCGTTAGAAAGATCGTACAGTAATGTACTGAATGCTAAAATTTGAGAACATTTGTATGGACAGTTAAGAAGAAATCATCCTCTAAATATTAAGTACTTTTCTCAATTGTAACCTGATCTTGATTCGTATAATAGCGCCTTATATATGCGTGTGAAAGTTGCGCCGAGTTTAACGTGTAATCTTAACCTCGTTGGACCATTGTTTGTCATATGGCAATAGTGCGTTCGATTTGTATGCACATCTACGCTAATTCCTGTTGCAGCAACTGACTTTGGCAAATTGTAACATTGATAGCGTCGGTGAGAGGATTATATACTAGTTACGTCTTTTGTATTTATATCATAAGGACATTTTTAATTTGAGAAAGGAAGCAAATAATCCCGAGTATGTTGTGACTGTGCAGCCCAACGATGCACGCCATTTGTAAGGCCGTATTATTCTGTAAAATATAGACGTATACACAGGAATTGAAATAAAACATTTTAGTTTATGCCATATCTATGCGGGTCAATCACTTCTCACACAGTGCCCAAAAATAATAATCAATTTACTCTGTAAATCTGTATAAAATCGACTGCTTTGTTCTAATTACAGTCTAGCAATGCATAAATAAGCTATACATCTTCGTAATTTTAAAGTTTAAACGAAAAAATGGCTAAAAAAGGGGTTATTATTAAATTACCAAATTCTACTTTTGAATGATTGAACACAGTTGAATGTGAGGCCCAATCTGAGGCCCAATCTGAGGCAATCTGAGGCCGAATCTGAGGCCGAATCCGCGGCTAACTTCACAGTGGTTGGTGAAACACGCTGTATTATGCGAGAAAAATCAGAAGATATGGATAATTTTGTGAATGCCTGAAAGGTGACTAGGATCGTGAGAAAGAAGTGCCATGGCAATGAGAAATTTCTAAAGTTAAGAAAATAATCAAAGGCTCATTGACCCATCTACAACAACATGTGTTGCTAAAGTATTGGAATTCAGTGGTGAGTGTGTTTTGTATATGCCATATGTTTGTATAGGCAACATATGTGTCATATGTTCTCTATACCATTATAATTTATAATCTTATAAATTTTTATTCACATTTAGATTAAACTTTTTTTTGAACATTTTATTTACACCTTTTATTTATACCACTATAAATAGAGCCATTCCAACTAAAAATTATTTCTGTCAAGGAATTAGCACTAGCTCTAGATAAATTTTATATATCATTAAAAGTGAATTAAATATAAGGTCTTAAGTGTTTAATTGTGTATTTACTGTTAAAATTTACAGATTTCCTTATGTCCAAACATCACACTAACCAAAGGTCAAAATGGAGCTCTAAAAGCAAAATTAAATGTGAAAGATTTTGTTTATGCAATGCCGTGGTTGCAAGAACAACTTTGCTCTCATTCCATTACTGGAAAGGCTTCAAATGCCTAGCTTAATTCAAAGAAAAGGATGCAAAACCAGAGCCAGAGAAAGTTAAGAGTATATATGGTAAGCAGTATATAATTGTTAGTAATTATATGTCTGGTCCAAGTTAATATATCTTATATACACATCTTGGTTCAGTTATTGATGAGTTCTACTTTTTCTAGCAGTGTCTAAAAGGTGCAAAAAGGTTTGGGGGAAAAGAGGCTGACATATGACAAGTTATGGCACCAAAGATTAATAATATTGTGCAAGTTGAGAAAGCCAAGTTGAAAGCATCTGGACATCAGTAACTATATGACATTCCATTTTCTACTATTTACATGTTCTGTACATGTAAATATATTTAGTATAATATAGCCTAGTTATGTTTTTGCTATTTCTTGCACAGTCATTTCATTTGGTGGGAAAACTGCAGCATGGTAATAATTTTATCTAGAAAATATTGATTAAATTTATACATTCATAAAAAACCAAGCTAAAATATTTCAATTTGAGTGACACCATATTGTTTTCAATTACTTAGTGCATAATATTTCAATTGAATCCTCCTCAAAATGTGTGAAATGTATATTATTTTCACTTAACTACCATTTAAGCTAAACAGCCTTCAAACAACCGGCTGCAGTTGTTTTATCCACGAAACAAAATGATTATTTGACAGACTTACCAGAACTAGAGTTCTACATGCAAATTAAAGTTATATGGACACTTATAGGACTTGTTTTTATTCTTTGTTGTATAATATATATATTTCAATTTCTTTAATCTCTAGTTTTATAATTTATATGTAATTTATAAGCAAGGCATTTTCATTGAATCTTTGCATCAATTGAACTTTAAGTAAATAAATTTGTTACATATATTTGGGAACATTTTATTGGTTTGTATGTCTCACTCTTGCCAGAAGGAAGTTTTGATTATGTTGTTATAAAGTGATATATTTCAAAGTCGAAACATGGCCGAATATTGAATATACCATTTATCATCCAATAGCATATTTAATAGATTATCCTATGAAATATACTTTAGAATACATATTCTATGGAACATTTTATCACATATCAATAGGATCATAGAATAGGTTCCAAAATCCCTTAGAATATTCTATAGGATACTCAGTAGAGAATTTTAATGGGATATTCTATAGAACATAGAACATTCTTTACCACAAGACATTTATTTAAATGAACTGAGCCTATGTCATTATGTAATTAACATTGGTAATACTGTTACCTTGACCCAATTTGTACGAATGTATGATAAAATTGTTTATTAAGTTTTTCTTCCTTTACAGTATTTGTTGTGTTTTACTATTTTTGCCTTCAACAATATTTGAGTATTCAACCCCACATCAGGAATAAAATTTGCTCCACTTTTCATACATTTTTGACTCCAAAATGAGAGTTAAATTGGCAAACTTAGAGTACTTCTCACCCTCAAAAGGAATACAATTTACTCCAGTTTTGGTATGTTTTTTACTCCTACATAAGAGTAAAATTAAACCAAAGTATTTTTAGCGCTTGTAATGGGTAAAATATACTCCACTTTTGGGTTGATTTTTACTCCAAAATGAGAGTGAAGTGTTAAACTAGAGTGTTTTTTACTCTGGCAAAGGTAAATATTACTCTGGATTAATGACGTAGAAACTACTCTAAGAATGGAGTTAAAATAATGGAGTAAAATATACTCCCAAAACAGAGTCAACTGGTACCTTTTTTTTACTTTTTTGGAGTAGTATCTACTCCTTAAAATTAACAGTATATATATATATATATATATATATATATATATATATATATATATATATATATATACGTATATATATATATATATATATATATATATATATATATATATACGTATATATATATATATATATATATTATATATATATATATATATACATATTATATATATATATATATATTATATATATATATATATATATATATATATATATATATATACAGTAGTCCCCCACTAACTCGAACTCGCTTAACTCGAACTCCTCGCTAACTCGAACTAAATCCAATTCCCCTTAAATTTGACAGTGTTTTTTATAGTAATTTACTCCGCTTAACTCGAACTCGCTTAACTCGAACTCCTCGCTAATTCGAACAAATTTTGTTTCCCCTTGGTCAAATATATCCGGTTAACTCGAACTTTGGTTTCGAATCATAGATCAGCAAACTTTAAAATGTCAGAAGATAGAATTTTGACAACTGGAAACTATTAAAATAACAACAAGTTAATCAGTGTATAATTGAATATAAATGCTTATAAATTTTAAAAGATTCTGTGACTGTGTGGTGCTACGGTCGTTATTGATATAACTTTTTTAGTTCCGTTTGTATTCTTTCGATCTTTTTAATTTTAAGACGTCGTATACTCTCGCTGACCATTCATATTGGGAGGCCTGGTATCCCTTGATGAATGATTCGATTGGATTTTATATCTTACTGTATTACTTATATAATAACGTAATCTGACACCAACTCCGGTTAACTCGAACCCCCGGTAACTCGAACAATTTTTCTTTCCCCTTGGGAGTTCGAGTTAGCGAGGGACTACTGTATATATATATATATAAATGTCCCAAATGAAAAATTTCCAATTTTCAGGATATTTTGCAGAATTTGGGAAATTTTTCTGTTCCTAGAGATAGTTATGCGCGCAAAAATGTAAAGCTGAAATTGAGATATTATTTAGCTGCATGTCTAAAAGTAGGAAAGCTTTATAATAAACTGTCAAAGTTTCAGAAAAGTAATGCAAACTGGGAGCAACGCGCGACCCCTAAAAGTGACAAATATTTCAATGCGTGACCGATCTCATGCAAGGCTGGGCAAATGAATAAATTAAAGCGAGAAACTGAACAAGAAGACGAAGCGATTTAATAACAAGATTTTTATTCTTGATGTTAATCCTCAACATTTCCACCATTTCTTTCTAAGCAAACTGCGGCTCGTCTGAGCATGGTAAACACTGAACGGCGAACCACATTTGTCTGTCCTGCCTCCTATTATCCAATTCGTTGGAATTTCTTTCTTGCAAATCGCCTACGCTACCACCGGCAAATCTAGGCGAATGGACAGACAAATGATTCGCTGTTCAGTGTTTAGTATGCTCAGACAAGCCGCAGTTTGCTTAGAATGAAATGGTGGACATGCTGAGGATTAACATCACGAATAAATCGCTTTGTTTTTGTGTTCAGTTTCTCGCTTTATATCATTCATTTGCCCAGCCTTACATGAGATCGGTCACGCTAAATCAACGATGCATTTAATCCACTGCGCGCAATGAAATATTTGTCACCTTTAGGGGTCGCGCGTTGCTCCCAGTATGCATTATTTTTCCTGAAACTTTGACAGTTTATTAAAAAGCTTTCTTACTTTTAGACAGCTAAATAATATCTCAATTTCAGCTTCACATTTTCGCGCGCAAGCCCTCTCAATATCAGTGGAAAAGAACCACCCCCCCGGTAACATAATTTTGTTGATGAAAAACCAAACTTGGCCTAGGTATACCAGATAAGTCTTAACTATCTCTAGGAACACAAAAATTTGCCAAATTCTGCAAAATATCCTGAAAAACGGAATTTTTACATTTGGGACATTTTTTTTGATACACCCTGTATATTGAGCTTTGGTCAGCTCAACTTTCTTTGGTTGCTGCCAACCTTGTACAAAGTGCTACTGGAATAGTTCATGTGTTTTCCAAATGCCAAAAACTGGCGCGACAATTCCCAGCAGATTAGGCGAGAATCTTAGGAATGCGCTGCTGTGTATTTCTAGATCCAATAAAAATCAGCGGGGGATAAAAAAGCAAGACACGCTGATGTTTTGACGATGACATTCGGGTTATATAACTCATTTAAGATGTCTAATAAGTCAATGATGGAAGACCGCAATAATCATGACTGCACTGATTGTCCAGACGGTGAACCAAAAAGGGATCGTTCGTCGACTCCAATCACTTCAGCTCAATCGTTGAAAGCCGCTTGGTACGATTATTTGTGGATTTTCATCAGTGTGGGTTTCTATATAGCAGATGTTGTGACAGATATTTTGGTTTCTCTCAAGTATTTCCGCAATGGGGACTACATCTGGTTTTCTCTCACATTCGCGTGTGTCATGAGTGCTTCGTTAGTTATGATGATGTTCTCACTAAAGTGGTATTACGACGACACGCGTAAAGAAGCCAGCAAAACAGCCATTGTTTTGCATGTGCTACAACTTGGCCCGTTGCAAAGGTATTCAATGTTTAATATATTAATATATTTAATTCAAATTGCTGACAAAGCAATACCTCAATTCCAACATGGCGTCAAACAACATGTTCCTGTCCGAAGACACATCACTCTTGCTGCACCAATTTTTCGAAGCACAGCAACAAAGAATTGCAACTAGCCCGTCACAGGAGCAAACATTACATGAAAGAGATACGGAAGTTGAAATAACAAAACAAAATGAAACGCAAGAAAGAACGTTTTCTGACAATTATTTCAATGAATTACTTATAAATGAAGTCCAGTCCATGCCAACACTCTGGTTAAGAAATTGCCCGGATTATAAAAGAGCAGATAAGAAAAAAAATAGTTTGAACAAATGAAATAGCTGAAATAACTTTCTGACCCAAAATCTTTTCCTGTATTTAGCTATTACTTTTACGACGTTTTCTTCTACGATAAAGAATAAGCAAGAGCATCGATATTTCTTCATACGCAGCCATATTGTTTTTATTTTTTTCGAACTTCGCGCGTTTTGTTTTGACCGTGGAAGTCACTGAGGAAAGAAAATTTTCGCACAATTCTTTTTTCGAGCGAAATTTTTCGTATTTCGCACGTCGTGGAATTAGCCCTTCACGCGAAGGCACGTGCGTGCATTTGTGCGCTGAGCAACGCTCATATATATATATATACAGTAGGAGGCAAAAGTTTGAGTCCAGTGACTGTATTTCATTGTTTTAGCAGCATATATTAATATTCTACAGAAAACCTTACCGATAATTGAACTACAAAAAAGTACATGAGTAAACAGAAAAATACATGCTGTACAACAACTATGAGATGCTATGATATTCATTTTACGTATGTTAATCTGCAAAAATGCATTACATATCAATGCTTAGTATCCCTCTTTTTTGCTCTTGAAATGACGTTTATTCTTGCTGGCATAGACTCCATAGGTTTTTTAATGTCGCACGTTCAATACCTTGCCAGCATTCGTTGACCACTTGCCTCAAGTCATCCTGGCTGGTGAGTCTGTGCCTCGCCCTTTTCCGGTTAAAACGGTTCTACAAGTGCTCCATGGGTTTCAGATCTGGAATTTGAGGTGGAAAGCCATGAGAACGAGATCACCAGAACGAGTTTGCTTCTAAAAGATTTCTGGCACATAGAAGATGTGCAGGTGCTTAGGGGATTATCATGTATAGTTAGACGCGCGATCATCTTTGTCCCAGATGAAATTCCATGTCCTTGAAGAATTGGATGATACTTTTCTTTAATTAGGATCCTATTAGCTATATCTTTCAATATTGCCAAACCGAGCATGACCGAAGAAGCTAAATGTTTGCTTGAGTAGGATTTAGTTTCTTCGAACCTCTCCAAGGTTAGTTGCATACCACCTTTTTAAATTCTCACTTTTTCTGCGATCTTACGAGGAAAGAATACTTCAATACTTAATGCAACTATTTGTCCTTGTGCACCATCACTTTGCCCTTTTCCCCACCCATCTTGGGCAGCGTAAAGGAATAAGAACTTTATTTTGTTATAATTTACATCATTAGGACCAAAACAGTGTGCAATTAATATGGTTTACAGTATTGAAACACTAATACGCATGTCTTAGCTCGAATACACTGCCAGGATTTAATAGTGGAATTCTACAACGACTGGACTCAAACTTTTGCCTCCTACTGTATGTATATATATATATATATATATATATATATATATATATATATATATATATATATATATATATATATATATATACATTGTTGGAATTGAATAGTAGAGTCGGTTACACATTGTTGGAATTGAATAGTAGAGTCACCAGAGCGCTCAAACTTAAACAAACGAGCGTAGCATAAAGCTTACGGTGAACGTCTCGCGATGAGACTCTCTACACAATTCCTAGAGTTTGCGTGTACCACGCGTGGATGCCTCGCACACGACTCGAGGTTGTCAACAATTTCAAAATGGAGGCAAAAGAAGCCATTTCACCCACACGTTGTTTCGATATAATATATAATTATAGACCTTCGCGGGAATTCGACGAAATATCACCCCTCGGGCTAGCCCTCGGGATATATCTTTCCTTGGGGTAATATTTCGTCGAATTCCCCTCGCTTCAGGTCTATAAATGATAAGAATCCAGCATTAATATACACTGGCGGTCAAAAAGAACTGTTCAAAACAAGTTAAAATGCTCTCAAATGAACGTAACTGTCCCTTTAAGAATATAAACGAGTAAATATAGACTAGATTACATGCTAAGCTATATGAAATATTAGTATTTTGTTGACCCTCTTTGGCCTTATAATTGATGACGGCCTTACCGGCGTGGCATACTTTCTGTCTTTTCTTTCTAATCTTAACGGTCAAAAGAAATTCATCCTATGGACAGTCTTTACAGCAACGCATAAATCATGGACGCTTTATGAATGAATTTCTTCTTGCACTATCCCCTTGACATTGTCCCACAGATTTTCAATAGGGTTAAGGTCTTTTGACTGTGCAGGCCAATCTATTTCTGTCACTCCCTCATTCTGAAACCATTGTTTGAGTATATTTTGAAAGTGTTGCAGGTTGCATTACATTATTGAAATATTGCTTGGAATAAGAGAATTATCCAAAATGCCTATCAAGCTCTCTCCTATATATTCGCTTCTTCTTTATGAATTTGTATCTAAAAAGTTTTTTTTGACCGCTAGTGTACAATAAAAGATTGATTGTTACGATTCCTGTTACATACGATAATAGCAACATTTGAGCAGTTCTTTTTGACCGCCAGTGTATATCTTATCTCAGAAAGTGAAATTTTATTTCTATAAATCCTAACAAAATACTCCTAATATTGAAGAAGTCTGAACATTCTGGTTATATTAAGGATATAACTGGATATAACTGATCTGCGTGGTTATATTTCAGAAACAAAAATATGAAATACAAACATTTTACAATCAGTAACTGCATACATAGCATGAATAATGCTTGTAAACAGACTTTTTTAATTAAGAAGAAATCAGTTTATAGAAGGTCTATTTAGCTGTATGTTTCTCGATTCTGTCACAGTGATTCTACAGAATGACCGATAAATATACCCTTCTCCTAATGTATTGTAGAACGTTCAAAAACACGAAGAAAAGGAAATGTCTTAAAAGGAAATAGCATTATAACATGAAGCATAAAAATATCTCAACCACATGCTGTGATTTTAATTAGTAAAACATATAACCATGCGTTGAATGACTGATTATTTTATGTCAAACTTTGAAACAAAAATTATACTGTAGAAATGTATCTACAAAAATAGCCAAATTCAAAAGCCCCTACATAGTTAGGTGGCATATTCTATAACTATATAACATAAAGGTATGTTCTTGTATTCCTGTATCTATCATAAAAAATTTACTGCAACCTTTTTGACTTTGGAAGTAGTTCATGTTATACATATAACAAGACGCCTGTTCTGGCGTTAACTCCGGCGCACGTGCCAGTCCTCAATATAGAGCTTCTGAACATAAACAATACAGTTCATATTCGCATTTAGATGCCTTGCGAACCTAAATGTTCGATCGCGAAATTCAAAAGGACATCGTACTTTAAAAAGTATAGAAGTTCAATTGTTCAAAAATGTAAATAAACCGCATGATATATTCGCTTTGTCTTACACTTTGCCTTTGGAATTCGCGCTTATATAGTTATATTAAATCTTCAATCCTGTGCAAACTACGACGTTCAACGTGCCCATACACGACCACATCATCTTGTTAAACGGCGAAATAGCAGCGATATTATTAAAATAGGACCAAAATCTGCATGTATTAAATGTATTCTTACCCCAATTCAATCTAAACTTAGTCGAAAAGCATGAAAAGAACGGTTTATTTGTTGCTCTTGGAGGAATTGCCGTATCATGCGAGCGAAATCGAATCGCGCATCGGAAAATTAGCCAAAGCTGTGCACCACAACTCTTGGTAGATAAGACTGGGACGTAGCTAAATACGGTTACATACACATTTTAAATACTACAATGTTTCGCGCCATTCAGACTTGCGACGACGAAAAAAAAAAAAAAATAAAAAAAAACAAAAAAAGAAAAAACAACAAAACAAAACCGGGGCGAATTTTCAACTCCGTCGCTGACGCCGGAGTAATTATTTACGTATGGTATATTCATATTTAGAGCATGCCATTGGTTAAATTAGTCACGTGATTGCATAGCATGTGCTTTTAGATTTATGCTTCGCTAAGCCTTTTGTTCTTCTTGTCTGTGATCTATGTATGTTTGTATAGCATTATCAATCATGAATAAATACGGTTAAATGTTCGACTTAGACTTCAATCTCCTAACAGTTCATATGACAATATATCTTGAAGTGCCTTGCTAGGCATTAACACCCAATTAATATATACATCACATTATAATTAGTAAGAAGAGCAAGAGCGACAAAAGAATATGGTTTCTCAAGTTAGATCCATTACCTGCACACCACCTATATCTGCTACATATGATTGTTTTGATACCTAGGTACTGGGAGTATTACAGAAGTGCCAGGCGCACCAGGAAGGAAACTGCAGATGGAGATGCCTATAGTATATACATTCGACAATGGCGTGACATTTCAATGCTGCGATTGTTTGAAGTATTTATTGAATCAGCACCACAAATGGTTCTTCAGCTGTATATTTTAGCATATAACAGGCATTTTGACAAAGACAATGATTGGTTGACAGCACTTTCTGCTTGTTTCTCATTGATATCTTTGGCATCATCAATCGTCTGTTATTACAAAGCCCTACGAGATGCATCTGAAAATAAAGGTAAACTACCTTTAAACATGGTAAACCACCTTTAAACATGGTTTGAGCCTGATTGAGTTGGGGGGGGGGGTTTAAGGGAATGAATTTGTAAGCAGCTAATCTTGACCAATTAGGAAACTGCAAGTGATCAAAAGTCATTTTATATGTGCAACTTGGTACACTAACCATTAACAAAACAAAGCAAGATGGTTATGTTATTTTACCCCTTGGCAACTGGCAGTCAAGTCGTTGTGGCCAACGTTAACGTCTACAGGGATACGCCCCAAAATCCACCACTAGTTACAATGACATGTGGGCTGACGGTAAGAAGGGAGCGGGGACTGAATAGATGATGATTGGTGGGGGATACACTGACACAAATTCTCCAGCCACACCAAAAATAACTGTTGTTGTGAACGGTGCTTAAAACTACTTATTTTATTGTAATAGGCAAGATGACATGGTGGGCGTTTGCCTGTCAGATTGCTTGGCGCATAACGATGGTGGCATCACGTATTGTTACCCTTGTCCTTTTTGCCTCAGTCCACAAATCTTGGATCCTTCTTTTCATTTGTCTGCATTGGTTTTTGATGACGTTCTGGATACGCTGGCAGAAGCCATCTTTTGATTCCAATAATAAAATCCTAAAGTTTATGTTCCCAATCGTTGTGGGATTCATATATGTTTTTTGTTTTTTCAATGTGAAAGATGGGTTAACTAGAAAACGGTTGATATTCTTTTATGCTTTAATGTTTGTGGAGAACTGTGTCCTTATGGGATTCTGGTTACCTTACCGCCACGAGTATGGTGTAGTATTTGTGGCAGCTTTAGGAGTGGTACTTGGTGGTTTTTTTATTGGTGTTATTGCGATGGTTTTGTATTACCATTGTTACCACCCTAGCTTATCTACACACGGGATATTCTTCCAAAATGTTCCGAATGGTGAAGTGGAACTGACCAACTGATGACCACTTAAAATACCTTTAGGGCAGGCACTTACCAATGCGCAAACCGCGCAATTTCATAGAACCTATTAATTAAGGGAAGGGTTTTAAATTTAGTTAGTTAGGGTGTGACGCACACGCGAGAAGCGCGGACGAAGACCTTAGATTTTAGTACATTTTCTTTATTAAATTCTGTTGTTTGAGACTGTTTGTGACTTGTCGGGGACATCAGCTTGGGGGCAGCATTTTAAGGCACTAATTCTTGAGAGTTGGATCTCGGATAAAGAACGTTCGTAAAGTACCCAGGCGCAGAAGGAGCAGTTTTATCGAGAGTTAAAACTATACATGAGAAAAAGTTACAAATGCTGCGCCATTAGGCTCTGAGTAAAACCGGGCCGGAAGTTCAGGAATGCAGTAGTTTCAAAACAGCGAAATTGCCAAAATTAGTCATTTCTAAGTATGATGGCTCGTATATGGATTGGTCAAGGTTTTGGGGACAGTTTTTTGAAGCTTTAGCCTTTAGATAAAAGTACGATTCCACCCATAAGGAAGTTTACTTATTTGCGCGAGTTACTCGCTCCGAGTCAGACGGTGTGTTGAAGCCTTGCTATTCTCAGTGGAAGGTTACAATCGTGCCAAGTCAATCCTCACTGATAAGTACGGAAACGAATCAGCGATTAGAAATAGCTATGTGAAAGAGATATTAGAACTGCCCAACATATTTAACGTGAACACTCGTAAGATCGAGGAATTCAGTGAAAAATTGTCCTATTGCGTGCAAGCCCTTGCTACCATGCAAAAGTTAGAGCACGTTCAGGAGAATTTTGCCATGACCCTTCAGAAATTACATACATCTGGTCTTAGGAAACGGAGAGTATGCTCGAGTGAAAACCAACCCTACTCAGCGGAACCCGAAAACCCCTGCTCAGCGGAAAAGATTGCGAGCTGGTGGCGGAAAACACCATACAGATTATAAATAAAACTAGAGGAGGCATTGGTATTGGAAACATCAGTCAAAAAAGGGAGCGCGTTTATTGGCTGCGCGTTATATCAATGCCTCTCCTTAGCAACCACGTTCGCAACAACTAAAATTTGTATTAAAAAAATATATTCGTTTTTTTGGTCGCTTTTTGAGGAAAAAGGAGTGTTTTTTTGAACTGGTTTTACCACGTTAGACATCCTAAAATGATATTTTAGGAAAAAACATTTAGAAATAGAAAAAATTCGTTTAAAACGACATATTTTGCACAATATTGCAATTGGTGATTGGTGTGTCAAGCTGTGTATATTTACAATGTTTATACCTTTCATTTCTTTTATTGATGTAAGTGTATTTTCCCAGTGGCAAAATTTGTTATTTACCTCCAACGAGCGATATCGAAAAAGCCTTCCTGCAGGTGAGGATATAGGAACAGAACCGACGGTTCTCTGGGAGAATTCAGGCAGTGAAAAACTGACGGTGTATCGGTGTTCACGATGGCTCTGTTTGGATTAACCTTCTCCCCGTTCTTGCTTGGCGGAGTAATCAACAAACATTTGAACGCCTGGGAATAGAAATACCCAGACTTAGTTAGAGAGATCCGGGACAACCTGTATGTCCACGACTTCATGACGGGGGGTGAGAACGTGAAATCCGTGGCAGAGAAGCGAACAAAGTATTCGAAGATGCAACGCGTTCAGACTACACAAATGGCATTCGAATTTACATACGCTAGATCTATTGCAACACAAGTCCTGGTTTGCTCTAAGTCATGATTAGCAAAGAAGAATTTAACAATCCCACGTCTCGAGCTTCTTGTGGCACAAATGGCAGCGAATCTGGTAACAAACGTCTACGGATACTGGATCAATGGTCAGGGGGAGTACCGCCAATTTGTCTCCAATCGTGTGGCGAAGACCAAGGAAAAAGCTCATATCCAATGGCGTTACGTGTCCATTGTTCAAAACCCGGCGGACCTGGTAGTCGAGGCGGCAAATATATACTGGTCTCCAACTATCACTTTGGAGCGCTGTCAGAAAACCAGCGCTGAAGCGAAAGTTGCTCGAAGAGTCCTTGCAGCGACGGTGACAACAACGAAGGATCGTGACGAATTCGATGAACTAGCTCATGAACCTGTCAGAGTCATCCGAGTCGGAGCGTGGATAAGATTTATCAACAACTCCAAACCGGTAAGTGAACGAGAAAGGAGTCCCCTTAAGGCAGCCGAGATTCAAGACCGGTATCTTTGGTGGAGCAAACGTGCACAACAAGAAACAGCGGTTCAAGAAAAGATCGAGAAGAAGGCGAGAATCCGGTTAATCCTTCAGCTAAACGATCGCGGATTGTCGAATGTCGAGGTAGGATTTTCCTTCTACGAACTCATCCTTTCACAAAAGGGCTGGTCTACTGAGCCCATTTAGCGACCCTCCACGGCTGAGTCGGCATGATGATGGCTAAAATTCGATAGCAGTTCCGGATCCCACACTTTATTGCTTCAAATACTAAAAGATGAAATATCTATATAGCAACAATATCTAAAACATGCCTGTTAAATTTGTCAATATATAGCCTTTTTTATATAAATCTCAACTTTTGGAGGGCATCATAACTCTCAAAGGATAGGTTTGGTTGATCAAGTTTTCGCTTGGATTCCACAGTTGGGTTAAGATAATAAATTTAAAGTTCTCGATTTTTGCCCCGAGGAATGCAGTCTTGCTGTACTGTTCTCCATCCTCGGCACGAACTAGCGACATAAATCTGTGAATAGAAAGTTCAAATAACAATGACTTAAAACACCCAGGTCCAAATAACCCGATGCATTTAAAATTTTGCAATCTTGAAAAGTGACAAGAGGATAGATCACCCAAGAATTCTTTAAATCGTCTTTTCTATTGTCAAAATTGCTTTAAATCAAGCTCACAAGCATGTCGGCTGCATGACTGGAATCGTGAAAGTTGTCAACATGTTTTAAAAATATCGGGTCTGGCCGGTCGGTAGCTATATATAGTTCGTAAGTTTTATTCGGAGAGTTTTCTACATAAAGAATGCATATATAGCGCGCTTCCGCGACAAAGTATTGAAGTATAGCTGGAGAACATTAATTTCAGGCAACCTCTAGTACCGAGTGTAAATTCGCTTGTTTTGGAGCGGAGGTAAAAAGACCCTGGGTACGAGGTTAAATTGGAGGTAGTCCCACTATACTGAATACCTTGGATGAAAACATGACAGGCATACTTTTAAAGCTGTACGATTTCAACATTCAAAAGCTCACGATACCTATATATGAATGCATTAAAACCGAAAAACACAAAATGTTGAAAAAACCTGTCATCCTTAAGGATTTCTTTAGTCATGATTGTGTTTAGCAGGCCCTCTTGAACGACGTCGAACTTTATTTTGACACTTTCGAACATATCAACTGCCATCATGTCCAGCACCAGTGGTTTCCCGAAACTATGTAACAGAATTGAATCACCGCAATAAATATTATGGAAAAATTCTAAGAAAATGTGATATTTTCGAAATAGCGTATATAGCATACTATAGCTAGTCATTCGCTTGGATACAAATAACCTAAACGGACAACTTACCTAAAATAGAGAGTAGTGCGTAAAACGAAAAGCTTTTAATTTTTTATGCGAAAACCAACGAGAAAAATGCCTTGAATATAGTGTACTTGAACATCGGAGAGCCTAGATAAACAATTCTCTTTGAACGAAACGCATGCAGATCGCGTTAGAAGACCTAAAACAGAAATGTCCACATCTAACTCGAACGATCATCTCACCGTACAGCTCCCAGAATAGCAAGCCGTATGACATCCGGTTCCATATTGCTTGGATTCAGGGCGTTGAGAAAGTTTGTATCACGATAACGCAGAAACGTAGAAGTTTGAGTTGAAGAATCGATAAGAAGAGGCCATCTGAAATAATGAAACGTATATTATAAAATATATAGGGTGCAATCTATTTTACCAGTCATAAAACTGTGAGCCTTCAGAACTGCAGGTCACCGTAAGTTTCTCAACAGTTTTTACTCAGTATAAGCTGCGAATTTACATCAATATATATAGCGAGGGACAAAGATAGAATACCTGCCACTTTGAGCAATTTTACCACCAACGTCCCTCATCAGGACATCATCAAGCTCCTTTATAGACACCTTTATCCCTACTAGTTCACTTGCATCTTCGCCGCCTTAAGAAATGGAAAATTCAAGTCACTATGTCCCACAAATTAAGTTAATGGTATATACGCCGTAGGAACTTGCTCTAAACATTATAGCAATTCGAACCATGCAGAGCCGGTTTAGTCTGCAAATTTCATAATTTGTCTTTTCCAACGCAAGACTAATGATAAATGTATATTGGTACGAGAGCTTTTTGAATATAGCACCTTAAGATTCTTTGAGGTACAGGCTTTTTTGAAGTATAAAAAAATTAAAGGCTTACCGGTATTACCGACTCCTTCTTTTCTTTGCTCTCTCAATCTCAATTTCAACTAAAATGAATAAAATGATGAAGCTGTATATTTTGAAAAAACATGCATTCGTTGGGAACATAGTTAAATGACACGACATTATTAGAGAAAAGGAAAATAGAGAATTAATGCCTGCATAATGATTACCTGCGCGAGTTTATCACGTGCTACCTTGCTGTTTTGTTTTGCTGTTTCCAACTCCAGCTCGGCATCATGAACAGTCTGGATCGAAAATTACTTTTGAGAAAGATATTTCATTTTGATACAATATTCGTCTTGGGATATCACGGGTTGGGCTTGTCTTTGAGGAGCTACCGCCGCATATATTATAATATTGTCTTTTTCAGAATAAACAAATGTTAGTGATGGAAGACGCTCATTTAGTGGATAATATCAAGACCCAGTTATTGGAGGACAATATAAGTGCTATAAAGTTGGGTTAAATAAGGTTCTTATGCAAGAATGGTCTCACTTAAACAATAACTATAGTGTAGCATAATATGGTAATAAGGTACTTTACATCAAATACCTGCAAAGTAATCTTTATTTTCTTCTCATCTCCCATAGCAACGCATTTGTCATGTTCAAATATCCTCTTGTTCAGCTCGCAATGTGCTTTCTCCAGCTACAAAACATCGAACGAGACATGAAACATAGTTTGTAGGGTCACAAATCCTACATCACGGCAAGTAACTATAGCAGAAATTAAATTAAAACACTCGGAGACACGAAAACGGGCTAAAATCTGATTCGGTGGTATATATACTTACTCTCATTTGACAAGCTTTGTCCTCTTTCTCAGCTTCATGTAATTTCTTTTCTAACCTGAAATTTAATACAAAATATCAAAAAGATAATATGCATAATAAAAGGGAAGCAAGAAGCTATAAATATAACTATGTATCATGATTATCGAACCAGCCAAGTGGTTGAAAACAGTAAAACAAAACTTTTTTAACCATTATAATAGCAGCGACATAAAACATAAACAAAAACCTGTCACATTCTTGCTTTTGTTGCGCCTGTTCCTCCTCAAGTTTTTGTTCTTTATTTTCTTCAAGTTTTTTCAATAATTCGTCTGTACGTTGAACATCCCAGGCCTTTAGAAATTCTTCCACAACTGCAATTGCCGCTACCTGCAATTTACCCACTGTTGCTGATTTGTACTAGTTGAAAATTTACTTCAAGAAGCTGCAAGCTCGGTCACTTATTTGAAAGCCCCGTTTACACTGCATTTAATCCATACGCGCGCCACAGCTAAACGTGGTACCGTACCAAATATATTTGCGCATTTACTGCAAACATTGCAAAACTACTTCCGCTTGCCGTCGTAGATTATTGACGTCGTAGATCTTAAGGTCCCTATTATCTGCGCTCAGGTCGAGCACGAATAAAATTGGTACGGGTATAGCAATTTTAACTGCGCCGTATCAAAAGATAGCGTACACAGGCAATCCGATTGAGAGTAGTGTAAACGGGACGGTATAGTTTACCTGGACAGGAGATGTTCCATCACTAGCATGAAGGCGAGGATCACCACCATTTTCCAAGAGCAACTGAAATTGAAAAGTTCGCAGATAAAAGCTATTATTTTTCTTTGCAAATCGATTGGTTCATAAATGATTTACCTGGACTGCCTGCAAATGCCCGGCGAAGGCAGCTCTCCACAGCGGTGTGCGCTCATAACGGCCTCTGGAATTGATCTCAACTCCCTTGTGAAGAAGCAGCTGTATGGTACTCGCGTGTCCTCCGGCTGAGGCCTCCGAAAGTGGAGTGTTACCGTTCGCGTCTTCGCAATCAGAGAGGCTTAGTTGATGCTTCTTTATGTGTAGTTCTCGCACTGTTTCTGGTATATTTTCTTGCTTCTTGTCGTTGGCTAAAGCCTGTTGAAAGAATCAGGATACTTTTATGCATAAACATTTGCGGAATTCAAGAATGACAATGACGAGTTTCCTTGCATAGAATTGCACAATCCTTAATTGTGTTATTTCGAACAAGCTGAAGCGTGAATTTCAACTCTGAGTGTGAAGGGGATAATGGGTTTTAATCCTTAGAGATGGGTTGTAATTGTGAATGCTTTTTTTTGTCTTAAATATGTTAAGCTTAAATGGGCAATGAACGTGTACAAATGTACAAAAATGCACTTTATGTATGTTTTTGTACACCTGTAAAAAATGCACAGACCTCATTCAAGACACAATTGATTTCCTCATCATCCCCATCAAACGCAGCCTCCAACAAACGTTTTCTCCACTTCATTTCTTGAGCTTTTTTCTTTCTTTCCTCTTGTTCTTTCTGTCGCTCCTTTTCCTCTTCCTCTCGCTCCCTTTCAACCATTTGCAGCCATGCCTGTAGTCAAATGACAGTGTAATAATATAGCCATGCAGGTATGCTCTGATTAAAGTAGAAATGCGTGTAATGTTTCCACTGTCCCATCGGAGGACAGATTTTAAAACTCGACTTTCCTTACAGGAATTTAAAACCTGGGACTGAAATAGATAGGACTTTAATCACCATATGAACAATCGAAAGTTTCAAAATCTGAAATTGTCTACAGTAACTCAGTAGGTACGTTATGTTATGACCTATAAACTACCTCCTTCTCTAATTTCACCATAAGTTCTTCATAATCTTGTTTATCTTTCTTCAACTTCTGCACTCTCTTCCGTGCAAGATACTTCCTTGCTGCTGTTTGTATGATTCTTGCCTGGTCATCTTCTTGCTCCATTCTTTCTGTAGTTTTATGTACGGTTTCAATAAAAAACTGGGTAAATCGTCGGAGCCCCCCCCCCCCAGGGATAAATCGCATGCTTAGAGTTTGGTTCACAAATGCGGATACACTTCGACAGGCCTTTCAGTATCTCGTGGGCATGCACTGGAGTAAAAACCTCTACATCATGGAAATGAACTAAAAAGAAGAGCCTTATTTGTCTTCTATACAATTTTAACAGACCGCCGGGGCTAAGATAGCTGAAGATGGCGTTCTGTTAAAAACATCAAACATGCAGCCATTCTCGTCGCTATCTAGAGCCTTCATTTTAAATTACTTCTTTTAAATTCCAATTGACCTACGAAGGCGCAAAACCTTTTACCGAGGGTATTCCCTCTGCCCCCACCAGAGCGAATATTTCGCTCCTCAGGGGTACACGTGGGGAAGAGCGAGCATACGAATTCGAGGTGTCTGGGTACGAGGCGGCAAAATGTGCGATTTGCTCAAGGATTGGCTTTTCCCTCCATTTTGAATGTGGTAAAAACACGTGAAGAGTTTGCAGAGTTTATCTGGGAGTTTATTTGAAAAACTGCAACTTTATTCCAGCGGATGCCAAGTGAGAAATTATCAAGCAAGATATATATTTTCTTCAAAGCCACTGGAAGCCAAGCGAGGTAAAAATATTACTCGAAATTAAGTCGTTTCCACAAAAGTCTAAACTCTAATAAAGCTATACCTATGGAAGCAAGTTTGCTAACCCAGTAAAGTTACCATCTTTTTAGTGTTATATAACGTTTGATTTTGCTGGCTATAACTGCAAATAGTAAAAGTTTCTTCACCTATCAATTATATAAATATGGTATTAAAAATTAGGCTAAATTAGAAGCAACTTCTCTAAACTATTCCTTATCAGAAATTCTGAATAGGTTTTCATTTTTGCACATGAAAGTGATTTATGCATGCAGCCACACATCTAAGACTAGATTTCCCATACCCATGGGTTGCATACTATCTTGGGGGGTTAGACCATCATGGGTCAGGTAATATCAGACTTTTTATCAGCTTTTTGCTGTGGGATGAATTGCATTTGCACACTTTGGCTAATTACAGTTTAATGTTAAGATGCATTTCTATTGCAATAAAAAATGAACATATATGTTTCGATCAGCTAGAGTCTTAATTATATATCTAAACTTTTCCCTGGACTGTAAAACTGGAAAAGTTATGGAATTTCTTCTGAAATTTTGGAACAGCACCACCTGTATAATGGGGATGCATATATAAATTATGTCCCAGCTATGAATTATTATGGAAATATTAAATTTTGCCATTTACTCGGCTACTCCTTGGGTATTAATGACCATAAACCTTGTCCTTCATTTACTGGAAAAGTATTAAAACAGTATTTAACCCAATTGGTGCAATATCAAGTTGTGCATAGTTGTAGTCAAATGGTGAATTCTTGAATCAATTGTTTTCATGTTTTTTATTCTGCACATTTTTGTTTTTCACATTTATTATCTAAGTTGTGTTTTTTTTACAACCAAATAGTACATTTTCAAGTGCACTTTAATTCAATTTCATCTGTGTAACTTTTCTATTTTATTCCTTTAAGTGCATTTCTATTTTTGTTTGGATGAAAAAATTTTTCTCTTGGCAGAGATGCCTTCCCCCCTCATAAATTGCCCTTACCAAAGATAGCTGGTTTAGTCTGCTATAATGATTAATTAGGTGAATTATGCTTTGATTGTGCTACTTTGAGTGGCAACCAGGCTAGTTTGGCACTTTGGCTAGCACCATCACAACATATGAGATGATTATTGAAAGGTCCTATTGAGCCATTTATATATTAAGAGGCTATATGAGCCCATGGAGCCTATTATAAATATATTGATGCAGATCAGCAGATGGAATGCAAAGTGTTGTGTACTGAAGATTAATGGCAGCATTTTTTCTAAATTCAATGTTTTGTTAATACTTTTGTTCCAAATTTATTTATTTATAGTTATGTGGTGTGATTTTGACAATATTTGCAGTATCTATCATGTTACCATAGCAACAAAAATGAAAATAAACAAGATCGTATATTGTATTGACAATATTATTCCGATATTTCAGTAAAAACACACTCTCATTTGAAAGTGATACGCATTAATATTCTATGACAAAATACCTGCGGTTTGGCAGATTTTGTTTTCCCGCCAGCCTTGCTACCCGATACTCCTGCTGCAGCATGTTTGGCTCCCTTCGGGCCCGTGTTCGGGGGAGCCTTTGAAGTCCCCTTACCTGTCGTACGAGATTTCGTCGGCGAAACTGACTTTATATTAGAGACCGGCTTTGCAGTTCCCTTTTTACACGTTTTTGAAGTAGGAACTGCCTTTTTCGGAGGCATTTTGACAATGAGTTGTCAAATATTAGTCACCTTTCAATATGCGGTCCATGCATGTCAAATGTAATGTTTATGCCGTTATTTTTGGCGAAGCATTATACGCTTTTCAGGCGATTCAGCGACTCACAATTTTGGCGTATTTTAAGGCAACACTCGAGGTCGAGGAGGAATATCCCCTAAATTATCCCGTCCTATTTTTTGAAGGTTTCTGTTATTTAACCTATTTTATGCAGTCCACCATTGCTTCATGAAGAGTTCATGTATTTTCCAAAATGTTCAAACTTCAAATCCAAATGCCAAAAACTGGCGCGACAATTTCCCGCAAATTAAGCGAGAATCCTAGGAATGCGCTGTGTATTTCCAGATGCTTTTTAAAACAATCAGCGGGGGATAAAAAAGGAAAACACGCTGATGTTTTGACGATGACATTCGGGTTATAACTGAAGTAAGATGTCTAATAAGTCGTTGGTAGATGACTCGAATAATCACCGCGTTGATTGTAAAGACGGCGGACCAACTAGGGATCGTTTGTCGACTTCAGATCAATCGTTGAAAGCCGCTTGGTACGATTATTTGTGGATTTTCGGCAGTGTGGGTTTCTATATAGCGGACGTTGTGACAGATATTTTGGTTTCTCTCAAGTATTTCCGCAATGGGGACCACATCTGGTTTTCTCTTACACTCGCGTGTGTCATGAGTGCTTCGTTAGTTATGATGATGTTCTCACTAAAGTGGTATTACGAAGACACGGCTGAAGAAGCCAGCAAAGCAACCATAGTTGTTTTGCATGTGCTACAACTTGGCCCGTTGCAAAGGTATTCAATGTTTAATATTGTCATTTGAAGGTCTTAATATTATATCAAGTTGATATTACGAATAAAATTTCCCTGGAAACCTGGTTTTGCGAATAGGGATATTAAGAAAATAAAGTGATATGAGATTATAGGACAGTACTGTGTGCTATACTAGAAGTACCGTAACAGCATGGAGGATTATGAAAGTCCAAGGGCAAGGTTCAGATCAATCAGATGTAATATTAAACTAGAACATTTGCCTTATTACACTCAGCACAATTTATTTTTCATACAAATTTGGGTCTTGTCATCCCACACATGTGTATACATATTTAAACTAGGGCCAGTTTATATGTAGTAAAGGGTGATACATATTTTAGAACCAAGCATTAATATATATCTTATCTCAGAAAGTGAAATTTTATTTGTATAAATCCTATTAACAAAATACTCCTACTTCAAGTTGTAACGTCTGAACATTCTGGTTATATAAAAGAAAGGTGTTTAAATATTTTCATTGAAGAACAAAAATATAAAACACAATCATTTTACAATCATGGATGCATGCATGTAAACAGACTTTTTTTAATTGAGAAGAAATCAGTTTATAGAATGTCTATTTAGCTGTATGTTTCCCAATTCCGCCATGCTGATTCTACAGAATGACCATTGAATATAACTTTACCTCATGTTTTATGAACACATTGGGAGAAGGGTATATTTATGAGGAAAATAGCAAAAGGAAATAGCAACAACAAAGCATAAGAAAACTTCAACCACATGCTGTGATTTTAATTATAGTAAAACATGTAACTATGAGCTGAATGACTGATCATTTTATGTCAAACTTTTTGAATGATAAATTATGCTGTATGTATGTACAACAATAGTCAAATTCACATAACTCTTGTTAAAACAATCCAAAATGAAAATGCATAAATAAAGTTATGCGAAAAGAAAGCCCATACTATTGCTAATATGGCTATATTAAATGTAGTATATGTTATAATTATATAACATATAGGTATATTCTTGTATATCTGTATCTATAAATGATTGTTAATATTGTTATTTACTGCAATCTTTTTGACTTTGGAGACAGTTGGTATGACAATAGATCTTGAAGTGCCTTGCTAGGTGTTAACACTCTATTTAATTTAGTATATACATTACATTATAATTAGTAAGAAGAACAAGAGAATATGGTTTCTCAATTAGATCCATTGCTTGCACACCATCTGAATCTGCCACATTTGATCAATTGTTTTCATACCTAGGTACTGGGAGTATTACAGAAGTGCCAGGCGGAGCAGGAAGGAAACTCCAGATAGAAATGCCTATAGTATATACATTGAACAATGGCGTGACATTGCAATGCTACGATTATTTGAAGTATTTATTGAATCAGCACCACAAATGGTTCTTCAGCTGTATATTTTAGCATATAACAGGCATTTTGACAAAGACAATGATTGGTTGACAGCACTTTCTGCTTGTTTCTCATTGATATCTTTGGCGTCATCAATCGTCAGTTATTCCAAAGCCCAACGAGATGCATCGAAAAATAAAGGTAAACTACCTTTAAACATGGCACACTACCTTTAAACATTGTTTGAGTCTGATTGAGTGTAGGGGCCTTCAGGTAATGAATTTGTAAGCAGTTAATCTTGACCAATTAGGAAACTGCAAGAGATCAAAAGTCATTCTATATTTGCACCTTGGTACACTATGTTATGTTATTTTACCCCCTGGCAGTCAAGTCTTGTGACCAAAGTCTACAGGGATGCACCCCAAAATCCACCACTATACACACCCCAAAATCCACCACTATACACACCCCAAATTCACCACTAGTTACAATGACATTGGGGCCAAGGGTAGGAAGGGAGTGAGGAGTGAATAGATGATGATTGGTGGGGGGGGGGGTACACTGACACAAATTCTGCAGCCACACCAAAAATAGCTGTTGTTGTGAACGGTGCTTAAAACTACTTATTTTATTTTTAATAGGCAAGATGACATGGTGGGCCTTCGCTTGTCAGATTGCTTGGCGCATAACGATGGTGGCATCACGTATTGTTACCCTTGTCCTCTTTGCCTCAGTCTACACATCTTGGATCTTTCTTTTCATTTGTCTACATTGGTTTTTAATGGCGTTCTGGATACGTTGGCAGAAGCCATCCTTTGGTTCCAAGAATAAAATCCTGAAATTTATGTTTCCAATCGTTGTGGGATTCATATATGTTTTTTGTTTTTTCAATGTGAAAGATGGGTTCACTAGAAAACGTTTGATATTGTTCTATGCTTTAATGTTTGTGGAGAACTGTGTCCTTATGGGAGCCTGGTTACCTTACCGCCACGAGTATGGTGTAGTATTTGTGGCAGCTTTAGGAACGGTATTTGGTGGTTTTTTTATTGGTGTTATTGCTTTGGTTTTGTATTACCATTGTTACCACCCTAGCTTATCGATACAAGGGATAATCTTTCGGACATCACACGATGTTCCGACTGTTGCAGGTATTGTTGAACGTAAGATCTGCTGTTGTGTTGTACGATCCTATGAAGATGAAGATGAAGAGTCATTAACGCCAAAAGGAAAAGAAATACTTGTAGATATTCGTGCAAGTAAGGGCTCTCTCCGGCCTGGTGTTGCCCAGGGGAACAGGACCTCCAGCCGCTCTCCGCCTTTGGAAAGCGAGCTCTTGTATCACAAGCCCTCGCAACTGCAGAAGCAATATTCGCTGGATAGAGAAAAGATAAAAAGGGAAAAGGCTGAGAGAGCAAAGTGGAGGCATAGTTCGGGAAACGTTGTAGAAAATGGTGTTACGAAATCAGTTGTAGTAGCTTCAGAGCGAAGAAGTCTTCCTAAAGAAATTGAAATGAATCAAATTCGGGGTGGTGAAACAAGACGTGAAAACGGACATGTATGTTCTGTGGATATTCATACGCCAAGGGATCGTCAACCTAATGATGGTCATTGTACAATCTTAGTTAATTCTCATGTGCCTTCTGAAAGACATAATTCAAGCAGTGTTGTAAACATTGACCCAGATTTGCAACCGACTCATAATATTGATTTGAATTACAATAGATCTAATGTAATCCGAAATGACGGACATAAGATTGGAGCTGTTGTGGCCTCAAAGACATGTAATGATGGGATTCACTGTGGTACTGATGATGAGAAAGAGACTGAAGCATGTGATGATGGGATACATTGTGGTACTGATGACGAGCAAGAGACTGGGACATGTGATGACGGGGTCCACTGTGGTACAGACAATGAAAGAGACACTGGGACATGTGATGATGGGATTCATTGTGGTACTGACGATGAGAAAGAGACTGGGACATGTGATGATGGGAAACACTGTGGTACTGACGATGAGAAAGAGACTGGGACATGTGATGATGGGATTCACTGTGGTACCGATGATGAGAAAGAGACTGGGACATGTGATGATGGGAAACACTGTGGTACTGACGATGAGAAAGAAACTGCGACATGTGATGATGGGATTCACTGTGGTACCGATGATGAGAAAGAGACTGGGACATGTGATGATGGGATTCACTGTGGTACTGACGATGAGAAAGAAACTGCGACATGTGATGATGGGATTCACTGTGGTACCGATGATGAGAAAGAGACTGGGACATGTGATGATGGGAAACACTGTGGTACTGACGATGAGAAAGAGACTGGGACATGTGATGATGGGATTCACTGTGGTACCGATGATGAGAAAGAGACTGAGACATGTGATGATGGGAAACACTGTGGTAAGGACAATGAAAAAGAGGGTGGGACATGTGATGATGGGATTCACTGTGGTACCGATGATGAGGAAGAGACTGGGAAATGTAATAATGGGGTAAGTTGTGGTACAGATGATAGAAAAGAGAGTGGGACATGTGATGATGGGATTCATTGTGGTACAGATGATGAGGAGGACACTAAGGCTCCACTATCAACGAAACGTTTGCCTGGGATAAATCATGAAAATATCAAAATGGAAATTAGTAAAGCTAAACATTCGAAAACGCTTCAGGACACAGAAGGTAGTTTGAGGAATTGTCCGACGGGCGAGACGCTCACGTTAGAAGATAGTGATGTTTCAAACGTCGAAGATCTATTTGCACCATTAAAGCAACTGAGTGAAAATTCTGACAGTGTAAAATTCCACCACCGTTACAGCATTGTGTCTGATTGCATCTCGCTATCTTCATCGAACTCATCTGAAAATGAAGAAAGCAAATATTTAGGGAAAAAACGCGATTGGAACGATGGTTCCTTTATTTATAAATATCCACACTCAGATGTTACAGATTCAAATGTAAAACAATTTTTTTGCCAAGATGAGTCTGAAGCAGCTTCTGGCGACTTGCAGTGTACATTATATACAGAATCCTTCCAGAAAAGGTACGGCGCAAAGCAAAGCCCGATACCCCGCTCTAATGAGCGAAGAAGTAAGCGATCTAACCGAATTAGTTTTCCGAACTTTGTTGCCACTAATTTAAGACGTGGGCGGTTTTCGTCGTTGCGAAATTCACGCGAAGATTGCACGAAACGAGGCGAAGATACCCGACGACATACTGTAGATTTTTCTCTCCTTACCTCGGAAAGCCCTGAAGCCCTGGAAGCATTGTCCAAAACCCTGAAGCCAAAGAAGTTTGGTTCGGTTCGTGACAAGCTGGAAGAGTTACATTTAGACTAATACTCGAGTGGGGAAAACTCTTCGCAGACAAATTAAAGCACCGATGTATACAAACCCTGGGTATAACGCATCGTTTTGAATTGATTATCCCAATTTTAATTAAAGCCATGAATATTTCTGTTTAGGTCGGATTTTCTAATGTGTACCGAACTGGGGATAATTTCTTGGTTTTGCTTATGAGCATGATGCGAAATAGAGTTTCCAATATTTTATATTATTGAAATGTATTATGATGAGTCTCCTGGCGGCTTGTGAGGTGCTCTCAACTAGGCAACCCATGAAAATTGAAACGACTAAGAAGGCGGTTGAATTTAAAAAATTCTTAGGTAATCATTTCCATGCAACATCTAAATGCCGTGAAACTTTGTACTCACCTCCGGCCATTTCCGCCATAAGCTTGATCTGTTCATTATAGCAGATGCGTAATCCAGTCTCTTTTATATATCATTGACCTGAAGACTTAAAACAAATGACCTTCCGAAGTCTGGAAGTGAAATAAAAATCCACAAAAGAGTTTGCATTTTGCACGAATTTATTCTTAATAAATCGCAATATCGAAATTGTCTAAAAGCAGGTCAATGTTAAACCATGCACCATGAAAATGTTTGTATTGTCATGTAATGTTTATTATCATTTCACTCAGAAACCTGGGAACGAGTATGCATTCAACTTGTGAGTACCATTGCATATAATTAAATTCAATTATGCAAGCACAGTACTTGCCCGCTTAGCCTGAACACAGACCTTCGTTTCGCCCGCCTTAAAATTGGCGGGCAGACGCAAAGCCGAAACAAAAGTCAAAGTTGCCTTTCTCCCACTTTGCTATTTTTCGTAATTTTGATGATTGACACATTTAGCACCTAAAAATTAATAAAATCAAGTTTATTTCAATGCTTCCAATAGTTTCTTGTATACATTCTAGCGAACAGAAGTGCTAACTAGTAATAAGAATTAATTGTCGATGTATTATAAAAGGGTTAAATATTAATATTCGAAAATTGGTCTTCCGTATGCATGGCGCCGCTCATTGTTTTCCTCACCACGTTACTATATGCTTACCCGAATGGGATTTAAGTACTGTCACTTTAATAGAAACACAACACTGCGATACATAGTAGCGTAGCCAGCCTGTCGATTTGTCCCGCTATGCTAATATTTTAGTGTTCACTGACTGTGAAAACAATAGATTTCTAAAGACATGAATAATTATAATAATTCGAAATTTACATAGCGGGACAAAATCGTCAGGCTGGCTACGCCACTGTACATAGTCATAGCGAAATTCAAACTTGTTCAAGTCTGAATTTTTATGTTTTTGCAAGAGATGCGATCATACTACACCAGCACAGTGAATCAAAACCAGAAGCGATATGTGCATATGTCTGTGCCGCGTACCGGTTACGCGTATCAAAGGAGTGTGCTCGTGAGTGCTTCTGGTTCGTTTCAATTTCGGTGTTATCAGCACATTAAAATAATATATTAGACGGTGACCGCGTAAATTGACTGCAAAATTGCGACTGTAAACTAGCGACATCCGTGTAAAAAATGTGTTGGTATGATCTGTTGAAACTTGAAAGGCTTACAATTAAGTAAATCTCCGGAAATGTTCAACTGCAACAGAACTTTTAGTGAGTTTTTTTGTGTACTTACATTCACACATTTTGTGAATACCATTCGAGCATCGGAATTTTGTGCACGCACACTAGTTCTTTGTGGAGAAGACGCATTACATGTGTTTTTGAGAGTCTAATTTTTCATCCTATTTTACCTTATACTTAGGGCACGCTTCACGCTTTGAATTGCGTCGCAAAAGTTAGAGTTGAGTTTTATTCCTTGTGAATGATCTTTTTTATGTTATGTTTATAGGCCGGTTCAGTATTTTCGTGCAACTATGTGATAATTACTTTCTATTTAGTTTACTTAAATATTTCGTGATAAAGTTCAAGTAATTCTTGTTCAAGTAATACATGTTCAAGTAATAAGTTTTAATCCACGTTTAAGATAAAGATGACTATTTAACAAATAGATTACAATGAACCGTTGTCTGTTCAGTTATCGATACACGGTATGACGTCATATGTGATAAGAACAAATTTTGTTCTTATCACATATGGCGTCATACCGTGTATCTATAACTGAACAGACAACGGTTCATTGTAATCTATTTGTTTTATATAATAAAACTGAAAAAAATCCAAAATTAATTGAATTATTTGTTTGCAATTTAAAAAAACAAGAAAATTGCTGTGATGTCATTCCGTGCGTCTGTCCTCTTATAGATCATGGCTCTCGACCAATGAAATTGCTTGAATTCTTTACGTTATTATATAAATATAAATTTACCCACAAACTGACAATAAAACATCCAAATGGCATTTTCTTTGAAAATATAAAGAAAATACCATGTCTTTTGCTCAACTTAGTATTAGTTCATCTTAATATAATTTTATGCTGTTAATTCGTTTTTTGTATCAATTTCCGTAAGATCACGCCTTCCCGGTTGTGGTAAATTTCACGACGACGACGATAATAGATAATGATCGCCGTGAGAATTCCAAAAACGATTCCGGGGAACCAATATTGCCCCAACAATGATATACGTACCACTCAATTGAATTTGTAGATTTGACGATGTCGGCGCATTTCCTGGGAATTGAAATTGAAATAAAGTAAATTTTGTTTAAGAACACGAAGTAAAGAAGTAAAGTACCGAAGTATGTAGTAAGTAAGGTAAGTTTGTAAGTAAAGTTTGTTATTTCTATGAAATGGGCGGAATTGTACCAACTATGCTCTAGAAATGAAGATCGAGTAATCAACTGTCTCAGCAAAAAGCTGTAAAATTATTTTTTCTAAATCGCGTCGAAAGAGACGTTTTTCGATAATTGTCGGTGATTAGTGCGATTTGCTAATCAGAACGCAGCATTGGCAATATTACTGAATTTTTACTAATTACCAAGGTAACTTTGTTCGGGGTTTTTTTCGGTTTTACTTCAAAGTTTTCAGGCTATGGAAACAAGCTAACTCTAAGAGACAGAATGAAACCATGTACTTGAACTAAAAGTTTTTAAAGGGTCTTAAATTCGAGTGGAATCATAACAACTACTTTCAAGCCAGGAACAGTTGAGAAAAATTAGTCAACTATCGGTCTTTCGGCAGGAATCGAACCTGACTAATTTTTCTTGAATTTAGTTGTGTATCATTCCATTCGAAATTAAAACCCTTTAAAAACCCTTAGAATTTACGTGCATCGAGTGAAGTGCTACAAAATCGTAATTGATTTACCCTCACCGTGTCTTTGAACACCTTTCCTCTACATCTGTATACCGTAGTAAATATTTTTCACAAAACCACAATCCGGTTGTATAGTACTTGTATAATATGAGAATGAGAATGAGGCATTCGGTTAAGGTACAAAAAAATCAAATATAAGGTGTAAGAAAGTACAATTTCTCATCTAATGCATATTTGGAAACTCTTTTTGGGCTATGTTTGGAAATTGTTGTGTGCATCTTCTGAGGAGTGTGGGTTATAATATCGTGATGGCTTCTTACCAAGAGTGTCTGTTACAGTGAATTTGTGTAATTTTATCAGAACAGGCATAGAACTGTGAAAATACCTAAACCTACTATAAACAAAAAGAAGTTAAAAGATAGTGAGATTTTAACTTAATAATCCACGGGACTTGAATTTTCCCTCTTATCGGCATACTCCCACATTTTGGCGTGGATCTCTCAGTCCATCTAATATATAAAGATCAGTGATATAACAACAAAAATAACTTTTGCATTTGACGAATGAAAATGTCCACTTTCTTGGGTATACAGATCCTTTATGGAGAAAAGTGTCGTACCTTTGTTTTTTATGTCCTTAGTTGGTTTGTGCATGGGCTCGTTTCTGTACCTTGATTCTGTTAATTTATGCTTATTCAAAATACCCACGAAATGTGAGGCCTTTCCTCTTCTCTCCTCCCTGCCCCAACACCCCTATAAAGTCACAGAAGGCATTGGGAACGAGTATCTATTATAATTTAGGTATACTTACCCACTATCCTTAAGTAGTTGCCTATAGGGGAGTGGGCCGACGCGGACATGACGCATTTTTTGCCGCCTCCAAGAACAGGCATATTTATTTCAGAATTTTTCAACGTTAATAGCTATCGGTGTTATAGCAAATTGTGATATACATCGATTCATGGTGCCGTATCTTTAAATAAACCCAATGTTTTCCGCCTGTGACACAAGTACAAAATCGTGGCCCGCTTAGAAAGTTGAAGCATGAATGCTTTCGTTGTAACAAAACTTGGATATTTCCCTCAAAAGGATGCATACATTAATATTAAGATTTATTGAGAGAAAGATATTTCCTAATATTCATCCAATTCATATATCGGATCGAATCTCATATAAATTATACATGATATCGAAACAATCATATTGTGGCATGTGTATATTCTTTACGGAAATATTTAAATTTTCTTAAATTGCTATAGTTAACATTCATTTAAAAATTAACCGTTTTATTCGGCCAAATTGAGTTAAAGAAAAGCAATAACACGAGTTCATGTAAATTTTACTGTAAACCTACTGGAAAAATAGCAAGTAAACACTAAATTGACGTTATTAAACATCGCAAAGAAAACTGTTCAACCAAATATCAGTTGATCATTTTCGTCTTCTGCATCTGCTGCGAATTCACTTTTTTTTGTTTTAAATCCCGTAAGATTCATCTCTTCCTGGTTGTCGTAAATTGCACGACGACGACGACGACAATAGATAATGATCGCCGTGAGAATTCCAACGACAATTCCGGGAACCAAGATTGCCACAAATATAATATACCACTCAATTGAGTTTGCAGATTCGTCGGTATCATCAGAGTTCCCTGAAAATTGAAAACCCATGCAAAGATATTTGATAAAATAGCGCCTGAACTACAGCATTCAAATATTTACACGTGATGTAAATTAGATCATGTTATTGGCCAAAATTCTACGATTGTCTAATCTGTATAAGAATTGCATGCAGCCGACGATCATAATGATTCGTTCCACAAAAGTGCAAAATTCTAAAAATTTATAACCTTTTATTAAAATACATTAATTTCTTACCTATGGCACTTTTATGGTCTACATTTGAGCTGTGTTTTAAAACTGTTGTCGTGTGCGTCTTGTGGGGTGTTTGGATTATAGTGTCGTAATGACTTTTTCTAAGGGTGTTGGTTGCTGTAGATTTATAGAGCCCAGTTGATGTATTTGGAATGCTGAAGGTCTTAGATATGAATTGGTTGTTTTCAAAACGGTCTATGGAAATGCTCTGGTCAGACCTGGAAGATCTGTATATAAAAAATGATGAACTTTCGGAGCCTTGAACTTTATAGGTGTTGCCAGGGTGATGCTTTACAGTCATATTATTTGACACTGTGGGACTGAGATTCAAAGCTGTTACGTTACGCATCTTCTCTGTACTGGCAATATCGCTATGGAGATAGATATTTCCAGCAATTGTCTTTGAAATAGAGTTATATGAAACAGTGGCGTTTGAAGGTTTTATTACAGTATGTTTCTTTTCCATGTGGAGGGACTCACTACTGAAACCACCGTCTCCACGATCGTGTGGCGTGGTTGCAACGTATGATCCTAAAGGACTATAATTCAGAGCAGTTGTTGTATCGATCCTGTGTGTAGCAGCGACTCCATTTTCGTTAAGGATTGTAGTGTAGCTGGATGAAGGTGTCAATTCAGGTGTAACTGAATCTGCTGAGAGATTATAATGTTATGTTAACTTTTGACTAATTATGATAACTTTGACCGAGGTCTGAATAATTCTTGATATCATGCGAAAGCCGAATCCAATAATTGTTTTATTATAAATTTTAATTCTTCCTCGTTTAATGTGGCAAATCTACTGAACGCCATGATTATATTTCATTACCAGAAATTTGGGACATTTTGCGTCCGCGTTCGTGGGCAGCGTCCGCTTCTTGACCCAAGGAATTGGTGAAAATTTCATAAAATGGCTCGATGGTATAATTACGCAATTATAATTATGCTTCAAATGTATATGGCCGGATGCTTAACACACTGAAGAATTATGAAATTTCAAACGCTGTGGGAACCGTGGCGGTAAAAAATACGAAGATATTTATGAGTTATATCGGTAGCTATATCACAACCAAAGACATTTCCAACTCCGAACTTTGCATCGTCCAAAAGGAAAGTGGTGTATTTCACCAGATTGTAGAGCATGTTTACCGATATTACTATGGTTTATATAGCCGAATCATTCAAATTGGACTTGTATATAAATCGCACTCAGGAACCTAGAGGATTTGCTAGTGAGTGGATATTTTTTGTTATAACTCTTCCTTTCTGAGCGATTTACAGAATTCGAACTCCGAACCAAGAAAAAAACACACATAGGAAGCGTAATTTAAACTTTTGTGATTAAGCCATATTGTTTCGCATGAAATTTGGCCGCCATGTTTGTTTTTATCAAGACGCCATCTTGTCCCAAATTTCTGGTAATGTGTTTTTGCAATTCTGAATTCTTAATTTCGCGGGCTTTTGCTGCCGCAGTGCTGCGTACTTCCGGTTGGATCGAAGTTCGATCCCAAAAATTAACATCCCTCGGTATGACGTCACAACCGGTAAAAATATGAAATTTAACCGGATATTGAGATTTATTTGGAGCGTTTCGACCAATCAGAAACGAGATTACAGTTTGAATGTATAATAATAATTATTATTTATTGTAGATTGATTGAAAAATATTTCAGTGTAGAATGAAAGCATCAAACTTGCACGTCTCCGAAAACAGCGACTCTTCGAACATCTTTAATCAGTCGGCTTATGATATTTCGACAATTAAAGGAGTTTTTTACCTTTATTTTTAACCTCCTTATGTTCACAATGTACTCCAGCATCCTCAAAATGAGTGCAATCCCCAGCTTCGATATAGGTGTGGTAATAACAGCTTGTTATGTTTGGTTCTGTCCCATCGCATTCAACGATAAACATCGGTCCATAACTGCGAGGAACGTAAGCAAGCTCTTTAGGAGTGCCCATATAACCAAGTTGACGGCATATAACCTTAGACTCGTCTGTGAACCACCAATGGGGGTCACACACTGATCCCCACTTTCCATAAAGGAATACTTCGACACGACCAATACCTTGCTCTTTCAATGGCCCTCTTAATCTGAGTGGCAAAGTCATGGCTGTAATAATTTATATAAAGTGAACGTTAGTCTTGAGCCCTTTTCTTTCAATGGTGATGTGAAACTCTAACTAATATAAGCCCTATGTAAAGCCCTATTATACCGATCGCTTTGCCCATGAGATTGAGATATACAGGGTGTCCCCAAAAAAACGAAAACTATTGAAATCTCCCGTAACAATGTAATTGTTCGAGTTTGAATGCCTAAGCACTCTGTTGGGACCCAAAGGTGTATAAATGTTTACCATACTCATTTTTATGCATGCATATGATGCAGTAAAATTTGCTTGTTCGCAAAAATGATATTTATTAACAATATTTACAATTTACAAATACGGATAACAATATTTAAATGTGCATCTTCAGGACCATGACCTTCGACATGTCCCCTTTCTCTAGCCACACAAAGCATTTACCATTTCATAAGTTGCATTAAATCCCCACGAGCTAAAATTCGTGAACACGGCATTCAAATTTTAACAATGACTGATTCAATAGTTTTCGTTTTTTTTGGGACACCCTGTATATCATCCCGAACGGGTATGCAATATATTTCATCAAATTCCCGAAAGAAAGGTTTGAAAATTATATACAATATTAAATAACAAGTTGGACTCCATTTGGGATTGTTGAAAGCTGCGCGAGGCATGCGTTCTACTGTACACGCAAGTTTAGACTTATACAGGGTGTATAAAAAAAACTGCAAATATCATAATTTGTATGCACGAGATTATACATTAAAGAATTTCAATGACTGTGTAACTAATTACGTAATTACGCTTCTGGGATTTGAAAATACGTTTCCCAGGGTTATCAAACAAGCACACAAAGTGAATTAAACTTATGAGTTCGATTACGAATGGCTCAGTTAAGAACAGAACTAATAGGCGTACTTTAAAACAAGAAATACTCTTAGCTGAGCCATTCTTCATTGACCTAATTTTAATTCACTTTGTGTGCTGGTTTTGATAACCCTGGGAAACGTATTTTCAAATCCCAAAAGCGTAATTAGTTGCACAGTCATTGAAATTCTAATGTATAACCTCGTGCATACAAATTATGGTATTTGCAGTTTTTTGATATACATTCTTTATACATTCTTGTTTTTTTCAGAAAGTTTTCAATTCACACATTCAAGCCCCCTGTTTATATTTTCACAATGTGCCCGCTGTATTTCACAGACACAACAAACTGCTTATGTTTTGACAGCGGATTTAAGAATGAAATGCCAGCACTCTGTTCAACACTCCTCTCTTCCCGACTAACTTGCTTTACTTACAAAGTTGGAAAACAAAACTGCATAGATTATCTGTTATGTGTACTTACGGACAACTGCCACATCAAGTGAATTCTCGTCTTTTCGATCGTGTTCCTGAGCTACGCATTTATATATTCCCGTGTCAGTTTCACCAACATTTTCCAGCACCAATGTTTGTTCTTCTTTCTTCGTCTCCGTAATCTGTGTGTTTTCTTTATACCATGTCACATTAACAGCAGCGGTTCCTCCCTCTCCTCTGCACACGCATGTAAAGTTATCACCCTTATTTAACGTGATAGGACCGAAACAACTGAATATCACAGTCGGTCCCTCTGAGAATTAGAAAAAGATTTAAAATTATAAATTTTGCATTCATTGAATTTTTTTTCCCATCCAGACAGAGGTGGCAATTGCTTTGCTGCTGTTACATTAAAAAAATTCTGTTAATTTTAAAACTTTTTTCAGTTTAATGTAATGGTAACATTTTCGGTTCGCTCGTGTATCTTGATTGCTCGATAAGCGAATTTCTATGAATCTACGGAAACACTGTTTTTTTACATAGAAAAACATCGAATCGGTTTATGACATTAGCTTTTGCATATAAATAGCATTGTAAATAATGCAGTTTGATTTAAGGGTAGATCATGTCGTAAATGTATAAAATAATTTTTCTACGTCAAATATTTACAGTATATTTCACTGGAAAAGTGAAAACAATATTCTTGCTGTAAATATTTACTGTAAATATTTTTTTATGGTAATATCCGTAGTCTGACCTTAACATGCACGTACTATAATTATTTACAGTATATACAGTTTATTGCATAAAATATACCTTTTGAAGAGCACTGTACTCCTGCGTTGTTATCAGCAATTGGAAATTTAAAATGATGATCTTCGAAACCTCCATGAGGACAGTCCAGTATATTACGTTCCTTTCCAGTACAAGCGACATCATCCAACCACGGGTGCTGAGTTTTTTCGGGATTACCGAGGTCGACACCTAGTAAAGCCCTTTTGGCATCTGGGTAACCCAGTTGACGACATACTACTCTGGCATCTCTCATATCCCATCCACTATCTAAGATAAACCCCCATTGTCCATTGTGGAAAATCTCAATACTTCCTCCAAGACCATCGCGTGCTTCGTTTATCCTCACGTTTCAGTTACCCCTAGAACAGCATACAAAACCCATTAGAATGTATTTAAACGGTTAATTGATCTACACGTCTTAAGCCCCGTCTACTACAGTCAATTTATCGGCACGGCATGGCTAAAATGTGTACGGTAACAATTTCATTCTAGCTCGGCCATTGTATTCGTAGCCTGAACGCTATATTAAAAATAACCCGGATTTACACTATACACAGCGATTTATTGGCACGGCACCGCGGCTAAAATGGGTACCCGTGCCCATTTCATCCCTGCCCGGCATTTGTTTTGTAGCGTGAACACTAATAAAATTTTTCATACAGCTACCCACTGTAGCGCTGCCGTGTTAGTCTCAATACTGAAGTTTAGTCTTAGTCATTACTAAATACTACATGATTTACGTTGAATTCTATTTATTCAACGGCAAGTCTTATGTGACTTAATTCCTATGTATTCATTCATATATAGATAAAAACGTTCTCAAAAGTGATTTTCAAAATTTTCATGTCAAGCTGCATCTATGAGGAGATGTTTAAAACCACCTTTGCATGTCTTTAAAAAATTAGTATCATCCCCGAGCCGGCGCGAAGCGCCGTGCGAGGGTACTAATTCCGCTGGGAGATTTATTACACCCGGGTATTGTGACAGAACATAGCGGAATCCAAAGTTGCTCAAATTCTATGTCGTAGACCGTGGACCGGACGTTCAATGGTCATGGTACTTATGCGCATGCGTGAAATGCGAACGAGTGTAGACTGGTAATCAACGAACGTTCTGATTGGCTAAGACAGAAAGTTTGTAATTCAATGAGAACGTCAGCAATTTAACTGTCATTTCGTAAACATTTTTGTAAAAGCGTTTCATAAACTTTGTGCAAAGAAAGTAAAACGAGAAGAAACAAGATATATAAGCATGACAGATAGCAAAGATGAACGTGGATACAGTCAAAACAAAGCCGTGTAAGAGGAATTTCATAATCTGCAAGCTTATAAATGTTTTCAAAGACAAAGGGTACGTGTTTACTTTGTTTATCTCGTACTTGTTTCGCGGTAAGAATGAGCCGTATTTGTATACTTTTCAGCTTTGTATGCCGTTCAATCGTTCATTTGTTAAATTTTCAGCTTTTTCTGCAAACGCATAAACCTGTGAAGGGTTATTACACCTTTGCTTTAACTTCAAAAAGTGTTTTTGAAAGTGTAATTTGAATTTTGGTATCAAAAATACACACTATATTTATAAAGTATACTGAAACTTTTAGCCGCCGGCGTTGACTGCAATTACAGAATAAAATAACATTTGAAGTTTTTTCTTTGTCTGTGAAGATTTTGTACTGTTTTAATCGTTTGAAACTTCGATTTTAAAGCGTTACTTAATTGCTGGCATGGTATAATGCAGCAAAATTGAACGGGCAATGTTACACTAGCTTTGTGATTATTTTTGTATTGAATGATGGAAACTTTAAGACTGATTTGAGTTTTGTGTCATTTCATAATATAAGTTTAGGTCAGGTTAACTCAGAAATTGTGTACTTGGTTTTAGTGAGGGGTTGCTGCATGCATGTATTTCTAGTCTAGTATTAAAATTACTTTGGATCCGTTTTCATCGATAAATGAAAAAGTAATAGTTTGTTGCATAATATACTAAATAATAGTTTGTTGCATAATATACATAACATAGTAAAACAAAACTCGTACTATAAAATGCTCCATAGAACACATAAATTGCACTTGCATGGCCGTTCTTATTTTTTGTTAATTATTTATGCCCCAGATATACATGTAGTCATTAGCCAAACAGGCCCAGAAATTATTAAATTGTGCTCTAATGCAATTCTAAGAGCACGCGCGAAATTTCTGGACTAACGGAATTACTTTTACGGAATTACTACCAAGGGCACTTTTTTGTTATGTTTTATTTAATTCAGTACGTTTATACCTGTTTTTCTACATGCTACCCCAGCATCGTCGCATTTGTTGCGATGTATTCTGTAACTACAGCTTGCTACGTTTTGATGTTCCTTTTCACAAAAAACCTCATAAACCGGCACAGGCGGATCGTAACCTTTGGGAACGTTCCAAAACATAAGTTTATCAGAAACACCAAGATAACCAAGTTGACGGCAAAAAACCACAGTAAGGTCGTTATCATGATATGAATCACAAACTCTTCCCCATCTTCCATCACTTCACGCGACCGGTACCATTTTCACTCGAAGGCCCTTTTAATCTGACAGGAAGCGCGGCTGTTAAAATAATTTATAAACAAACATCGTGAAAAAAGAAGAGTTTACCCACCACAATGGGCAAACAACGATAATTTTAGCATGAGAAAAATTAAGGCATGTAAGAAGGGAAAATGAGAAGAACGTAGACCCCAGTATGGTGGATTTCCTCTATATTCATATCTGCTAAATTAATTTCATTTCATTTTTAACGATGCTTCCAACATTTTCCAGGGTATTTGCTCTGGCCACACATGCATGAGAAGAGCGGGAATACCTTAACTGGAGACGAGTTTGCGATCTCTGTAAATTATCGTCGTTTTCTTATATTTTAATGAGTAATTCCATCAGTTATTTTGTGGAAAAATAATTTATTTTAAAAATCAATGGCTTTGCCCGCCTGACGATTTAGTCGCGCACTGCAAATTTCAAGTTGTTGCATGTGATTATTCATTGCTTTAGAAATTGTTTGTGAAAGCCCACCTTGAGAACTTAAAAACGGAATACTATACGTAAGCAATACAAAAAGGTATTTTCCGAATTATCAGTGCTGATTCTCTTCAGTACTTGTACTGATTCTTGTTCGCTTTTTTCAGTCGCACTACGAATTTAGTATTGCTTATTGAAGCTGGAAAGCTTACATCACACGATTGAGTGTTACTTACGATGAACCTTCAGGCTGATCGATTTGCGTTCTGTAAGATTGTGCCTTTGGACTACACAGCTATATATTCCATTGTCTTGTTCAACAACATTTCGTAACACCAATGTTTGTCTTTCACCAATCTCTGCCATCCGCGTATTTTCTTTATACCACGACACGTTGCTGGGATTCCTCCATTTTTACAAACACATGTCAAATTATCACCTTCGTCTGCTATGATAGCGCTGGAGCAGTTGATTGCCACAGTAATTCTCTCTAAATAATAATCCCAAGCAAAGTTTGAGATAGAAACACAAGAAAATTAAGCGATTCCATGGTAGAGGGTTAAAACCCGTATACATGGTTTATCCTAGATTAATTCATCTACACTCTTTTTTACGATTTTTTTACGATTTCACTAGCTGTTCCCTATTTTATGTTGTCGTTCTCTCTTTCTATTTTTCAAAGCTGGCCATGCAGTTGTATTTCACATGCATAGCGAGCTGGTTACGTTTTCGCGGCGGCTGGATGACAGATACTAGCATGCTGCGAGACGCTTCCAGCCAATCAATTAAATTTTGTTACAAACACAAACTTCAGAAACTAAGCGCACAATCATAAATATCCGTTACGAATGTCCTTACGGGAAGTACCACATCAATTGTTTCTCGTCTTTTTGATCGTGGTCCTCAGCTACGCATTTATATATTCCATGTCAGTTTCACCAACATTTTCCAGCACCAATGATTGTTCTTCTTTCTTCGTCTCCGTAATCTGTGTGTTTTCTTTATACCATGTCACATTAACAGCAGCGGTTCCTCCTTCACCTCTACACACGCATGCGAAATTATCACCCTTACTTAGCTTAACAGGAGTGAAACAACTGAATATCACAATCAGTCCCACTAAAAATTAGAAATAGATAAAGTTATAAGCTTTAGTAATTTATTTTCCATACGTATTGCAGGCAGGTCTGTTAAAAATTGAAAGAGTAATTGAATTGAAATTATAACATTTAACGTAACGCGCGTGCTGATTGGTGAAGAGGACTTTCCATAATTGTACAGAAACATGGAAATATTTTTTCCATATTACTTCTTTTATAAACAGTACTTATACAGTTGTATGACTGATGGTTTATCAAGCGCATGTTATACTGTAAATCCACGAAATATTTTCACTAGAATTATATTTACAGCAGATATTTAAATGATAAAAAAAAACATTATAAGGATACTGTTTTTTTATAGTAAGTGTCTTTTGTTTCACCTTAAGAGATAGCTAAAGTAAATATTAACAGTAGTAAAATTTCGGTAAAATAAAATTTAGTTTAGTTTAGTTTAGTTTAGTTTAGTTTAGTTTAGTTTAGTTTAGTTTAGTTTAGTTTAGTTTAGTTTAGTTTGGTTTGGTTTGGTTTGGTTTGGTTTGGTTTGGTTTGGTTTGGTTTAGTTTAGTTTAGTTTAGTTTAGTTTAGTTTAGTTTAGTTTAGTTTAGTTTAGTGTAAAAATATACCTTTTGAAGAGCACTGCACTCCTGCGTTGTGGTGTTCTTCGTGAGTACGACCTCCGAGACCTCCATGAGGACAATCAAATATATTACGTTCCTCCCCAGTACAAGCGACTTTATTCAACCACGGTCGAGAGGTTCTGTCGAAATGATCACGATCGGTTCCGATCAAAATCCTTCTAGCATCAGGAAAACCGAGTTGACGACATACAACCCTACCATCTCTCATATCCCATCCATAATCTAAGATATATCCCCATCGTCCATCGTGGAAGATTTCAATACTACCAGTGCCATTTTCCGCGTTTTTCCCATGTAACCGTACTCGTTCAGTTACCGCTAAAACGATGTGAAAATACTATCAGAATTGTATTTAAAATATATTATAGTCTAGTGTCACTATAATATTTCATTCCTATATTAATACATAAAACCGTTCTCAAAAATTATTTTCAAAATGGGACGTGGCTCTTCGAAAGATTACCAGTTAGCATGTCTAGCTGCATCTTTGAGGAAAGCTATATAACCACGTTCTTTTATCTTATTTAAAATGGTCTATTTTCTTTTTTCCTTGAGAAGTGAAAAAAAAATAGTTTGTTGCATAATACTGCGCAGACGGAAATAAACGGTCTTTAGATGCTGAAGGCGGTTTGCTGTACTAGTTTATTTAATTTAGCATACGTTTATACCTGTTCTTCTACATTCTACTCCAGCATCTTTGCACCTGTCGTCGCCTTTTTTTCCGTGAAAACAGTTTTCTACACTTCGATCTCTTTTATTACATGTAAGTTCGTAAACCGGCCCAGGAGGATCATAACCTTTGAGAAACGTCGTATAATTAAGTTGCTCAACAGCATCCAGATAACCAAGTTCACGGCATACAACCCTAGCATCGATGAAATCCCAATCTTTATCACAAACTCTTCCCCACCCTCCATTAAGGAACGCTTCTACACGACCAATTCCATTTTCACTTGAAGGCCCCTTTAATCTGACAGGCGGGGTGGCTGTTAAAATATTTCATGAAAAACATTGTGAAAGTAAGAGCACAGTTATTAAAACACACAATTCATTATCTATGTTATTGTCCAGGTTTATGCAAAAAATGGTTCCTTATCCGTCACATGTCTATTGTATTTTTGCCCAACTATAGGCTTGGCTTAGCTCCTCAACCGTGACTTGAAGAACATGTTAATTCAGACCTTACTATTGGTTTATTTGTTCAAAACACAATAGGCAGGTGACGAATAAGGAACATTTTTTTGCAGAAATGTTCCCCGACATAGTTAATGAGTTCTATTATTTCGGAGTTTACTCCACTATCAGCTTACATTTACGCATTTAAATTTAATAAAATTTGTTATTAAAAAAGCTTCTGGTCGTTATTAAAAAGATATTATTATATAGCAAACGTCACTTCTGGTGAAATGGAGCTCAGTGATTGGTTGAGAATAATTTTCAGCGGTCCATTACTTTCCCGTAGTGGACCGGCACTTTTCTGTAACTGACCGGCGTTAGCGACGATACATTACGAGATGAAAAACAAAGAAGTTCTCAATGAGAAAGGCACAAATAAATGCTCAAGAAATTAATTGAAATTAATAAGGCGTCTCCAGACAGTTTAGGTAAACTGAATAATTTAATCTTTTGTTTTTGTTTTTATCAAATGCGTGCCAGCTAGGCTACTAATACGAATTCATGCATTTCTTGGTTGTTTCAAGTGCAAATACATCCCTTATGCCATATAATGAACTTTTTATTAACCTCGCTTGCTCGGTCTTTACCGAGAAATATCAGACCTCGATCTTTTTGTACAAACCTTGCTCTACGAGCTCGGTCTGTACAAAAAGACCTCGTGTTTGGTTAACAAGAAGTTATTATTACATTTAAACGAGGCTGAACGAAAGTTCGTTCCTAAACACATGGAAGAAGAGAATAAAAATAATTTAGCTCACCACGATGGACAAAAAATAATTTTAGCATGAAAAAAAGAAGCAAGTCAATAGGAACAGGAAACGACTGGTAAATTGGTTTCTCCAAATAAACAGACAGGGTTTCTAGTCAGTCTACGAATGTACTAATATACAGTTCCACTTTTAATACTGATAATACAACCTGTTACAACAACGAAAAAAATAATATTTTTTTATTATACTTACGACGAATCGTCAGTTGAATTGATTTGCGTTCTGTAAGATTGTGGCTTTCGACTACACAGCTGTATGTCCCATTGGCATTTCTACCAACATTTCTTAGCAGCAATATTTTTCTTTCTATTTTTTTCTCAGTAATCCGTGTGTTTTCTTTATACCACGACACGCTGGTTGCTGGGACTCCTCCTGCACCTAGACCTCTACATGCACATGTGAAATCATCACCTTCTTTCGCTTGGATAGGACTGAAGCAACTGAGTAACACAGTTATTCCCGCTAAAAATATAACCAAAACAAGGTTTCAACCAGACGTTATAACCAGACAGAAGAAATTTATGGTTGAACGAGTAAAACTGTGCAAACCTATATATCTATTCGGCAGGTATAATTACAAGTCTATATATCATGAATGAATTTAAATTCTTTACGTCATGGGATAGTGTTTTTGCCTCATGTTAGTATGTATGTCTCAGTCAGTCTCAAAGGGCCTGTATGCATGCATATAAAAGCTTGCCCTCCTTTGGTCTCTCTAGTAATCCTACTACCCGATCATGTTGCTCGCCAGAAATATATATGTTGGTCTCTCTAGTAATCCTACTAACCGATCATGTTGCTCGCCCGAAATATATATGTTGTCAAGTGAAAATAAAAAAAAATTACATTTAACAAATTACATTGTTCTCTAAAATTTATGAATATAACTATGCAAAACGTTTTCTCTCCTGTTGAAAAGTCTCATTTCCGTTACTGTCTGTCGTGCAAAATAACTCAAAGAGAAATAGAGCTAGCGTGACAGAATACTGTAAGCCATGTTATAGCTATATCATGTTGATAAAGTTCAAAATTAATTTGACTAGTGGAACCCCATATATAATAATAAATTCACCTGTCAAAGAACATTGTACTCCCACGTCTCGAAAGTGCAAGCAAGAATTTTTTCCCCATCCTGGATGAGAGCATTCTGAAATATATCTTTCATCTCCGGTACAAGCGACGTGACTTAACCATATAGGTACACTATACCATCCAAATGGAACATGGTGGTGATCTATTGCATGTGCAGTACTAATGGCATATGGGTAACCAAGCTGACGACATGCAACAGTACTATCTTTCATATTCCATTCATGAAGACAGATTGTCCCCCAGGTTCCGTTGTAAAATACCTCGACACGACCGATGCCTTTTGCACTGGATGGCCCTCTTAATCTGAGCGGTGCTTTTATTCCTGTGGGATTAGTAATATTATTATTATACATTATAGTAGTAAAAGCGATTTGATTGGCTAATGCTTGACAGATAAATCGCGCAATCACGCAAAATTCAGTTAGCTGCTAGCAGATAACTGAGTTATCTGCAATTGAGCCTGCGGTGGTTAACAAGCGGTATTCACTTGAATGTATTTATGTATTAATAATTTATGTATTTTTGGATGTTGCCATTTAAAGAAGGTTTTTCATTCGTTCATGCTATGTTTACTATTCTTCAAATGTATAATAAAACTATTATTGAATTCGGTTTTTGTGATATGCAGAGTTATCAAGGTCTCGGTAAGCGTTATCCGCCTCACCTTCGGCTCGGCTGATAACGCTTACCTCGACCTTGATAACTCTACATATCACAAAAACCTCATCCAATAATTGTTTATTATATGTGTACAGAGATTTATGCACAGCAGAATGATGAAATAAAAATCGTATTTCACTCTGTAAATAAATTTCATGCAATTTGATTGGACGTACGATGTTTTTCACGTGTGAAAAAATGCCATACACGGCTTTTGATTGGACGTACGATATTCTTCACACGTGAAAAATTGTCGTATGTCATTTTGGCGGTTTGGTTTACATTTTCTTTCAAGATGGCGTCGACATATAGGAGTGAAATTCAAAACATAATTCTCATATTCAAGATATTTTTACATTCAGCACATTCTCAAATCTTTCGGAAAGAATATCTAACTTCTATTGAACAAAATTACAAAGAAACTGAACGGTAATAAATATGTTTTGATGGATAAAGTTTCGATTTTGTTGATCACTGAGTTTTTGTATATTAAAAGCGTGTCGTTGTCAAATTGATCTCTATACACATTTAATAAACAAATTCTCTATACACATTTAACAACCTCGTCTCCAAAATCTCTATACACATTTAACAACCTCGTTGCGAAGGATCGCAAACTCACTCGTTCGCTGCGCTCACTCGTTCGTATTGCGATCCTTCACAACTCGTGCATAAAAATCGTACGCACTCGCCAACCATGAAGTAATCTCTATTTCTCATTAGTCACCGACAGTCGGCCATGTATTAATTGTTGGTGACCGTTGACGAATAAAATTTATTCAAAATAAGAATGCACTTCTCCATGTAACAGACAAAAGCATACGCCGAGTGTCGCTGACCTATATGAGAAACAGACATTTACAAAAAAAGTTTCCAAGATTTCCAAAGGAATTGGTATGTTGAGACGCATGAAACCTTATATACCGAAGTTTGCTCTTATACAAGTTTACAATGCCATAATTCTGCCACATTTTGACTACTGTAGCCTTGTTTGGGATACTTGTAGTAGTTATTTGATCGAAAAGTTACAAAAAATGCAAAACAGGGCTGCACGAGTTATAACTGGTAAATCGTATGAAACAAGGTCGAGTGAAATCCTAGCAGACCTTGGGTGGCTACCATTGGCAAAACGAATGAAAATAAAAAAGGCAACGTTTATGTACAATATAAGAAACAAAAATCACAATGAATCTATGATAAATATGTTTAAAATAAGCAACAATAAAGCTCATAATCTACGAAGTAACGAAATTAATTTTCAAATTCCAAAGCCAAGGACAAACTTTATGAAGAAAAGCATCAGCTTTTCCGGCGTAACATTGTGGAATGATCTGCCAACCACTGCAAAACAACAAGAGCTAACAATTGCTCAATTTAAAAATATTCTTGGTAGCCATTTTACGTCTAATAATTAGTAATTTCTTTTAATTCTTATACTTTCATAAATTTATATAATTGTGTGTGTTAATTTTTGTAAGTAATGTATAGATTGATTTTTACTAGCGTGTGAACGGCCTCTTGAAAATCAGTTTTTAGTACTGAAGGGTTACCGTTTTGTAAATAAGGTTAAATAATAATAATAATAATACTTCAGCTGTTTATCTATGAAGACTATTATCTTTGATCCCTAGCTTGACACATTCAATATGCACTATTAGCTTAATACTTTAGTGCACATTTCATAACAGTCCTAAGTAAAAGTATAATACCTTTGTTTGTGGTGAAATATGTAATGTTTGTGTCAGACAACGGATTCTGAAATAAGGCCTAGTTTTTGTTTTAGATTTTGTTTGCGTCGAATGTTATTCAAACAATAGATAATGAGATGATAATGAGGGTTGCCATATGGGGTCGCTCATTCTTCAAGCTACTATCAATCTGGAGTTTTTAAAATTCGCGACTTTGCGAATTTTCTAAAGCCGTTCTTTGCTTTTGGTTTAGCTAATGACGAGCACGACGACTATAAACTGTATGCATATCAAAAGCAAGCAACCTCGACCTTACCATATTTTGCCCCTACGCGATGGTCGCTGCGGGGGTCAGCCTAGTTCCTAGGCCTCTATACGTTCTTTAGTACGCGATCTCAATCTCATTAATATACGCACGGAACAGCGTGCAATGAGGCCTAGGGACTAGGCTGTATGATGGCACCCAAGGATCCCAGTATCATAACTATAGTTTTCGGCTCCTTCCTACGGCTACGCATTTTACGGTCATCGAACTTGAACTAACATATTATATATGAACATGTCCCCCGCCCCAATGATTGACGCTGGCTATGCCTATGGTAGATGAGTACCTCCAATTTTCAAATGAATTCGGTAGATGTCTTCTGAGCCGTTTTTAAAAAAAACATTACATACATAGAATCCACTATCATAAACTCTGACATTCTGCAAGATTACTTTCGTTGAATTATGAAGTGCGACGCGTCCTTTATAACTTTCATGAATCTTGAGACCTTGACCTTTGAAGTGGTGCATAATAAATGTTCTTTCGGATAAGCTAGGAACCGAACTATAACGGAGAATTGTGGATAGACATGAATCGTCGCTGATACAAGGGATTTCCACGTCTGAACCAACCGTCACGGTTTGAACACGATAATCTGACGAGGATAATGCTAATACTAGAAACATGAAACAAAAAATTAGTTATGTGATCAAAACGGGTTGAGTGGCAATCTTGGCAATGTACTTCATTGACAAATGAAGTACTTTATTGTTTTATTTATTTTTGGTATATTATTTATTTATTGAAGTTCTTTATTGTTTTTCTTTTTTTCTGAGCACCAACAATCCATCACCGACTGTCGGCGACATACGAGAACCAGTCTTCAATTGTTTGTGCTCAGAAATAAGGAAAATTCCTTTAAAAAAACAAAGTGCTTCATTTCCCTCAGCACGAGGAATTACCAATGTCAATGATGTCCTATTTCATCAGCGATATACACATTTAATAAACAAATTACTTCATTGTTGGCTCGTTTGTACGATTTTTATTATGCACTCGTTGCGAAGGATCGCAAAATCACTCATTCGCTGCGCTCACTCGTTCGTATTGCGATCCTTCACAACTCGTGCATAAAAATCGTACGCACTCGCCAACCATGAAGTAATCTCTATATACTACGTTCACACGATGCCAGCATAACTTGACAACGGTACAAAAATTGCAGCGGTTCGAAAATTTTCCGCTTACGGCGCTTAGTGGTCGCGTTTACGCGATGCCTGGACAACATAATTGTTTGTCATTTAGCCAATATCACAAGCCAATAAGATTTTAAACAAGAATATCGCCGCCAGAAAACATGACACCGAAAAGAGCTAGTAGGAAGTAATCACTAATAAAATTACTAATAAGTCATTTAGTCACAATCTTGCCATTCTTCCAGAACAGGAAAATTTTCCCGCTTGGCTGTATACACAGCTATGTTGTTAAAATTATCAAATTATATTAATGAAAAGAGCTGCGCTCAAGCATCCAAGTTGGATGAAATCCATTTCTCTCATCATTCCGTCGTAAAAATTAACAGCATATACGCAAGGTCGAAACGGCATAATTTAATACCGTTTTCAAATGAAAACGGCATCATGTAATTACATGTAAACGGGGTCTTAGTGATAAGTTGGCCACTCAGCCATACATATCTCAAAATGTTCCGACTTGAGTGGGTGAACTGATGCATCTAGTTGTGCTTCAAGGCCTTCTCAATCATGGCAAATAAAAAACTAGCAGCTGGCAAATGCTGCTTGGAATTGTTAAAAGGGAGCTCGGCTATCACAAGGAGTGCGATAACGAATACAAAATTCGTCATTTTTGCGCTAACTCTGCTTTGTTTTTTTACACCTTCTGGCGAAACTCGTAGTGGATGAAATTATTGCCTAAACTAGACGTTTTAGCGATGGCGTATGCTAGCAACGCGCGAGAATAACAAATCCCGTAGTTGTATAGCTATGTTCGTGGTCATGCGTATTTGCCATTTTCCGGCGAATATGACCATGGTCGTATTTGCCATTTTTCGACGAATATGACCATGGTCGTATTTGCCATTTTCCAGCGAATATGACCATGGTCGTATTTGCCATTTTCCAGCGAATATGACCATGGTCGTATTTGCCATTTTTCGGCTAATATGACCATGGTCGTATTTGCCATTTTCCAACAAATATGACCATGGTCGTATTTGCCATTTTCCGGCCAATATGACCATGGTCGTATTTGCCATTTTCCGACGAATATGACCATGGTCGTATTTGCCATTTTCCGACGAATATGACCATGGTCGTATTTGCCATTTTCCGACGAATATGACCATGGTCGTATTTGCCATTTTCCGACGAATATGATCATGGTCGTATTTGCCATTTTCCGGCGAATATGACCATGGTCGTATTTGCGATTTTCGGCCGGCGAATATGACCATGGTTGCATGCTACTAAAGCTCTAATTCTGTACTCTATTGAAAAACAATAAACAAAACCACTACTCAATTCTCTTGGCCCTAATCTAATAATAATTAGTCATAAAAAATAGAATAAATCGACTTTTAAATTAATTGAATTGTGTGATTAGATGATATTAGCAGTCAAGATAATTTAGATAAACCCGAATTAAACTGGTTATACGCATGCGTGGCAGAGTGTAGTAACTAGTCAACTACGGACCTGTTTCTCCAACTGCTATTATCAGAGCTTTGTGCGGGCATATATGGACTTGGGTTCGAGAATGTGGCGTGGGAACCAAAATTAGAGCCTTGTGCGACCCACGTGTAATTTGTAATTTGTAACGTTTTCGACACAGCGTCGAGAACAATGCAAGCGTGTTCCGTTAAATATGCTTTTTTGTCAGTTTTTATATGATTACTTTAAATGTCGGGTTACATTTATAAGGATATTACTATTAAAGCAAACAAGGATTCTCAATGTCTAATATCGCTTTAACTCTCATAACAATGCGATGATAATCGTTGAGATGAAATGATTTCTTTGAATGTAAGAAAATAAAAGTGCCTCGTTTTGAACCCCTATATCCACGTCGATTAAGATGTTTACCACGCAGATACAATTTTGTACTTCTTGAGAAATTGCGGTTTATATTCTCATATGTTGTATGTATAGATATCGAAAACAAATGCTTTTGCATAATTGTGGAATATCTTAATTATAGATGTAAACATCTTACCTTTACATCGCTCTGGGACAAAGTACAACGCGCATAATACGCCTGTGATAAAGACGAAGACTTGCATCATTCAAATAACGAACTCAACTCTAACATGGCGTGTACATGTGTTGATGATATTTTACTGCTTAATATTTGCAGACAGATTTCGATATCTTCGACAAAGATATTGATCACCCGTGCAACCGCTCATTGTTTACCTCAGCGGGGTGTGCGAGGCTTGAGACCGCATTGATATATGCTTTATTTACCCCATAGGATTAAACTTTTTTAGCGATCATTTTACTCTAATACAAGTAATTATAATAACACCGCGAGGGTCAGTAATGCCCTTCAAGTATATATAGTGTCACACATAAACTGAAATTTGTTGTAAGTTCGTATATCAAAAACAAAGAAATGTTATCACAGACTGATACGAAACAAAGCAGAAAGGTCGTGTCCACGAACCGCGATCAAAAGACTGCTTCTTTCTGTTTCGTTTCATTTTTCGGCAATACATCTACACAATCTTAAAGCTTAATTGGTTCTTAATCTTTAACCTGCCGAATGAAGTAAACTCCGAAACCATTTATCTAAAACTGTCTGCACGTTAGTGAAACGTTGCATAGCTATTTATTTCAAGTCAATAAAGTTCTTATAGTTCTATAACTATATAAGAACCGAATGATATTTTAGCCACGTTTTGCTTCGATGGAGTTGAAGTGGAAATGATAATAGAAGTTTGAACCCGTTTGAACCCCAGCAATATTCGTTGGATAGAGAAAAGATTAAAGGGAAATGGCAATATATTGTTTATTTTTCTTATTTGAAAGAGCTTTGAAAACTATACTTATTCTCTTTTATCGTTTTTTTATATCTTGCTTACTTCTACAAATATTTTGATCGAAAAGAATGAAATATCCGCCATGTGAGAAATATCCGAAATATCCGCCATAATGAGATAAAAAGTTTTCCAAGATGGCGGATATTTCATTCCTTTCGATCAAAATATTTGTAGAAGTAAGCAACATATAAAAAAACGGTAAAAGAGAATTAAATACAGTTTTCAAAGTTCTTTCAAATTAGAAAATAAAAAAATATATTGCTATTTCCCTTTAAAAGGGAAAAGGCTGAGAGAGCAAAGTGGAGGCATAGTTCGGGAAACGTTGTAGAAAATGGTGTTACGAAATCAGTTGTAGTAGCTTCGGAGCGAAAAGGTCTCCCTAAAGAAATTGAAATGAATCAAATTCGGGGTGGTGAAACAAGACGTGATAATCAATTGCGATATGTGCATATATGTCTGTGCCGCGTAAGCGTTACGCGTATCAAAGAAGTGTGCTTGAGTGCTTCTGGTTCGTTTCAATTTCAGTGTTATCTGCACATTAAAATAATATTTTATGTTATAACGTTAGGGCACGCTTCGCACTTTGAGCTGCGTCGCAAAAGTTGGAGCTCAGTTTTATTCCTTGTGAATTATCTTTTTTCTGTTATGTTTATAGGCCGGTTCATTATTTTCGTGCAACTAATATGTGATAATTACTCTCTATTAACTTTAATATTTCGTGATAAAGAACATGCATATGCCATATTCAAGTAATAAGATATCTCGATTTGAAGAATAAACTAATTCTAGTAAACTAATTATCCAAATTTATACGAGAAATTTCTAAATGGCTGCATCAGCTTACGAAATGCATTGAACCGCAGTGTTTAATTCCACGTTTACGATAAAGATGACTGTATGTAAATTTACCCATGCACAAACTGACAATAAAACATCCAAATGGCATTTTCTTTGAAAAACATAACAGAAAATACCATGTGTTTTGCTCAACTTAGTATTAGTTCATCTTTTCTGTTGCCAATTCGTTTTTCGTATTAATTCCCGTAAGATTCATCCCTTCCTGCATGGTTGTGGTAAATTTCACGACGACGAAGATAATAGATAATGATCGCTGTGAGAATTCCAACAACGATTCCAGGAACCAATATTGGCACAACAATGATATACGTACCACTCAATTGAATTTTTAGATTTGACGATGTCGGCATTTCCTCAGAATTGAAATTCCATGAAATAAATTTTGTTTAAGAACACGAAGTAAAGAAGTATAAAGTACCGAGGTATGTAGTAAGCTAGGTAAGTTTGTAAGTAAAGTTTGTGATTCTATGAAATGGGCGGAATGATAAAGGGCGGAATTGAACCGACTATGCTCTAGAAATGAAGATGAGTAATCAACCGCGTCTCAACAAAAAAGCTGTAAATTTATTTCTCTTAAATAGCGTCGAAAGAGACGTTTTTCGATGATAGTCGGTGATTAGTGCAAAAAGCTAATCAGAACGCAGCATTGGCAATATTACTGAATTCTTACTGATTACCAGGTAACTTTATTCGGATTTTTTTCGATTTTACTTCATAGTTTTCAGGCTATGGTAACTCTAAGAGACAGAATGAAACCATGTTTTTGAACTAAAAGTTTTTAAAGGGTCTTAATTTCGAGTTGAATCACACACAACTATTTTCAAGCCAGGAGCAGTTGAGAAAAATTAGTCAATTATCGGTCTTCCTGCAGGAATCGAATTTATCTACATTAAGTGGAGTGCCACAAAATCGTGATTGATTTACCCTCACCGTGTCTTTGAACACCTTTCCACTACAGCTGTATACCGTAGTAATATTTTTCACACAACCAAAAATCCGGTTGTATAGTACTTGTATAATACGACAATGAGAATGAAGCATTCGGTTAAAGTAAAAAAATCAAATATAAGGTGTAAGAAAGTAAAATTTTCATCTAATGCATATTAATTTTGGAAACTCTTTTTGGGCTATGTTTGGAAATTGTTGTGTGCATCCTCTGAGGGGTGTGGATTATAACATCATGATAGCTTCTTACCAAGAGTGTCACAGTGGATTTGCGTAACCCTGCAGTAGTGTTTTGCGAGGTTTTGGGAGTACTATCGTTCAATGTTATGAAGTGACTATCCCCAAGACGTTCTGTGGAAATAATATCATCAGACCAGGCATGGAACTGTGAAAATACCTAAAGCCAATACAAACAAAAATAATTAAGTTAAAAGATAGTGAGATTTTAACTTAAAAATCCGGGACTTGAATTTTCCCCCTTATCGGCATACTCCCACATTTTGGCCTGGCTCTCTCAGTCCATCTAATATATAAAGATCAGTGATATAACAGCAAAAATAACTTTTGCGTTCGACGAATGAAAATGTCCACTTTCTTGGGTATACAGATCCTTTATGGAGAAAAGTGTCATACCTTTTTTTTATATAGCTTAGTAGGTTTGTGGGCTCGTTTCTGTACCTTGATTCTGTTGATTTATGCTTATTCAAAATACCCACGAAATGTAGGTATTTCGAACGGCCGATCACGAGGCCTTTCCTCTTCTCTCCTCCTCCTAGCCCCAACCTCCCTATAAAGTCACAGAAGGCCCTGGGAACGAGGTTAGCTATGACCGCACTCATCCTTGTCTCAATACGCTGCGTAATAACAGCTTTTCATGTTTTGCTCCATGCCTTCGCAATTAACTAAGTAAGACGGTCCATAACCGTGAGGAACGTATCCCAAATCAATTCGTTCAACATTGCTGGGTATAACCAAGTAGACGGCATACGTCCTTGGCATCCTTTAAATCCCAGTCTAGGTCACAAACTGTTCCCCCTTTTCTACAAATTAAGGAATACCTCGACACGACTAATACCTTGCTGTTTCCTTGGCCGTCTTAATCTGAGTGCAAAGCAAGGCTGTATGTTAGTTTCAAACCTATTATAATTTTAGGTATACTTACCCAATACCCCTAAGTGGTTCCCTATAATGGGCCGACGCGGACATAAGGCATTTTTTGCCGCCTCCAAGAACAGGCATATTTATTTCAGAATTTTTGAATGTTAATAGCTATCGGTGTTATAGCAATATGTGATATACATCGATTCATGGTACCGTATCCTTAGATAAACCCAATGTTTCCCGCCCTGGACACAAGTACAAAATCATTGCCCGCTCAGAAAGTCGAAGCATGAATATTTTCGTTAAAACAAAACTTGTATATTTCCCTCGAAGGCATGCATACATTAATATTAACAGTTTGGGAGGATATTTCCTGAAATTCATCGAATTCATCGATCTGATCGCAGCTCATATAAATTATACATGATATCGAAACAATCATATTGTGGCCTGTGTATATTCTTAAGTTTTCTTATATAGTTAAGTTTTCTTAAATTGCTATAGTTAAAATTTATTTAAAAATTAACCGTTTTATTCGGCCAAATTGAGTTAAAGAAAAGCAATAACACGAGTTCATGAAATTTTAGTATAAACCTACTGGAAAAATAGCAAGTAAACACTAAATTGACGTTATTAAACATCGCAAAGAAAACTGTTCAACCAAATATCAGTTGATCATTTTCGTCTTCTGTATCTGCTGCCATTTCACTTTTTTTTGTTTTAAATCCCGTAAGATTCATCTCTTCCTGGTTGTCGTAAATTGCACGACGACGACGACGACAATAGATAATGATCGCCGTGAGAATTCCAACGACAATTCCGGGAACCAATATTGCCACAAATATAATATACCACTCAATTGAGTTTGCAGATTCGTCGGTATCATCAGAGTTCCCTGAAAATTGAAAACCCATGCAAGGATATTAAATTTTGTCAAAATAGCACCTGATCAACTACAGCATTCAAATATTTACACGTGATGTAAATTAGATCATGATCATTGGTCAAAATTCTACATTTTCTATTTGAAAATGGCAAAGTGTTTACCATGCTTATTAGTAAACAATTTACATTATAAACTGGCCAATAGACAATAGTATAAACTCTGTGTAATATATTTTGTAATATTAAATTTAAAACATGACAAAATAAACAGAAGACAGGGTTGTTGAAGCTACAGATTATCTGGTGAAAAAAAGCACTGTCACATTGATACATTAATAAGCGAACCCCAATATCTTAAATAATTTCAATATCAAAACACACTGGCATATATTGCAATAAAAAGCATGAATTAGAGGCACTGGGAGCGCTCTATATAAACATGTAAATATTTTATTTAATTGAATACCGTTATTTGCGCGCGCAAAAATCAAACATTTGATTTTCCTTTAGAATTGGCGGATTTGTAATACACGAACGGTATATGGCTTCCGCAAAAACATCTATTGAAAGACTGCATTTGTCGAATCTCTGCAGTTAGTGCCATGCAGCGTTTAAAACTTAACCGAGGATAAAATATATAAACAGCGGAATGAACAGATCGGCCAAAGGTTAACTCTGTAGTTACATACATATTTACCTTGAAATTGCGCACAATATAATCTTCAAAACCCATTTCCACCTACTACTCTTTTAATCCGTCAATTGACTTTTACATATTTTTGACTTTTAACGTCCAGCGCAGATTATTCAACAGATTCTAGCGCACAACAGACTCTGCGACTTACCAGTTACGCATCAGGAACCAAAGACTACAATTCATATATTCGCCGTGCTTCCACTACGCAAATTATTCACTTTACTCTTTTACTCGTGAATTGTGTAAAATTACTAGCAAATGATCATGTTGAGTAATTTTACTCAATACTTGAGTAAAACCGTTAAACTGAAGCATTCATTTTACTCAGACCTTGAGTAAAATGTAATTGCAAATAATCAGTTTACTCAATGTTTGAGTAAATTATCAAGTTTTATCGTAAAATTGAGTTATTTTACTCAATTTGAGTAGCTATATTTACTCGGCTTGTTGAGTATATCATCCTAAGTTACTCAAAACAATTTACTGAAACATTTGCGTAAACACTTTACTCAAAATTTTGAGTGGAGCGCCTCTATATTTGCGTAAATCTACGCATGAATCGAGTAAAAATAACGTTTTAGCTACTCAACTTTTTGAGTAATTTTACTCGAATTCAAAAAAAACTTTCGCAATCTGTATAAGAATTTCATGCAGCCGACGATCATAATGATTCGTTGCACAAAAGTGCAAAATTCTAATAATTTATAACCTTTTATTAAAATACATTAATTTCTTACCGATGGCGCTTTTATCGTCTACGTTTGGGCTGTGTTTTAAAACTGTCGTCGTGTGCGTTTTGTGGGGTGTTTGGATTATAGTATCGTGATGACTTTTTCTAAGGGTGTTGGTTGCTGTAGATTTATAGAGCCCAGTTGATGTCTTTGGAGTGCTGAAGGTCTTAGATATGAATTGGTTGTTTTCAACACGGTCTATGGAAATGCTCTGCTCAGACCAGGAAGATCTGTATATTAAAACTGATGAACTTTCGGAGCCTTGAACTTTATAGGTGTTGCCAGGGTGATGTTTTACAGTCATATTATTTGACACTGTGGTACTGAGATTCAAAACTGTTACGTTACGCGTCTTCTCTGTACTGGAAATCTCACTATGGAGATAGGATATTTCCAGCAATTGTCTTTGAAATAGAGTTATATGAAACAGTGGCGTTTGAAGGTTTTATTACTGTAAGTTTCTTTTCCATGTGGATGGACTCACTACTGAAACCACCGTCTCCACGATCGTGTGTCGTGGTTGCAACGTATGATCCTAAAGGACTATAATTCAGAGCAATTGTTGTATCCATCCTGTGTGTAGCAGCGACTCCATTTTCGTTAGGGATTGTGGTGTAGCTGGATGGTGTCAATTCAGGTGTAACTGAATCTGCAGAGAGATTATAATGTTATGTTAACTTTTAACTAATTATGATAACTTTGACCGAGGTCTGAATAATTCTTGATATTATGCGAAAGCCGAATCCAATAATGGTTTTATTACACATTTTAATTCTTCCTCGTTTTGTGTAGCAATCGAATCTACTGAACGCTATGATTATATTTGTTTTTGCAATTCTGAATTCTTAATTTCGCAGGCTTTTGCTGCCGCAGTGCTGCGTACTTCCGGTTGGATCGAAGTTCGATCAAAAAAAATCAACATCCATCGGTATGACGTCAGAACCGGTAAAATTATGAAATTTAACCGGATATTGAGATTTATTTGGAGCGTTTCGACCAATCAGAAACGAGAATACAGTATGAATGTATAATAATAAAATTATTTATTGTCGAGTGATTGAAAAATATTTTACTGTAGAATGAAAGCATCAAACTTGCACGTCTCCAAAAACAGCGACTCTTCGAACATAATAGTGTAAGACTCTTTAATCGATCGGCCTATGATATTGCGACAATTAAAGGAGATTTTTTACCTTTATTTTTAACCTCTTTATGTTCACAATGTACTCCAGCATCATCAAAATGAGTGCATTCCCCAACTTCGATATGGGGTGGTAATAACAGCTTGTTATGTTTGGTTCTGTCCCATCGCATTCAACGATAAACATCGGCCCATAACCGCGAGGAACGCGAGAAAGCTCTTTACCAGTGCCCGTGTAACCAAGTTGACGGCAAATAACCTTAGCCTCGTCATTGAACCACCACTGGGGGTCACACACTGTTCCCCATTTTCCATAAAGGAACACTTCGACACGACCAATACCTTGCTCTTTCAATGGCCCTCTTAATCTGAGTGGCAAAGTCATGGCTGTAATAATTTATATAAAGTGAACGTTAGTCTTGAGCTCTTTTCTTGAATGATGATGTAAAACTCCAACTAATATAAGCCCTATGTAAAGCCCTATTATATCGATGGCTTTGCCCAAGGTATATATCATCCCGAACGGGTATGTAATACACTGGCGGTCAAAAAGAACTGCTCAAAACGAGTTAAATTGCTCTCAAATGAACGCAACTGTCCCTTTAACAATTTATACGAGTAAATATAGAAATATAGACTAGCTTTATGATTGAATTCCTTTCTTGCACTATCTCCTTGACATTGTCCACAGATTTTCAATAGGGTTAAGGTCTTTTGACTGTGCAGGCCAATCCATTTCTGTCACCCCCTCTTCCTGAAACCATTGTTTGACTATGTCTTGGAAGGGTGGCAGGTGCATTACATTATTGAAATATTGTTTGGAATAAGAGAATTATCCAAAATGCCTATGAAGCTCTCCCCTATATTCGCTTCTTTTTTATGAATTTGTATCTAAACAGTTCTTTTTGACCGCTAGTGTACAATAAAAGATTGATTGTCACGATTCCTGTTACATACGATAATAGCAACATTTGAGCAGTTCTTTTTGACCGCCAGTGTATATTTCATCAAATTCCCGAAGGAAAGATTTGAAAATTATATACAATATCAAATAACATGTTGGACTTTATAATTTCCCTCCGTTTTGGGATTTATGAAAGCTGCGCGAGGCATGCGTTGTACTGTACACGCAAGTTTAGGCTTATATTGGTTATATACGAATTATTGAATATTCGCTATAATTTATACATACGGTATGTTACCTATTGGTCGGTCGGAATAAAAATATTTTCTCGAGGTTTAAAGAAGGACTACTCATTTTATGCCTGAAAAAACACACCAAATCATCAACAGAAACCAACGCTATATGGATCTATTCAATCGTTGATTTCATAAGTATCACTTAAATGATTTTAAACTTTTATACATATGCATACGTGGAAAAAACGCGACAGTGGAAAACAGCTTTTTTTTCAGAAAGTTTTCAATTCACACATTCAAGCCCCCTGTTTATATTTTTCACAATGTGCCGGCTGTATTTCACAGACACAACAAACTCTTTACATTTTGACAGCAGATTTAAGAATGAAATGCCAGCACTCTGTGCAACACTCTTCCCTTCCCGATTAACTTGCTTTACTTACAAAATTGAAAAACAAAACTGCATAGATCATCCAGGGCCGTAACTAGAACGATAATTGGTGGGGGGGGGGTGTATATTCATATATTCAGTTCTGCTCGACGGGTTTCTTTTGTAAGTGCAATAGCTTGCAATAGAAATCCGTCGGGCAAAACTGAATATATGAATAAACACCCCCCAATTATCGTTCTAGTTACGGCCCTGAGATTATATATGTACTTACGGACAACTGCCACATCGAGTGAATTCTCGTCTTTTCGATCGTGTTCCTGAGCTACGCATTTATATATTCCCGTGTCAGTTTCACCAACATTTTCCAGCACCAATGTTTGTTCTTCTTTCTTCGTCTCCGTAATCTGTGTGTTTTCTTTATACCATGTCACATTAACAGCAGCGGTTCCTCCCTCTCCTCTGCACACGCATGTAAAGTTATCACCCTTATTCAACGTGATAGGACCGAAACAACTGAATATCACAGTCGGTCCCTCTGAGAATTAGAAAAAGATTTAAAATTATAAATTTTGCATTCATTGAAGTTTTTTTCCCATCCAGACAGAGGTGGCAATTGCTTTGCTGCTGTTACATTAAAAAAATTCTGTTAATTTTAAAACTTTTTTCAGTTTTATGTAATGGTAACATTTTCGGTTCCCTCGTGTACTGATTGCTCGATAAGCGAATTTCTATGAATCTACGGAAACACTGTTCTTTTACAGAGAAAAACATCGAATCGGTTTATGGCATTAGCTTTTGCATATAAATAGCATAGTAAATAATGCAGTTTAATTTAAAGGTAGACCATGTCGTAAATGTATAAAATAATTTTTCTACGTCAATATTTACAGTATATTTCACTGGAAATGTGAAAACAATATTCTTGCTGTAAATATTTACTGTAAATATATTATTTTTTATGGTAATATCCGTAGTCTGACCTTAACATATACCTATTATAATTACTTACAGTATAGTTTATTGCATAAAAATATACCTTTTGAAGAACACTGTACTCCTGCGTTGCTATCAAATTCAAAAGAATGATCTTCGAAACCTCCATGAGGACAGTCCAGTATATTACGTTCCTTCCCAGTACAAGCGACATTATCCAACCACGGGTGCTGAGTTTTATCGGGATTATCGACGTCGACACCTAGTAAAGCCCTTTTGGCATCTGGGTAACCCAGTTGACGACATACTACTCTGGCATCTCTCATATCCCATCCACTATCTAAGATAAACCCCCATCGTCCATTGTGGAAAATCTCAATACTTCCTCCAAGACCATCGTATGCTACGTTCATCCTCACAGTTTCAGTTACCCCTAAAACAGCATACAAAAACCGTTAGAATGTGTTTAAACGGTTAATTGATCTACACGTCTTAAGCCTTTTTTGTATACTACAGTCAATTTATTGGCACGGCACGGCTAAAATGTGTACGGTAACAATTTCATTTTAGCTCGGCCATTGCAATCTTATAGCCTGAACAGCGATTTATTGGCACGGCACCGCGGCTAAAATGGGTACCCGTGCCCATTTCATCCGTGCCCGGCATTTGTTTTGGTAGCGTGAACACTAATAAAATTTTTCATACAGCTACCCACTGTAGCGCTGCCGTGCCAATAAATTGACTGAAATGGCGCTTTAGTTTGAGTCCAGTCGTTGTAGAATTCCAGTATTAAATCCTGGCAGCGTATTCGAGTTAAGACATGCGTGCTAGTGTTTCAATACTGTAAACCATATTAATTGCACGCTGTTTTGGTCCTATTGATCTAAATTATAACAAAATAAACTTCTCATTCCTTTACACAACCCAAGATGGATGGGAAAAAGGGCAAAGTGATGGTGCACAAGGACAAATAGTTGCATTAAGTATTGAAGGATTCTTTCCTCGGAAGATCGCAGAAAAAGTGAGAATTTCAAAAGGTGGTATGCAACTAACCTTGGAGAAATTCGAAGAAACTAAATCCTACTCAAGCAAGCTTTTAGCTGCTTCGGTCATGCTGGGTTTGGCAATATTGAAAGATATAATAGGATCCTAATTAAAGAAAAGTATCATCCAATTCTTCAAGGACATGGAATTTCATCTGGCACTTGTAAAGATGATCGCGCGTCTAACTATATGATATAATCACCCTAAACACATGTACATCTCCTATGTGCCAGAAATCTTTTAGAAGCACACTCGTTCTGGTGATCTCGTTCTCATGGCTTTCCACCTCAAATTCCAGATCTAAAACTTATGGAGCACTTGTAGGTCCGTTTTAAACGGAAAAGGGCGAGGCACAGACCCACCAGCCAGGATGACTTGAGGCAAGTGGTCGACGAATGCTGGCAAGGTATTGAACGTGCGACATTAAAAAACCTTTGGAATCTATATGCCAGCAAGAATAAAGGCCGTTTCAAAAGCAAAAAAGAGGGATACTAAGCATTGACAAGTAATGCATGCTTGCACATTAACATACGTTAAATGAATGCATAACATCCCATAGTTATTGTGCAGCATGTATTTTTCAGTTCACTTATTTACTTTTTTCTAGTTCACATTTCGGTAAGGTTTTCTGTAGAAAATTAATATATGTTGCTAAAACAATGAAATACAGCCACTGGACTCAAACTTTTGCCTTCTACTGTACGGAACATAGTAGCTAAAACAAAACTCGTACCATAAAATGCTCTATAGAACACATAAATTGCACTTGGCTGTTCTTTTTTTTGTTAATTTTTTATGCCCAAGATATACATGTAGTCATTAGCCAGACAGGTCCAGAAATTATTATATTGTGCTCTAGTACAACTCTAAGAGCACACGCAGAATTTCTAGACTAACTGAACTACTTTTGTCCTTATATCATTGGCTAAGATACCAAAGGCACTTTTTTGTTATGATTTATTTAATTCAGTACGTTTATACCTGTTTTTCTACATGCTACTCCAGCATCTTCGCATTTGTCGCGATATATTCTGTAATTACAGCTTGCTATGTTTTTATGTTCCTTTTCACAAAAAATCTCATAAACCGGCACAGGCGGATCGTAACCTTTGGGAACGTTCCAAAAATTAAATTTATCAGAAACACCAAGATAACCAAGTTGACGGCAAAAAACCACAGTAAGGTCGTTATCATGATATAAATCACAAACTCTTCCCCATCTTCCATCAAGGAACACTTCCATGCGACCGGTACCATTTTCACTCGAAGGCCCCTTTAATCTGACAGGAAGCGCGGCTGTTAAAATAATTTATAAACAAATATCGTGAAAAAAGAAGAGTTTACCCGCCACAATGGGGGCAAACAACGAAAATTTTAGCATGAGAAAAATTAAGGCATGTAAGAAGGGAAAATGAGAAGAACTTAATTAGACCCCAGTATGGTGGATTTCCTCTATTCATATCTGCTAAATTAATTTCATTTCATTTTCAACGATGCTTCCAACATTGTTTCCATGCAGGGTATTTGCTCTGGCCACACATGAGAAGAGCGGGAATACCTTAACTGGAGACGAGGTTGCGATCACTTGTATACTATCGTCGTTTTCTTATATTTTAATTATTATTTCCATCAGTTATTCTGTGGGAAAATAATTTATTTTAAAAATCAATGGCTTTGCCCGCCTGACGATTCAGTCGCGCACTGCAAATTTCAAGTTGTTGTGATTATTCATTGTTATAGAAATTAACTGTCAAGGCCCACCTTGAGAACTAAAAAAACGGAATACTATACGAAAGCAATAAAAAAGGTATTTTCCGAATTATCAGTGCTGATTCTCTTCAGTACTTGTACTGATTCTTGTTCGCTTTTTTCTGTTGCACTACGAATTTAGTATTGCTAATTGAAGCTGGAAAGCCTACATCACACGATTGAGTTTTAAATATTATAGTAAAATTCATATACACTTACGATGAACCTTCAGACTGATCGATTTGCGTTCTGTAAGATTGTGCCTTTGGACTACACAGCTATATATTCCATTGTCTTGTTCAACAACATTTCGTAACACCAATGTTTGTCTTTCACCAATCTCTGTTTCCATCCGCGTATTTTCTTTATACCACGACACGTTGGCTGCTGGGATTCCCCCATTTTTACAAACACATGTCAAATTATCACCTTCGTCTGCTATGATAGCGCTGGAGCAGTTGATTACCGCAGTAATTCTCTCTAGATAATAATCCAAAGCAAGGTTTTTATCAGACAAGAGATAGAAACACAAGAAAATTAAACGATTGCATGTTAGAGGGTTAAAACCAACATGGTTTATCCTAGATTAATTCATCTACACTCTTGTCTAAAGCCTTTTAGATTTTTTAGGATTTCACACATTCAAGCTGTTCCTTTTTTATATTGTCGTTCTCTCTTTCTATTTTTCAAAGCTGGTCATGCAGTTGTATTTCACATGCACAGCGAGCTGGTTACGTTTTCGCGGCGTGCTGGATGAGAGATACTAGCATGCTGCGAAACGCTTCCAGCCAATCAATTGAATTTTGTTACAAACACAAACTTAAAAAACTAAGCGCACAATCATAAAATATCCGTTACGAATGTCCTTACGGGGAAGTACCACATTAATTGATTTCTCGTCTTTTCGATCGTTGTCCTCAGCTACGCATTTATATATTCCCATGTCAGTTTCACCAACATTTTCCAGCACCAATGTTTGTTCTTCTTTCTTCGTCTCCGTAGTCTGTGTGTTTTCTTTATACCATGTCACATTAACAGCAGCGCTTCCTCCTTCACCTCTACACACACATGCGAAATTATCACCTTTACTTGGCTTAACCGGAGTGAAACAACTGAATATCACAATAAGTCCCTCTAAAAATTAGAAATAGATAAAGTAATAAGCTTTAGTAATTCATTTTCCATACGTATTGCAGGCAGGTTTAGTTTAGTTTAGTTTAGTTTGGTTTAGTTTAGTTTAGTTTAGTTTAGTTTAGTTTAGTTTAGTTTAGTTTAGTTTAGTTTAACCTGGTGTGTACCGCATTCCATGTGAATGTGGTTTGGTTTACATTGGAGAAACCGGTAGAAATCTCTCAATACGTCTTAAAGAACATAAGACGAACTGCGAGAAAGGTAAACTGGATAAGTCTGCAGTAGCTCACCATGCGTGGACTTATGATCATCGCATTAAATGGAACGATGCTACCATTTTAGCAAACGATAAGTTTACTGTCTCTCGTAAAATGAGAGAATCTATTGAAATTTATAAACATCAAACTATCGTCCAAGAGGGAAAGCCACTTAATAGTACGTGGCGTGCTCTTTTCGGTGTCTCTTAGTCAAATACTTGTCTAGGGCGCGCGCATTGATTAGAACTTAATTAAATGAAACGGTTTAATTAATAGCGCGAGCAAACTAATCACGACTAACATGATATTTAAGTGACGCGCAAACGTGTATTCAAGTAATTGCACTGATGAAGGTCCGGGTTAACGGACCGAAAGCTTTGCAGTATTTAATACTTACGTGGTGTACCTACAAGTTATTATAATTACTAAAGTCGCCATGCAATCATACAAGAAAATTAAATTAGTTTAGTTTAGTTTAGTTTAGTTTAGTTTAGTTTAGTTTAGTTTAGTTTAGTTTAGTTTAGTTTAGTTTAGTTTAGTTTAGTTTAGTTTAGTTTAGTTTAGTTTAGTTTAGTTTAGTTTATAGTTTAGTTTAGTTTAGTTTAGTTTACTGTAAAAATATACCTTTTGAAGAGCACTGCACTCCTGCGTTGTGGTATTCCTCGTGAGTATAACTTTCGAAACCTCTTTGAGGACAATCAAATATATCACGTTCCTCCCCAGTACAAGCGACTTCATTCAACCACGGTCGAGATGTTCTGTCGAAATGATCACGATCGGTTCCTATCAAAATCCTTCTAGCATCGGGAAAACCGAGTTGACGACATACAACCCTACCATCTCTCATATCCCATCCATAATCTAAGATATATCCCCATCGTCCATCGTGGAAGATTTCAATACTACCAGTACCATTTGCCGCGTTTTCCCCATGTAACCTGACTCGTTTAGTTACCGCTAAAGCGATGTGAAAATACTATCAGAATTGTATTTAAAATATATTATAGTCTTATGTCACTATATTGTTTCATTTCTATATTCATACATAAAACCGTTCTCAAAAGTGATTTTCAAAATGGGAACGTAGCTCTTCGAAAGATTGCCAGTTAGCATGTCTAGCTGCATCTATGAGGAAAGCTATATAACCACGTTGTTTTATCTTATTTAAAAATGGTCTATGTTCTGTTTTCCTTCAGAAGTAAAAAAAATAATAGTTTGTTGCATAATACTGCGCAGACGGAAATAAACGGTCTTTATAGATACTGAAGGCACTTTGTTGTATAGTAATTTATTTAATTTAGATTACGTTTGTACCTGTTCTTTTACATTCTACTCCAGCATCTTTACACCTGTCGTCGCCTTTTTTTCCGTGAAACAGTTTTCTACACTTCGATCTCTTTTATTACATGTAAGTTCGTAAACCGGCCCAGGCGGATCATAACCTTTGAAAAACGTCGTATAATTAAGTTGCTCAACAGCATCCAGATAACCAAGTTCACGGCATACAACCCTAGCATCGATGAAATCCCAATCTTTATCACAAACTCTTCCCCACCCTCCATTAAGGAACACTTCTACACGACCAATACCATTTTCACTTGAAGGCCCCTTTAATCTGACAGGCGGGGTGGCTGTTAAAATATTTCATGAAAAACATTGTGAAAGTAAGAGCACAGTTATTAAAACACACATGGTTTGGAGACTAGATGGCAGTACAATACAACTCAGTATATATGTTATTGTTTACATGTCTATTGTATTTTGCCCAACTATTGGTTTGGCTTAGCTCCTCAACCGTGACTTGAAGAACATGTTAATTCAGACCTTACTATTGGTTTATTTGTTCAAAACACAATAGACACGTGACGAATAAGGAACATTTTTTGCATAAATGCTCCCCGACATAGTTAATAAGTTCTATTGTACTTTTATGTAGTCTCTAAACCATGTATATTCTATTAACTGTGCTAAGAGTTAGCTAATATCTTTTTGATAACGACCTGGGGTTGGTTTTTTAAGACTAATTTACTTTTTTAACTGTAGTTAAGGACAGAATTGGCCAATCACAGTCGTGTATTTGTGAATTAATTATAGAATTTAACCATACAAAGTGTAGATAAAGAGTTCTATTCTTTGAGCTATAATATAACTGGCCCCAGATGGCTTTTTAAATAACAAATTTTATTAATCCATCGTAATTATCGCTACTCTTATTTTAATAAATGAAAGTAGTCACCACACAAAAATTAACTTTTATGATCCAATTAACGTTTCGAGGAACGATTCAAAAGTCTTTACCACGATGATCGTTATGGACGAAGGCGTTGTTTGGAAGCTTGGCATATTAATGCGAGTCTTTGTGCCCTAAATAGGGATGATGTAAGCTATTTGCCAAAAGAATATTTACATCTGATTGATAGATTTTGAGAGTATATAATGAACTGAGTTTCAACATCAGATCACCCATGATAAAGACACTACACCGGAGTCTCGAAACGTTGGGTCGCGAAATGGATCTTTGTGTGGTGATAACTTTCATTTATTAAAATCAGAGTTGCGATTATTACGATGGATTATATACCTGGTTGCCTTGAACTCATTAGATTTTATTAAATTGCAACAACGTTTCGGAGTTTACTCCACTATCAGCTTACATTTACGCATTTAAATTTAATAGAATTTGTAATTAAGAAAGCTTCTGGTAGTTATTAAAAATATATTATATACGAAACTTCACTTCTGGTGAAAAGGAGCTCTGTTATTGGCTGAGAAGAATTTTCAGCGAGTAGAATTTTCAGCGGGCCATTACTTTCCCGTAATGGACCGGCACTCTCCCGTAATGGACCGGCGATACATTACGAGATGAAAAACAAAGAAACTCTGAAGGAAAAAGGCACAAGTAAATGCGCAAGAGAAAATTTAATTTTGAAATTAATATGACGTCTCTAGACAGTTTAGGTAAACTAAATAATTCAATATTTTGTTTTTGTTTTTATCAAATGCGTACCAGCTAGGCTACTAATAGGAATTCATGCATTTCTTGTACATGTTTGTTTAAAGTGCAAATACATGCATTATGCAATATAATAAACTTTTTATTATTACCTCGCTTGCTCGGTCTTTACCAAGAAATATCGGACCTCGATCTTTTTGTACAAATTAACCTCGCTCTACGAGCTCAGTCTGTACAAAAAGACCTCGCGTTTGGTTATTAAGCAGTTATTTTACATTTAAACGAGGCTTAACGAAAGTTCGTTCGAAGAACACATCGAAGAAGAGAATAAAAATAATTTTACTCACCACGATGGGCAAAAAAATAATTTTAGCATGGAAAAAAGAAGCAAGTAGGAACAGGAAACGACTAGTAAATTGATTTCTCAAAACAAACAGACAGGGTTTCCAGTCAGACTAGGAATATACCAATCTACAGTTCCACTTTTAATACTCATAATACAACCTATTAATTAAATCAACGATAATTAAATATTTTTTTATTATACTTACGACGAATCGTCACTTGAATTGATTTGCGTTCTGTAAGATTGTGGCTTTGGACTACACAGCTGTATGTTCCATTGGCATTTCTACCAACATTTCTTAGCAGCAATATTTTTCTTTCTTTATTTATCTCGGTAATCCGTGTGTTTTCTTTATACCACGACACGCTGGTTGCTGGGACTCCTCCTGCACCTAGACCTCTACATGTACATATGAAATCGTCACCTCTTTCACATGGGTAGGAGTGTAGCAAAAGATTAACACAGTTATTCCCGCTAAAAATATAACCAAAACAAGGTTTCAACCAGACGTTAACAAGACAGAAGAAATTTATAGTGGTACGAGTAAAATTGTGCAAACCTATATATCTATTCGGCAGGTATAATTACAAGTCTATATCTCATAAATGAATTTAAATTCTTTACGTCATGGGACAGTGGTTTTGCCTCATGTTGGTATGTATGTCTCAGTCAGTCTCAAAGGGCCAATATGCATGCATAGCTTGCCCTCCTTTGGTCTCTCTAGTAATCCTACTACCCGATCATGTTGCTCGCCAGAAATATATATGTTGTCAAGTGAAAATAATTATTTTTACATTAAAAAATTACAATGTTCTCTAAAATTTATGAATATAATTATGCAAAACGTTTTCTTTCCTGCTGAAAAGTCTAATTACCGTTACTGTCGTGCAAAATAACTCAAAGAGAACTAGATAGAGCTAGCGTGACAGAATATTGTAAGCCATTTTATAGCTATATCGTGTTGATAAAGTTCCGCCATTTTCTATCTTTTGGGCGTGTCTGGTGTTTGTAGCTATGGTAACTTTCACATTCATACAACTCGCCTAGCTAGTAAAATGGATTCAATATAGGTCTTAGTTTTATCCAAGGTAAAAGATTAGTTTGATTAGTGGACCTGCTTAATATTAATAAATTTATTTTTTAAAAAATTAATTTAGCTAGTGGAACCCCATAATAATAAATTTACCTGTCAAAGAACATTGTACTCCCACGTCTGTATAGTGCAAGCAAGAATTTTTTCCCCATCCTGGATGAGAGCATTTTGAAATATATCTTTCATCTCCGGTACAAGCGACCTGATTTAACCATATAGGTACATTATACCATCCAAATGGAACTTGGTGGTGATCTATTGCATGTGTAGACCTAATGGCATATGGGTAACCAAGCTGACGACATGCAACAGTACTATATCCATTCATGAAAACAGATTGTCCCCCAGGTTCCGTTGTAAAATACCTCGACACGACCGATGCCTTTTGCACTGGATGGCCCTCTTAATCTGAGAGGTGCTTTTATTCCTGTGGGATTAGTAATAATATATACTACGTTTACACGATGCCAGCATAATTTGAAAACGGTGCAAAAATTGCAGCGATTCGAAAATGTTCCGCTTACGGCTGCCGGTGCAACATTATAATTGTTTGTCATGTGGCCAATATCAAAATCCAATAAGATTTTATATACAATAAGATATTTTACATTACTGCCAGAAAACATGACACCGAAAAGAGCTAGTAGAAATAGAAAACCGAAGGACACCCTAGTCAGAGTAATTTTACATGGAGTGGATTAATTACTAATAAGTCATTTAGTCACTATCTTACCAATCTTCCAGGATAGGAAAGTTTTCCCGCTTTGCTGTATACACAGCTAGTTATGTTGTTAAAATTATATTAATGAAAAGAACTGTGCACAGGCATCCAAATTGGAAAATATCCATTTCTCTATTTAATCCGTCGTAAAAGTTAACGACACAAGCGTTTGCACGGTACTGGTTAGTGTTCCGTTTTCGTACTTCACCGATAAGTACTATATACGTTTTCATTTTGTGCCGCTCCCGTTTCAATTTTTGCCGGTATCGTGTAAACGCAAGACCGAGACGGCATAATGTAATAGCGGCATAATGTAATACCTGCTTAATGTAATACCGTTTCCAAATGAAAAGGGCATCGTGAAAACGGGGTCTTCGTGATAAGTTGGGCACTCAGCCATACACACCTCAAAATGTTCCGACTTGAGTGCGGGATGTGTATCTAGTTGTACCTTTAGACCTTTTCTCATTAATTATTGCAAATAAACACTCGCAGCTGGCAACTGCTGCTTGGAATTGTTAATAGGGAGCTTGGCTATCACCACGAGTGCGATAAATACTCGTCATTTGCAAAATTCGTCATTTGTGCGCTACCCCTCGGCTCTGTTTTCTTACGCCATCTGGCGAAACATCTTAGTCGATGAAATTATTGCATAATCTTGAAGTTTTCAGCGATGGCGTATGCTAGCAACGCCCAAGAATAACAAATCTCGTAGTTGTATAGCTATGTTCGTGGTCATGCCACTAAAGCTCTAATTCTGCATGTACTCTAATAGAAAAACAATAAACAAAACCACTACTAAATTCTCTTGGCCCTATAATCTAATAATAATTAGTCATAAAAAATAGAATAAGTCGACTTTTAAATTAATTTGAATTGTTTGATTAGATGATATTAGCAGTCAAGTTAAACCCCGATTAAACGGGTTATACGCATGCGTGTCAGGGTTTAGGAACTGAATTGAATTATGTGATTAAATTATATTAGCAGTCAAGATAACCCCAGATTAAACTGGTTATACGCATGCGTGTCAGGGTGTAGTAATTAGTCATGCATCTACGGAACTGTTTCTCAAACTGCTATTATCAGAGTTTTGTGCGGGCATATGGACTTCGGTTCGAGAATGTATGTATGTATGTATGTATGTAAAACCTTATTTAATGACGCTAGCCTTGTCAACAAAAGTTGGTTTCCACAAGGGGCGTCCATAACACAATAGAATATTTACAAAGAGATAATAATATATGTACATAGCTATTTACAAAAGAGAAATGTGGCATGGAGATCCAAATTAGAGCCTTGTGCGACCCACATGTAATTTGTAACGTTTTCGACACACCGCTAAATATGCTGTTTGTCAGTTTTTAATATGATCATTTTAAATGTCGGGTTAAATTTCTAAGCAAACAAGGATTCTCAATGTCTAATATCGCTTCAACTCTTATAACCATGCGATGATAATCGTTGAGATGAAATGATTTCTTTGAATGTAAGAAAAAGTGCCTCGTTTTGAACCCCTATACCCACGTCGATGAAGATGTTTACCACGCAGCAGATACAATTTTGTAGTTCTTGAGAAATTGCAGGCGACGAATCTTGTTTCATATTCTCATTATATTTATATATTGTATGTATAGATATCGAAAAAATCCCTTTTGCGTAATTGTGGAATATCTTAATTATAGACATAAACATCTTACCTTTACATCGCTCTGGGACAAAGTACAACGCGCATAATACGCCTGTGATAAAGACGAATGATTGCATCATTCAAATAACGAACTCAACTCTAACATGGCATGTGTTGATGATATTTTACTGCTTAATATTTGCAGACATGCAGATTTCGATATCTTCGACAAAAATATTGATCACCCGTGCAACCGCTCATTGTTTACCTCAGCGGGGTGTGCGAGGCTTGAGACCGCATTGATATATGCTTTACCCCATAGGATTAAACTTTTATAGCGATCATTACACTCTAATACAAGTAATTATAATAAACACCGCGTCGCTCAGTGCGGATGCCCTTCAAGTATATATAGTGTCACACATAAACTGAAATTTGTAAGTTCGTATATCAAAAGCAAAGAAATGTTATCACAGACTGATACGAAACAAAGCAGAAAGGTCGTGTCCACGAACCGCAATCAAAAGACTGCTTCTTTTTGGTTCGTTTCATTTTTCGGCGATACATACCTAAACCTTATGTTATCTTACACAATCTTAAAGCTTAATTGGTTCTTAATCTTTAACCTGCCGAATGAAGTAAACTCCGAAACCATTTATCTAAAACTGTCTGCACGTTAGTGAAACGTTGCATAGCTATTTATTTCAAGTCAATAAAGTTCTTTATAGTTTATAACTATATAAGAACCGAATGATATTTTAGCCACGTTTTGCTTCGATGGAGTTGAAGTGGAAATCATAATAGAAGTTTGAACCCGTTAAGAAATTCTACAACCTGTTGCCTGAAGTTAAAATTGTGGCAAAAATGTTCGAAATTGTGATGTTCAGTTATATTGAAACAAGGTGAAAAACAATATCGAAACAAGACGCCAATTCTGGCGGTTACTGCGTCGCGCGCCAATCGTTGCATGCAACTGTGCCCCATTTCCTGTCAATATTTATTCCTTTAGAAAAATGTTTCTTTCTTAGGGTTTCTAATAAATAGAGCACTTCGTACAGAATATAAGGGTAAAACTGCATTATTAGGGCTAGGCATATGTAGCTAACGATATACGTGAATAAGGCTGAGTTTGGAATCATGTACTCTGGGAATCAGTTTGTACTGAAATTCAATAGGATCGGTCTGGCCGTTTTTACCCTTGAAAGGAAGGTGCGGTTTGATTGAAAAATGGCATAAAATGGCATACAAGGCTTTCATAGCATACAAGGCTTTCATGGCATACAAGGCTTTCATGATTCATGTGATCGTTGTCTGTAAACCCGTTTTAGTGTAGGTTTACCATGATCAGTGTGTGCTAGTGTATGCAGAGTGAGCATATCAAACAAGACAAGAATCCAGCATTATGATTACCTGCACGTATTTTCTCGAACGACAGACGTCTAGATTTCCTGCGCTATCGGCCATTCACAGCGACTCGTGTACATGTTATTTTATATGACGTGTATCGTGCATGCAGTTTCCTGCTTTTGGTTCGCACGACCCGAGTTCGAATCCCGGCGACAACAAACTTTTTCAATTTTTTGTTTTAGTAAAATATTTCTTTTGTGGGGGTTACTAGGCTAATATTACTATTTGAAGTGTGTTTAGCAAGAAAATATTTCAATACGAAATCAAACGAGTTCAAAATACGAGTATCTTAGTTGGCCTGCACGGCCAGGAAGACCGGGTCGAAAACGTAAAAAACACAAAAAAAAACAAACACCGACGGCAATTTAAGACTGCGTTCGCGCAGTGCGCGAATTGTTTACATGAAATTCAGATGAGCGCCATGCAAAGCACGACCTCTATATTGTGGTTGTCTTAATGAAGCATTATAGTCTTGACTGTATAAAGATGCATTGAACTGCATCCGTTCTACGTTCACTGATAACTTCATAATTATTTTGCAAAATCCACGAAATTCTATGATTATGGATGCTTGTAGATTTTTCTGTTGCTTTACCTTTGCAATTTTATGACACTAATAATAATAAAATAATCGTACAGTTAAGGATTTAATAGTATACTCGTGATGTTTGAAAATTTTGCCAAATTCGATGCAGTTAATTACAGTTTATTATTACTCGCAAGATTAGAATGCATTCTAACCTACAAAGAAACAAGATTTTATGTTTTAGACATTGTACATTGTTTACCACTTTACAAAGCTCAAATTATATAAGCCGATCTGTGTCGTCCCCTACACCTACTAGTGATTCACTGTTTTCGCCATTCATCTTTGCCAGATTTATCTCTTCTCGGACTCGATCAGTTCTTTGTTTTTTTAAAGAACGACGATAGCAATAGAAGACGAAACAAGGGACAAAAATTCCAGCGACAATTCCTGGAACCAATATTGCAACAACCACAATTTTCCATTCAATTCCATTTTTTGTTGATTTGATGCCATGAGTACTTTCTGAAAATTGAGAGGCCATGAATAGATATTAGATCGCAAATTTTCAAATCGAGACTTTAAAACGAAACTGTTTACTTCAGTTAACATCTTACCAATCTCGGAGCTCTTTATTTTCGAGACACTTGTTGGTTGCACTGGAATTCAAAAAAGAAAACCGGTTTATAATAATTGATAATCATTGTATCAGTAAAATGAATATTTTCTTACGAGCGATATTTCGGCCAAAGCTCTTGGAGCTTCCTCCAAATTGATCGGCTGCAATAGACTGGTGTGAAAAGGTTGAACGTTTTTCCAAAACTGTTCTGATAAACGTCGTATGTGAACTGTGGACAAAAGTTTCGTAATTACTGCTCCAAAGATGTCTCGTTGGTACAAATCTACTACGCGACGCAGTAAAACTAGATTTCAAAACTCTTGTTGGGTAGATCTTGTGAGAGGTAACATCTTCAGTTTGGAATTCGATTTTTCCAGATGACGCACTATTTTCAGTCGATGAAGTTGGAGTATATTTCATAATTGTTGTATCATATCGCTTAGAAGGACTTATGACAACAACTTTAGTAGTCGCGCTCTGGATTGTCGTGTAAGGTGGTGATGTTGTTAAAACCTTGTCTGGATAAAAAAGTATTGTTAAAAAATGCTCTCGGTTACCTTCGTGCAATTTATGTTACGTACCAAGTACCAGAACTTCGATTGATTTTTCATCTTTTAAACGGTTGCTTAGGGCTACACATTTATATATTCCTCCGTCAGTTGGAACAACATTTTGCAGGACTAGTTTTTGTTCCTCTTTTCCTGTCACACCAATCTGTATGTTTCCTTTGTACCATTTCACACTGGCAGAAGGAATCCCTCCTTCACCTCTGCACAGACATGTGACCTTATCACCTTGATGCACCGCGATTTGACTTGGACAGTCTATTCTCACATTTGGTTTCTCTGAAATGTAATAAAATACAAGTTTTATTCAATGGATTCATCACATATATGCACGAAACATGAAACGCATAAAATAGTATTTTTTCAATTGGAAACCTGATGCCGTTGTGTGTTATTTCTTCGTCGAAATCTTTACCTGTTGTAGCACATTGAACTCCGGCGTCTTCGGAATGTGCGCAATTACTATTTCCCCACCCAGCATTTGAACATTGAGTTAAATTTTCCTCTTCTCCCGTACAATCAACCTCAGTGAGCCATATTGGTCCCGAGCCAGAAATAACTTCATTTCCTTGTAAGGACTTAAAAGCATCAGGATAACCAAGTTGACGACACACAACCCGAGCATCCTTTATACCCCATCCATCATCACAGATTGTTCCCCATTGTCCATTGTAGAGCACTTCAATACGCCCAGTACCGTTGGCACTTGACGGCCCTTGTATTCTGAGAGACACGGTTATTGCTGTGAAAACGTTAATGTGAATGTTTACAAACTTTATGTATTCAGTCATAAATAATAATTATAGTTACTCTACCTGTTGAAGAGCATTCAACTCCTGCATTTTCGTGAGACCCGCAATCCGTGCTGCCCCATCCGATGTGAGAGCAATCTGCAATGTTTTGTTCTTTTCCAGTACAATCTACTTCATCTAGCCACATCTTTCCAGAACCAGATGGAACCTGGTTCTCATGAAGAGCACGAATAGCATCTTCATAACCAAGCTGATGGCATACAACCCTAGCATCTTTTGTGTCCCATTCATCATCACAGATTGTTCCCCAGGTACCATTGTAGTACACTTCAACACGACCAGTACCGTTCTCACTGAATGGCCCTTTTAACCTTAACGAGGCGGTTATCGCTGCAAAAAGGGGAAAAGCTTTGTAGTTAAACTACATACCTTTTTCAAATTCGCATGTTGCCCCCACCCCCCAAAAGTTTTTCTTTCAATTTCCCGCGAGTTCTGAGGCCTTGCACCGAAATTGAATTTACCTCTTCTCGTACATTCAACCCCAGCATCTTCATAATCTTGGCAACGGCTATTTCCCCACCCGACATAAGAACAGTTTGCCAAACTACGTTCTATTCCTGTACAATCGACATCCTCTAGCCATATGTGTCTATTATCGAAATGAACCTCGCCTTGTGGCAGAACTCTAACAGCATCCATATAGCCAAGTTGACGACATACGACCCTAGCGTCTCGCAAATCCCATCCATTTTCACAAATTGTTCCCCAGGCTCCATTGTTGAGTAATTCCACTCGACCAATACCATTTTCGCTCGATGGTCCCCGTAACCTGATTGGTACAGTAATAACTAAAAAAATTAAAAGAAATTTAGTGAAGATGGGGAAATACGTTACCCCCGGGATAACAATGGATCTATCAGGGGGAAAGCCTAAATTAAGTTTAACATAGAATTGCAACAGTTACAAGACTAAACAGTTACAAGACTAAAAAATGTCACTGGTAAATAACATGTTCAAAATCAACTTGCCACGAACCATTGATTGCCAAAGAAAACAAAACTTATTCATATGTGACTGCACCTGATGAAGAACATTCTACTCCAGCGTCTTCGTAGTGTGAGCAATAATTATGCCCCCAACCTCCACGTTGACAGTTGTCCAAACTTTTTTCTCTTCCTGTACACACGACGTTATCCAACCATATCGGTCCGGAACCAGGTGATACCTGGCTTCTTGCTAGAGTTCTGGCGGCGTCTGGGTAACCCAGTTGACGACATACAACCCTGGCATTTTTTGTGTTCCATGTATCATCGCAAATTGTCCCCCATTCGCCATTAAAAAACACTTCAACACGACCTGTACCATCCTCACTCAATGGTCCTTTTAGCCTCACCGGTGGAGTTTTCACTGCATGAAAATGCAAATTGTAAAATCAAAAATTAATACTAAATGTTTTCCTTCAACTCGAAAAGTTTGACTCTTGCAAGCCTACACCTTACAACTGCGATTGTCGCTGTGATTGGTGAATTGGGATTACACATGACTAAGTTGAAACTAAAATGTTAAATTATCTACTTTTATCTTTAAAATCTGCACTGAAAATCCTGCAAAACTAAGTTTGCTCTAAGTTGGGAACTAAAATATACAGAAACTGTATAGCCCTGTAAAGATATTTGCCAATGAAATATGTATGTGTAGTCAATGATAAATGGTATGAAAACATGGTATGTGTAGTCAATGATAAATGTTTATGAAAACATGGTATGTGCAGTCAATGATAAATTGACGTTGAAAAGTATTTATGTAACAAAAAGGTATGCCTGAAAAGCGAACATTCTAACTTTGAACACATTGATTTTTAAATGGAATTTCTATATGCAGCTACTTTATCAGGAATCGCACCAGTTTTGCAAATCCCTGCGCATTTTCTCTGTCAAGATATCAAACTCCCACCTTCATTGGTACATTCTACTCCGGCATCGTCAGAATGCTGACAGTCAATACTCTTTCCCCATCCGGTATACGAACAGTTGGTCAAACTCGATTCTCTTCCGGTACAACCCACTTCATCCAGCCATATCTGGCCATCACCGGAAGGAACCATATACCCACGAAGAGATCTAACAGCATCTAGGTAACCAAGTTGACGACATACAACCTTGGCATCATTTAAATCCCAGCCATCATCACAGATTGTCCCCCATTCTCCATTGTGCAATATTTCAACACGGCCGATTCCACTTTCACTCAATGGTCCTTTCAACCTGACTGACGCAATTTCACCTGCCAAAAAGTCATGTTAGAGTGTGTCAATTTGGTGGAAGGATGTTTCAATTATACCACAATGATTCCCACATGAAAAAGTTCCTACGTATACCCTTCATTGCAAAGGTATTCCCGGAATATTACGAGCCAATAGGTTTCTCATTTCTTTTAAAATACTTTACCTGTTGTAGTACATTCTACTCCAGCGTCTTCGGAATGCCTACATTTATTGTCTCCCCATTTCCCATGAGAGCAACCAGTTATATTTTGTTCAGAGCCGGTACAAGCGACGTCAGATAACCATATACGACCAGAACCGGACGAAACCTGGTATCCACGAAGAGAACTAACAGCGTCAACATAACCAAGCTGCCGACATACAACCCTAGCATCTCTTATATCCCAATGATTATCACAGATTGTCCCCCATTGTCCATTGTGGAAAATTTCCACGCGACCGGTGCCACTGTCTTTAAATGGACCTCGTAGTCTCAGGTACCCACTGAAAACTGTGAATTGAGAGTATGTAAAAACCTTGCATGATCATGAGTTTGTGAAATCATTAGAAGATTGAAGAAGTTTTTAAGCATTGAAGTGTTTCTTCAAAAATTATCTTACCATAAACAACAACTTCGATTGATTTTTCATCTCTTAATTGGTCACTTTGTGCTACACATTTATATGATCCGCTGTCAGATACATCAAGATTGACGAGAACTAGTGTTTCCTGTTCTATTCCAGTTTCACCAACCTGTGTTTGGTTTTTATACCACGTTACACTGGCAGCTGGGATTCCTCCTTCACCTCGACATACGCACGTGATGCTATCACCTTGATGTACCGTGATGAGGTTAGAACAATTCACTGTCACCGATGGTTTCTCTGAAAAGCAACGAATGCATACATACAGTCTGTTCACAAATTTTCATGTCCATTGCAAAGAAATGGAATCAACGTTATATTTGTATTAGATTTACCTGCTCTTTTACATTCTACTCCAGCGTCTTCGGAATGAGAACATTTACTAGTCCCCCATTCCGGATGAGAACAACTTGTTATATTTTCCTCTTCTCCTGTACAAGAGACATCACTCAACCATATGCGACCAGAAGCGAAAGGGACCTTGAGTCCTGGGAGTGCTCTAATAGCATCCAAATAACCAAGCTGACGACATGCAACCCTAGCATCGTTTATATCCCATTTATCATCACAGATTGAGCCCCATTCTCCGTCGTGGAAAACCTCAACTCGTCCCGTACCATTTGCCCTCAATGGCCCCTGTAACCTGAGCCTTGCTGCCACAGCTGCAGAAATGTACGTGTATGAGCCAATGGGATCAATGATGGAATGGTTTGTTAATTAAATATATTGATATGTATGGCAGTAGATAATGGTATTACAATTTTTGAATATCTATGCCGACTTTTACATTTGAAACACAAAGGACGGAAAGAATGCAATTAAGTCTTAAGGGAATGAAATTTTGCCACAAAGGAAGAAAATATCCTCCCGTTTTAGTCAATTAATAGGCCAATTCAAAAATTCTTAAACAATTCCCATCCGAAAGAAAATCTGGAAACGCTATCGTTCATAGCCATGCATGGCAAGAACAAGAAAGAACAATGAGAACAATAAGAACAAGGAAGAGTTAGGTCAATCTGAGGGTGATGATTCGAATTACGAATGAGAAAGAGAATGAATAAAAGTAATAAGAGGATCCTGAATCAGTAACAATAACGTTACCTGTTGAAGTGCATTCTACTCCAGCGCTTTCGGAGTCCTTGCAGTTGTGCTCTCCCCATCCACGATGTTGACAATTTGTTATCTTTTGTTCTTTTCCTGTGCAAACGACGTCATCCAGCCAGATTGGTCGTGAACCCGAAGGTACCTGGTGCCCGTGAAGAACAGTGACAGCGTATAAATAACCAAGTTGACGACATACAACCCTGGCATCTTTAATGTCCCAATCGTCATCACAGATTCTTCCCCACTTTCCGTCATGAAATATCTCAACGCGGCCAGTGCCATTTTTACTTAATGGACCTTGTAACCTGATGGACACATTATTGGCTGCAAAAACAAGTCATAGGTAAACAAATTTTTTGGCCTTCCGCAATTATAAGGTAATTCTCTTTACTGCATGAACGTTTGGTGGGTAACACTCCTTAATGAAAACAAACGCTTATGCCTTTGTTTACATTTTGAATCGTATATTTCCTAAAATATCAAGAACGTTCAGAATATTTGACACGCTTTTAGGAGCATAATATATGGTTTTACATGAAGTATTAAAAATTTAGGCATTCTGTTTGGCTTAGCCTATAAAATGTAAACAAATGGGTCGATTAGTCAAAAACGAAATCACTTCTTGCTGTTCAGAGATATAGGATACATGCGAACTTTGGGCAATTTTGAAACAAGTAGACTACTCATTGTTATGAGCAGAAGCGATGCGCAAAAGCGACTGTAACCCCCGTTTAAGTGAGGAGTTACAGTAGCAATGAATGTCGAAGTGAATGTCCTTTTTTGGCAATGCCTATGCTATAGGGTCAACCGCTATGATCATTCTTTGTACACGTGACGTTCATGTTACTTGCCATGGCCACTGTTACTTACCAATATATAATTAAAGAAAAACTGATATTGAAGTTCGATTACAAATCAATAAGAAGAGTTCACTGCAGCATAATTCACAGAATGTAAATTCCATGCAGTATATATATATTTGAGTTGTCTCTTTATTAAAAAATATGATATTGTCAAATTCGCTTGCACGGGATAACGATTTGATGATATCATTGAATTTGAAATCTACTTTATTTGCATGCCAAGTATTCTGCATAGAAATTCGCGACCGATTTCCCTATAATTCACAACAGTTCAAAGAGATCACAGAGTGGAATTTAACAAACAAAAAAAACAGTATAAAAATAGCGAACTACAGTTCGCTCTTTAAAAACAACTTTTTACGAAACTATATGCCCATTCAACGCGTGGACCTTTTTTCCCTGAAGTAGATATATCTAGCCGAGCAGTAGAAGGTTCAAATTCGTTCATTAAATATGATGAAAATACTCAAACGAGTCGATTTCTCATCATGGAAATCAACATGTGATCCTGGGTATCTGTCAAAGTTCATTATAATGGTGCTGCATGCTATAAATTTAGATATATCCATGAGGATAGGCCTACAAAATTATCCACTGTCTTACGCCAAGGGGCCATATAAACAAACTCCTATGACTATAATGCATCTTAAAAGTCTTCAAAATTATCATCTCACCTTCACATCGGTACTGCAAGGAATTTAGAGCGAAAATAACGGCAGCAGTGGCGATTGACCATGACATTATTGAATGGTAATCCGTCGAGTAAACACGCTGTGTGATATTTGGACAATTTTGTATACACAATGGATATTAGCCTCCGCATCGTAGCTCCTCCTCTTATAGACGTCGAACGAGGCATAATCTCAAGAGTTGTTCTCCAGATGCTTCTTTGCCTCGCTAAAAATATTTGTTGTGCGATTTGCTGACAAAGCGGATTATCGTCACTGGGTCGTAATTTTGCATTTTTACCGAAAATTAACGTTATTTGAAAAATTTATACTAGGGTGATTTTTCCTCGAGATGCGAACTGTGGCGACATTATTTGAAAATGGACTGTTGTCAGATAAATTCCATATAAACAGTTTCATACGTAAGCGCTGCATCATAAGTTTTTAATTCAGAGTTACGTAAGCGCCTGCGCAGGATTTGACAGCGGATGATGTGAAGCTGTAGCGTCGAGCATCAGGCAACAAACATAAAAGACTGGGCTTTTGAAGGGGGTATTAGTGATGAAAATTTAACGTTTAATTTGAATTTATCGGGAAATTGAAAGAAAAGGAAGGAATCGAAATTGTGTAGAATTTGCCACTTGCACTTGTCCAACTACTGCGGAAATCGAAAGCGATCAATTTCCGCCATCCATCAAAACCTCGTGCATGTATGACTCTTTCACTTTTAGCTAAGTTCATTTCGGGAGAAAATGTAAAATAAAATCACGTGCTGCATAACTGAATAGCTAGTAACTTATCAGTAAAATAATGAGAAACATCTGCGCTGCCTCCTTGCAATTTTTTTAAAACATTTTGGTTCCGGAATTGGAAAATTAGCAACATAAACAAGCTATCGTGTATTAAATCTTTTTCACTTGAAAAGGATACTCGTGGACGCATGGTTTAACGGAATTATTTAATCATAGAAATAAGTATTACCTCCTTACGGAAGAAACGAAATATACTGATATTTTGTGGCTAGGCAGTCTAATGGTGAAATTAAGAGACCATGAGCTGCAACGTGAAAGGTCTTATGCCAATAAAACATGCAATACAGCAGTCACCACAACATTTTCACCGACCCGACGAGTATTAAAAAACACATCATTGAAATGCAGTGGAAGTTCCATGGTGACTAATTTAAAATATTACATTTTGATTTATTCTTCCTATAACGACCTTAATAACAACGCTATTGGCCATGGATTTCTAAAGAATATTTTTCAGTAAAAATCTACCAATGCGTTTACGATTTTGAGCAGTATGTAATAATTAAGTCTGAATCCGACACTGTTGAAATGTGCCTAATATCCTTTAAAATAGCATGCTACCAATGAAATTTCGAACTGACTTTGTTAAGCATTTTGCACAATTCAAAGTAAAATGTTGTAAAATGTTCAAACTCAATATCAAAGTATACATTCCGATTATTCAGAGAATCAATACGTATTTAAAAGATGCCTTATTAACACTGAATAATATATGTATTATAATGGTATAATTTCAATGCTAATTTTCCATATATCGATTTGCAGATATTTTTGCCAATCCTTAAAGTTCATTTTACGTTTATTTTATAAAATCAGCGAAGTAAGATCTCAAAACATTGTTACATTTATCTTCCTAATTGTATTATAATCAATATATCCACATGCAATCCAACAATCAATTGATCAACAATTCATAAGCAAAATCGTTATACCATCAAAATTACACGAAATTATTATATAAAAAAGCGAAGATGCACTAGTCTCGTAAGGTTAAAACCAACAGTCACAATAAAATATTTTGTGAAGTCGTTGAAGATCTTGTAATATTTCGATCCGCGGTTTTTGGCGGGAGTTAAGCTATAATTATATAAAAATTAAGATTTAGAAATTAGTTGGAAAACATAAATAACAGAGGCCGGTTGTATAAAACTATTTAATTGCATGCACTTTGCATAGTATAATATTTGCCTGACTGATATTAAACAAAGTTTGTCGAGAACATTCTATTCAGCTAGGATGCTGTGGCATTGGTACACTATTTGATTGGGCAAAAATGTTTTATTAACGGCGGGCATGAATCTACATACAAGACAAGGTTTTACTTCGATTTTTACAAATAAGTTTTTACAGGCAGAAGAAAAAATTGGTCGGTCTGACTTCGTCACTACGATCTCTTATTATATTACTTTAATAATTTTCTCCACAGCTTTACCTGTGGTAAGACATTCTACTCCAGCATCGTCAGAATGCCAACAATTTTCATTTCCCAATTCACGTCGAGCGCAACTCGTTATATTTGTTTCCTTCCCAGTGCAAGCAACCTGATCCAACCATATATGTCCAGTACCACGAGTAACTTCGTCCACACGAAGAGATCTGACAGCATCTGGATATCCAAGTTGACGACAAACAACCCTGGCATCTTTTACATCCCATGTATCATCACAAATTGTGCCCCATTGTCCATGGTAGAATACTTCGACACGACCTGTACCATTCTCACTCAGGGGTCCTTGTAACCTCAGGGATCCATGTTGCGGAGCAGCAACTAAAATAATCAAAGATTTGATGATGCGCCTCAAACATTTAGTAACATTTTCAAAAGCGATCGGCTAGTAGCAAAGGAAAATGAAACATGTTTTCCTTTATCAAATCTAGATGCCGCATGGAAATGTTATGAGAAGATTGAGATCTACCGCTATCACTTTGAGCGTGAGTGAGATTTTTGAACGCCAAAATGAATCTTTTTTCTACTCCCATGAAATCCTCCTCACATTATTTTTAATTCAAATTTTCACTTTATTATCGGTAATGATAAATTGCAGGAAATGAATTAAAATTTAACCCGTACATTATCAGAATTTAATCAAGAAATTTATGTCTTTTGTCATGATTACCTTTCAGGATCAATTAGCATTTTTAGTACACGTTACCTGAAATACATTCCACCCCAGCAAGACTCGGGCAATGTCCATCTCCGCTACCCCACTCATAATGAGAACAGTCTGTTAAGTTTTGTTCTCTTCCTGTACACGCAACTCCATCTAACCAAATAGGTCCGGAACTTGCAGGCTCCCCTTGAAGATATCTGACAGCATCTGAATAACCAAGTTGACGACATACCACTCTAGCACTATTTATATTCCAACGAAAATCGCAGATTGTTCCCCATTTTCCAGCGTAGAGTACTTCGACACGACCAATACCATTTGCACTCAATGGACCTCGTAACCTCAGTGGAACAGGCTTACCTATAAGAACTGGGAAGAAACTATATTCCTAAGGGAATTAATGGTCATCAACTAGCAGTGGAGTAAAAATCTTTCAAAGATTCTTGGAGAATTTGGCCTTTCGTAGCCTTACCTGTTTTACTACATTCCACCCCAACGTCGCTGAAGTGCCCGCAGGCACAATGTTTCCATTTTTTATGAGAACAACTTGTTATGTTCTGTTCGTCTCCGTCACATCTGACAAAAGCCAACCAAATACGCCCAACGCCAGAAGGAAACTGCCCAAAATACAGTGCTCTAACAGCATCTGGATAACCAAGTTGACGACATACAACCTTGGCTTCCTTTATACCCCATCCACTACCGCAGATCGTTCCCCATTCTTCATAGAGGGATACTTCAACGCGACCGATTCCATTTTCACTTAATGGCCCTTGTAACCTCACTGGCCCGTACATGACTGCAAAAAATATTTTAGTGCATAGCAGTTAGTTCATTAAGCTCAGGATGGCAGTATCTCAATATTCTGTCAGCGGCAATTTTACGAAGTCATATAGAACGAGTCATTACGAGTAGGGATCAAATCTTTTTGGATTGAGAATTACCGAATCTGCAACGGTTAATTAATTTTCGTACATACAAATTGCGCTGCCTCGTACCGCTTTAGTATTTAGGCTTCTTACAAGGTCTCTTTAGCAGCCCAATAGATTATTAGGCTTAAATGAAGTACCCAATTGAACCTGAAGCGCGAGGCAGAAAATTGCGCATACCTCAGCTGAGAACACCGAGTTAAAAAAGTAAAATCTCTGAGGAGGAAATGACTAATGAGACGACCGATGGTAGCTGCAAATACTTAAAACACAAAACGATTCTCTTCTATCGGATACGGCAATGTTTGTAAATGCATGTGTAGAATTATATGTGATCATGCAGGTACGGACTAGCTGTCAGTTGTTTTCAAACCCTTTTGTAAATTCGCCATTTCCACTATGGGGGAAATTAAAGTCCCACAATGCGTTTACATCATGCAAGGCGATTAAGTTTGAACGAATTATGACAAACGTGTGAGAGGCTGCAACGTGTGGTGGGTAGAAGCGCGTTTCCTGATACCCAGACACCTTTCTTGGCATGTTCATGTGTTTTTCGATAGAGTGCTATACGCTTGTTCACGCAATGCGTGTGCAGAAAAAAGCATGTGTACAGAAAAATTCCAGGCATTCAGATAAAACTACCCTTACATACTTGACTCTGGCAAGTCGGTTGCACTAACGGTAGACATTTTGTTTTATTCGCTATTTTAGTTAGAAAGATCATGCCGATATGCACCATTGTGGATAGCGAGTTATCATATTTCACCGGGCGAATGCATAAGCTTTTGAGTTTTTACTAAATGTTATTTTATTTGCAAGTTCAGCCTTGGTATGCGGTTTACGGATACCATCATTTGATAACGGAAAAACATGGTGACGTTTTGAGAATATACTGTGATTTAGCTTTCGTGTTAACACCATGCTGATATAATGTATTGCCGGACTGCCTTTAAAAAAGTTATGTAAGCCAAATTCAAACCCGCATCTTTTTTCAAATAATCACACAAGTGTTACCTCACCGGTAAATAGTTCGCGTTTAATTATATAATGCTGTTTCGCGTAATTTTCTACTGTTATTGTAGAAACAAAAAGCTAAGGTGGCACAGATTTATTTCATGCCGTTTTAGAAGGAAGGCAGTTAAAGCTCATGCAGAGAGACAAATTTGCGCAAGACTTACCATTGCTGGCTTCGCACTGACGCGATATCAGGATCAGACCAACCAATATGTAATTGAATGCCATCTTGTTAAAGTTCTCTCCACACCGCCAATATGCAGAAAGTGCACAATGAAAATAACACTTGTTTACCTCTGTGTTTGGTCACAGTCGAAGTCGAATCACGATTGTAAATTATCCAGATTTGGAAAATATACAGGCCAGGTACGAAACAGCTTTTCAACCTTAATCCCTTTGATGCAAGCGCATTTCCGCAGTGCTAATTAAAACCATGCATTTGTGTGCATGGAAGTCGAAAAATAGACCTTCGAAAGCTAAATTTTGCATGAATTTGACTTATTGTAGTAAATTTGACTTTGGCGTGGAAATAATGCAAAATAAGGCATTAAAACGAATACGAACAGCAAAATCATCTAGAACCAGAGTAGTTGAGCGTCCAAGTTTCGAATCACAGATTTTGAAACACGCATACATCAAATTGCATAAAACATTGACAGATTGCTGAACGTACATTTTTACCAACTTATGCGGTATCGATTTGAAATGAGTTTTTGAGTATTAGTCTCAGCGCGTAAGTTTAAAAAGTACTTCAAAGGCAATTCAAAATAAGTAACTTTGGACAAAAAAAACTGTGGATCAACCTAACGTGCCCCTATGTTTGCAAATTAAATGAAAACTTATATTTACTACATTCACTGATTTGAATCAGATTTTAATCCGAACATACGTTGATTATAACAGAAAACTAAGTGTAAATAATTAAGCAGCAAATATATATATATATTATTTGGCCCAAAAGATTATAAGTTCCGTGCCGTCGAATATAATGTTCAATCAACTATAAGTATCAGTCCTTTTTAAATTCACTACAATGAACAGAATAATTGTTCAAATTAAATGGACTTATTAAATTCCAAAAGTATCAAGCTAACCCATAAGTTAAAATCACCAGGCACCAACAAAGGATCAATCTGCATGGGAAGTCTTCCAAGATTTCGCAATATTTTGATCCATCCTAAGATGCTAATTAAAAAAAAGAGATGTAATGTTGTAAAATGTGAAACAATATGACCTGCATTAGTAATATACAAATTTGGTCTATCGCAAGGTGACAATAGCTATTTTTGTACCCGTTTTTTTGCTTGTACTGACAGTACATACAGATACGGTGAAATTCGCCAGGTTTCTGTATTTTGCCAGACACATTTTACCTTTTTCAGACACAGATTGTCTCTGAAAGAGCCAGAACAATATAAAGAAATAATATTTATTGAAATGTGAATGTTTTTCAATATATATTATCAACGTATTATGGCTCTTTTAAAAACAATTTGTTGGCAGTAAACTTCGTATTGCAAATTTTAAGTAAGATAAATCAGCCAATATCATTACCGGTGACAGTGAGAAGATGCAACGACATTTCCTCCTTGCTTGTAGGTTCCAGTTTAACAACTGGTTGTCCATTGATGTGAAGCGCCTCTCCCGTTTCAGCATCGACTGCACTGAGGGAAAACGTGTTTTTTCCCTTGACTACTTCGCTTTTCTGCATTGACAGCTCACCGTGTGCGGATAGATTTTTGTGAGTTTTCTGCCACATGCAACCTTTTCTCGCATATCAAACGTGTTTGATACTATTTAAATCGTCTTTTCAAGCTCTATCGTTTGGTGGTATTCCGTACGACAACAGTGAGTTATCTAGGTATCTATGTACGACAACAGTGAGTCAGTGGCGGGTCGCGCGGGCCGGCGCGGCTCGAAGCCAGTTTTTTTGCCCTACAGGCAATATGACGGAAATAACCTTGCAGGGGTTCGCAGACGCAGGTAAATTCCATATATAGAACGCATACCATGAATGGTTTTCGCCAGAATGAATGACAAAAATCGAGATTTCGCCTCAAAATACGTGCCCAGACTCCGAGGCGTACGCGGCCAATCTCCAGATTAGTGTGCTGGCTCCAGGGGTGGCGCCAGAGGGGGGGCAGGGAGGGCTACAGCCCCTCCGTCGGGGAACTCTAGCCCCCCTGTCGGGGAAATTTTTACAATTCGTCGGGGAATGAATGACAAATATAATTTGAATTTCGAAAATAAAAAGGTATAAACGGCTAAACCTATGTTTGTTTCGACAATTGGATGAAATGTTGACAGGTTTATATGTATTATTAAATCAAGCTTTGGGCCATCTGGCTGCCGTATTTTTCCGCGTTTTGGCATAGGGTCAAGAAACTAACGGGAGATCAAATTGCACCGCGAGCATGCAGTGACAGCATTCTATTACAGTATGTCAAAGGCCATGCTATATAGACCTGTATACAGGTTTGTAAAGTTCTAAAAAATATAGCGCCATGGCGAACAACTTGTGACTTGTAAGATATGTCAAAGGCCAATCGCTTTAACGTGCGCTGTACTCTTTGTAACGAAGTGTTTCAAAACGATTATATTGCGAGGCATACAAAGTCGAAACACAAAAACTTACACAATTCTGGTCGCAATGCGCCTACAGCAGTTGTTATTGAAGACGCGCAGAGACGCCAGAGGACGATGGATTCATTTATTAGTTCCTGCAGCCCCAGAGTTAGTATGAAACTCATACTAACTGTCCTGACGAAGGCACTCAGGTCGAAACGTCGAGAAGTGTTTTGTCTATTTTAGGCAGTTGTTATACCACATTTGATGCCAAATTTTTTAATATTCAATATAAATTTTTCATCAAAAACGTGCATGGACAATTTTACGTTTTGATAGCAACTAGGAGTCTAGCTTCAAGCCCCCCTGTCGGGGACCTTAGCCCCAGTGTCGGGGAATTCTTGGCGCCACCCCTGGCTGGCTCGCTGCGCTCGCCAGCAACGAATACGCACAGCAAAATCATCTGGAGCCAGAGGAGTGGAGCATCCAAGTTTCGAATCAAAGATTTTGAAACTCGCATGCATCAAATTGCATAAAATATTGACAGATTGCTGAATATATATTTTTACCAACCTGTGCGGTATCGATTTAAATGAGTTTTTGAGTATTAGTCTCAGCGCGTAAGTTTAAAAAAGTACTTTAGAAGCAATTCAAAACATGTAAGTTTGGACAAAAAAAACTGTGGATGTACCTAAACAACTATGGAGTAGTGTCCCTATGTTTACGATTGCGCATTTAATGCAACATTTGATGCGTCAACTATAAAATTGAATGAAGATTTATATTTACTACATTCACTGATTTGAATCAGGTTTTAACCCGAACATACGTTGATTATAATAGAAAACTAAATGTAAATAATTAAGCAGCAAATATATATTATTTGGCCTACAAGATTATATATAAGCTCCTTGCCGTCGAATATAATGTTCAATCAACTATAAGTGTCAGTCTTTTTAAATTCACTACAATGAACAGAATAATTGTTCAAATTAAATGGACTTAAATTCCAAAAAATATCACGCTAACTCATAAGTTAAAATCACCAGGCACCAACAAAAGATCAATCTCTGAAGTCCTCCAAGGTTTCGCAATATTTTGATCCATCCTACGGTGCTAATTAAAAAAAAAGAAATGTAATGTTGTAAAATGTGAAACCACATGAGCTGCATTGGTAATTTTTATCCGTTTTTTCGCTTGTACTGACAGTACATACAGATACGGTGAAATTCGCCAGGCTCTGTATTTTACCAATCTGCTACCAGACTTTTTGAGATGAACCAGACTTTTTCAGACACATATTGTTTTTGAAAGAGCAGTTGTATCAAATCCGTTTAGCTTAAACCGTGGATAAGTGAAAATTAATAACTTGATTAAGAAATTGAATGAGTCAACTTGAATATTATGCACTGAATATGTAGTTGTATAAACAGTAACTTTGTGGTTAAAAACATTTAATTTTCTTGTTGAATAAAACGATAGACTTGCTTTCTATTTTAAGCTTATCAACCGTTTAAGCTAAACGGGCTTGATACAACCGCCCTCAGAACAATATAATAAAATAATATTTATTGAAATGTGAATGTTTTTCAATATATATTATCAAAGTGTTCTTTTAAAAAGGCTCTTTTAAAAACAATTTGTTGGCAGTAAACTTCGTATTGCAAATTTTCAGTAAGATAGATCAGCCAATATCTTTACCGGTGACAGTGAGAAGATGCAACGACATTTCCTCCTTGCTTGTTGGTTCCAAATTAACGACTGGTTGTCCATTGATGTGAACCGCCTCTTCCGTTTCAGCATTGACTGCACTGAGGGAAAACGTGTTTTTTCCCTTGACTACTTCGCTTTTCAGCATTGTGCCACCTTTCTTAAGATTGAAATTATTCAGCTGACCGGACACATCTGTCGTAACGAGTACATCACTATTATATTCATTCACCATCAAAAACACAAGAAAATAGTCTTTTTCAACTACAAAATAACAAAGGATATCGTGATTATGGAAGTAAATACTAGAGTGAACGGTTGATAGCCTTGTAGGACTATTTCACCGACGCATTTTTTTAATCGCATATAATCGATTTCACCATCGTCACATATACCTAAGTCTCACCAACATTCCTCATGCACAGATCACAAAAGCTTTCATGCGGAAAACCGTTTGGTGTTAATATTATGACAAAGTGAGTTGAGGAAAATAAGAAATAAGGTGCTAGGCCCAAGAGGTCTTGGAACTAGGCTGGCTTTCTCGACGCTCGGTGATGGGTCAATCATAGTTTTTTTAGTCCTATTTTTTTGATATTGCATAACCTGGCCAAAAAATCACACTTAATTCTTTAGTCTCATCGAGTTCTAAAAGACTACCAAATGGTTTTCCGTGCAGAATTGCGTGATCCATGCACGAGGAATGTTGCGAGACTTTTGGACCGAAAGTCGAGCAACATCCCGAGTGCATGATCACGCTATTCTGCACGAAAAAAACATTTGGTAATTGTTTTACGAAATAACTACAGTGAAACAACGATATCTTGAGAATCCCGCGAAAATCCCGCGAGTGCTTTTAAATTCCTCGTGCAGGATGGCCTGATCCTGCACGGCTGTTAACCAATGAAATTGCGTTATTATGTAACAATTGTTACCATAGCTATACCTTTTCTTTTTTTGCATTCTACTCCGGCGTCTTCAAAATGAGTGCAATCGTGAATTCCCCAACCTCGAGAAGGGCAATTTGTTAAATTTTGCTCCATCCCTGTACAATCGACGTTATCCAACCAAATAGGTCCAGTGCCCGAAGGAACCTGACTCCCTTGAAGGGATCTGACAGCATCTGGATAACCAAGTTCCCGGCATACGACCCTGGCGTCTTCTACATCCCAATCATCATCACAGATTGTTCCCCAACGTCCATTGTGAAGCACTTCGACGCGACCTTTACCACTGCCACTCAACGGTCCTTGTAACCTCAACGACCCAGATTTACCTGGAATAACTGAGAGGAATATCGGGGAGTATAAGATGGTTGATTCAACTCGCAGCAAGAAGTCACATCAGTGAATAAGTCGAATCAGTGAATAAAATGTTACAAAGCAATAAAAGAATCGAAAAGAATGGAACGAAAAAATGGATGATATATGATCAGAGGTAAATGGAAAGAGGAAAACAGTGTGAACAACATGAACGGGAAATTGATTTCAAGAAAAAAGATATTTTCTAAGCCCCGCATTTTACTCGCTTGGGTGTTTCGTGCAGATACCAACGTAGACAAACATTAGAGGTACCAAATGCAATATTTTCGTCGCAATTTTATCATTTTGATAAACAAGAGATTGTATTAATTCAAAGGCAAAGACATGGGCGCAGCGAATGAGTTCGGACTTCGGACGGTTATACGGTTAAACACAATTCGACCAACCTCTTATCGTTGAGGATTATGTGAATATTCTAGTGTCACATCCCTTCGCAATCCCTCCCCCTGGTCACCACGCCCTTAGGCAAGTTCGATCAATGCAAAAGTGACGTTTTTAGGCCGAAATGGGAACACGTACATTATTGAAAAAACAATAATGGGCCATCTGAAATAAGGAAGTATTTTTACCTGTAGAACTGCATTCCACACCGGCGTCCTCGGAATGGTCGCAATCACTATTTCCCCAACCATCATGAAAACAACTCGATATATTTTGTTCCTTGCCGGTACAACGCACGTCGTCTAACCATATATCTCCAGAACCAGAAGGAACCTGGTCACCTTTAAGAGCAGAAACCGCAAATAGGTAGCCAAGTTGACGACACACAACCTTGGCGTCTTTTATGTCCCATCCATCATCGCAAATTGTTCCCCATCGTCCACTGTGGTATACTTCAACACGACCTTTTCCGTCCGCACTCGACGGTCCTTGTAACCTGACCGTTTTTCTATGATCTGCAGATAGTTTAAGACATTGTCTGAGTATGACTATCGTTATATATTTGAAATGATAGAAGCTATGATAAAGGCGTTTATTTGTGTAAGAACACGTCCCGTAAACAATGCGCAGAAATTCTGGAATTCTATCGGAAATTTTGAGTGTTACGAGTCACGCGAGTCCACTGCGCGAGTCATGCTGTTGTGTGACGTCATGTATACTTGACGTAGATTATGCATATCCAAGATGGCGACAAGCGTAAATATTATTATTTGCCCACCAATATCTTAAAAGTAAACAAGATAATGATGGATTTGTAACTCTTCTTAAAGTTGAGTTTAAGTCGGTAATATCAACAAACGCTTTGTTTACATATTGAATTGCTATATCTCTTAAAATTAATATCCTGTCCACCGTCCAGTCGGAATATTTATTACAAGTTCAGTTACTAAGAGATCGAGTTTGTGTTTAAAGAAATTCAAAACATGCCAAATTTGGGCAATTTTTGAATCATGGAGTCCCCCCATGTTATGAGCAGAACCGATGTGCAGAAGCCGTTGTAACCCCTTGTTAAGGTTCAGTTTCCCATAATGGGATAGAATTTTATTTTCATTTCCCTTTAATAAGCTTAAACATTTTTTAATAAGCTTCAACATTGACGTGTGCTTTAAAATAAAGTCTAAAATGACTAAATATGGCTGTTCGAGTCAGACGAGTCTCACTAATGCGGATGAACTCTGAACTGGAACGATAACTGAAGGCTTTTTCGCCGCCGTATTTTTGCCTTTAGAAGATATCCTTCAACTAAGATTCGAATTGCTTTAAGGTCAGATCTGATTACATGAATATGCCCCCCCCCCCTTCCTAATAAACCTGCGTACGGGTTTTAAACTGATTTTGAATTTAGGTAACCAGAACGAGAGAACTAGCTGGCTGTGTAAAACTGTGTAATCATACTACCGCTCGTGATACAAAAGTATACAAAATTTGTCATAGCTATACATTCCGTAGTTTTATTTATAACATTTCGCAGTTGTACTAACTGAGTAGTATATATACTCTTTTCTGGATATTTCCCTCTTTTAGCCAAGATAAAGGCCTGCACTTTAACCGGATCGTATAGCAATCCGTAGCGTATTCCGTTGTCTCGAAGTCATTAGTTCTATGTCAGGAATGTGCCCAGAAAAGAATGATATACGCTACGTGTCGCTAAGATACGGAGTGGCTATTATATGGAATGCATCGCAAACAGCCCGCGGAGCCCAACAGACGTGCATATTCATATATTCATGCATGTTTACATGCGGCGTAGGAGCGGGACATGTCGCAGCTCTCGGAAGCTTTCTAAGCTTTGCTCTATGCTTTCTAAAGAACGAAGCTATGCATATTGGTTGAAACCGAAATGTATTGTAAAGTTCAGCCAATGAAAATCATTCTTGCGAGGAGCTGCGACACTATATCCACAGGAACAAAAGCTTTCTAAAGAAATCAGTCGGGCATTAGACGAATATATGAAGATAAGCTTTCCATTATTAAGCTTGTCGCTACGGCCCTGGATAAAGTTAGTTCCCTGCATGCAATTAAAAACATGCTTTTTTGTTGGATTAAGGAATGTGAATGCGTTTTAAAGGATAACTTTTTGCCGTCTCAAAGTCTAGAAAACTTTTTTTACCCATTACCATCAACTGCTTATGCAAGAGAGGCTTGTTTTTCGTATATACACATTACTAACTAATTTTCTCACGAAGTATAGCATGCATGCAAGCTTGAAATATAGAATTTATTTACCTCATTTAGTTACACATAAGAGAGGATTGATGAGTAGATTCGGTAATTATCGAATGCTGAGAGGTATTTAACCACCCATGTTCATGCACAAAAACCCCGATTTTTTCCCTTGGTTTCAATATTTTCAGCCCAAAACGTCCCACTCCCAGACGGTTAGTTTATACATGCCAATGATGCCAAGAATTGCATGCTTGCATTTAAAAGCAAGTTTTTTGAATGAAACAATTTTGGTAGTGAGTGACGAAAAACACTTCGGAGAACGTACATTCGAAATTGGTGAAAGGCGAGACTTAAGCCTGGATTACGACAAAATTACAACAAAATGGTTGTCGTTATTCTCGTGAACAAATCTTTCTCGCGCCGATGAGAAATAATCCGTATGTAAATTTTTTATTAATCTCTGTATTCAAATCTGTGGAATCGGTCAATGTTGACGGAACAAACATAGAAATATTCTATTACATCAGCCACACGACACTTACGATTAAACGGAAACCAACCATTAGTGTAGGTAATGCATGGGATGGTGCCAAACATGACTTTGAAGGGATACTTTTTGGAATGGGGACACCCAGACCCTCTCCATAATTGTTTGTTGCTTGTGAGGATTTTTTCTCTCGTAGTGGGAGTGTTGATACAGTACTTAAATTCAATACCTCCAAAACCAATTGGTATGTTATCTAGCATATTTTAGGTTGATTTATTATCAAGCTTTTTGCGTGTTGATTCAACCATGCAAGATGCTATTCGTGACGATTATTTCAGTCAAGCGAGATGTTGAGTGAGCATTCCCGTAAACGGGAAGTGAACATTTTTTTTGGATAAATTAATCGACTTTTTTTAAAGGGTCGATAAAATATTTTACCAATACTTTCAGCAAACTGCAATAATATTTTTCCTCTCGAAATATTAACTTTCGCTCCGTGCCGTGTTCCACTTCCACAACCATCCTCAACGGCTCAACCTTTTTACTAAACTTCAAATTTCCCGTAGGAAAGGCGAGCTCAAAAAAGCTTGAACCTGCACTCTGAAATGAACTTCTTTTTTACGAGAGTTTGCGAATATCCATGCAAACCTCATCTAATTTGGAATGATATAAACCGAAAGGTCAACCTCTTGACTTTTTCTAATTCCATCCGCATTATTCACACTTGCGTGTATCTAATTTCGAACAACTATCTCGATAAGTGACATGCTGATAAATATATGCTGACATTTTGTCATTGATTAAATAGATTTGAATGCACGTCCAAAGGCTGGTTTTCATATAATACATTATAACATTAGCGATGACTATCTTGTTGGTGCTCATTGATGCAAAAAACTGATCTGTATTTCGCAAGAAGTTATAATCAACATTGCCGTTGAATTACGACATATGAAAAACAGGATTAATACACTATACGTGTGTCTTATTTCAATCTTTAGTAATCCGCCATATCGTTCCCTTTTCTTTCCATCACTCGTTTATTTATTAGTTCGAACTTCGAATGCTGTAACTATTTTTCGTAAGGTTCAAATATCCACCGAGTAATAGCACTTCTCTGTGCCTATGATATTTTAAACGGCACGAAGATGTTGTAATGCATACCTAAGCAATAAAATTAATTTTTAAAATGTCTGGCATTACACTCATAACTGCTTTTGCTTTAATTAATTAATGTTAATTGTTAAATTTTTCTCCTTGCACGTCAATCGCTACTATTGTCAATCTTGGGCTTGTAACAATCGCATTGGGAAGAATAAAGGCTATATTACACGCACGCAATTGCCTGTTTTTAGAAGATCGATAGCAAATAAGGCAAACGAGGAACCATATAGTCGGTTAAAATATGTTTCCTAATAGTGTTTCCTAATAAATTTTGGAAATTCATACCAACGCTTCAACACCTTGAAATTAAGAAAAAGGACATCGTTTTATATATACCCCGCTGTAAATGATATCGATATGCGAATTTGCAGGATTCTCTTTTATTCAGCGTGAGTTTCATTCTTTGGTAGGAATTAACAGAGGAATTTTGAGATGTCTAGGGATTTCTTACACAAGGTTTGGGAGATTTTTTTAAGTGTTTATAGTCCGTTAAAACGGGCGATTTATGCGATCAAATAGGTCGGAGTTGCCACTGATCTATTTCAAAAATGGTGACTAATGCTCATATATCACAGCGAGCATGGTTATGCCCAGGGTTATACAATCATTAGTGTCGCGTTGCTATTTTACCTTATTTATTTAGTGAATATTCGCACAGCGCCGTTGTGATCATATGACCTTTGCTGCCAATAGTTATAGTCTCATGGAGTCTTTCGGAACGATTCCCAGTCTAAGTTGATTGTAGCTAGTTTTTGATTGTAGTTTTTCGTGACCAATTCAATGAGCTCAATGTATTTTAAGTGTAGAATAAATATATTAAACTCACCTTCGCACAGACACGACACAAGAAACAGGCACACGAGCGCGGAAATTATTAGGAAATTGCTTGCCATCTTGTCAAAATTAACTCGTCTCGAAGACCAGCCAAAAAGCGTCAAGTGATCGGAGCGTTTCAATCAGCTCTGTCCTACACTAGCCAACATGCACACGCGTGCATCGATAATGAACAACGGGTACAGAAATGATATACGTGTGAATGTAATTAATTAAGGATGGAACACAATAGAACAGTGACACGGCGGAAGTCGCGCGAGGTAAACACAAAGATAAAAGAAGTGGGCACTAGATTGCCGGAAAAAAAGTGGGAAAAATCGCTTGCATTGAGACAAAGATAACATTTCACAGACAATCAGTGAACGGTCCCGGCAATTCAAAAACCGGAAAAATTTCGAATCTCGAAAAAAAAATATTTAGAGCAAATTTATTTTTTGACTCATGTATACTTCTCATCGACTGCCCTGTATACCATACCCTGTTTGATGGCATAAAGTATTTCTGAAATACGTACAATACCCTCACCTTTTTCAAAATTGGGAAAATTTTGAATGTTGTAAAATACGTATACAAATGTAGAGGAATCTGAAATAAGAATATTAAAGCAACCAACTAAACCAAGCACAGCATTTTTTCAGACCAAAGCGGATTCGGGAATATGATTAAAACGATTAATCCGTGCTGCTTCGTCAGAACTATATTTATGCAAAACTAACCCCCCGCAATGCCAAAGCAGCACTTAATTGGTTATTTTCCCGTGTCGCGTTTTTTTGTTTGTACGTCAAAGTTCAACATTTTTTGTACACAATAAAGCGACTTGACGCACGCGGAACGACAATTGGGTTGTCATCGAAAAGCAATAGTTTTTGGCGACAATTAAGGCACTTTTTGGCATCTCACAAGCGTGCAGAAGTAGCTGATAACTCATAAACTTTGCGTTGTACTTTTCCTTGTTTTTTCCTGATTATTTTTTCCTAAAATAAGTTCCCTTGTATAAAAAATGCAATTCACGATAATAAATAAAATTGCGGCGGAATTTTCGTCAAAGCCAACATCACCTGTTTAAATGATCTAGCTCAGTGAAAATTTGCGCAAAGCGTTTTACTTTTTTTCGTCCGGCTCTTTGCCTGTAACTCAATCGTTTTAAAATATGATGTGTACGGACGTGATATAACGTGATATAGTTAAAAAACATGCAATAATATTCTTGCACGTTTACATGGTGACATCAAATGGTTACCGGACCGAAAGCTTTGCTGTATTAAATACTTTTGCATGGGGTGTAACTAGAAGCAAATTTACTTAGTATACAGCCTTAAGACAGTTTCCCTTCATTTTCAAGGCATAAAAGCCACAATGTAAATAGACATTTGACCCTTCGCCAGCCGGTTCAACTAGTGAATAGAACGTATAACTGCATGCATGCAGGGACGTCACATCACGCCACGTGTAACACCCCCTTACTGCGATTGTTTAAACTAAATTCAAAAATCTCGGTCTCGTAAAATGATGAAACCACGTCAGTTAATGGTTAACCAGGATAGCTACGTATCAATTTTGAACAGGACGATACTTTAAGAGTGCATACACTATTTTTTCGTTTGAAAAATAGTTATAAAAACCTAAAACTGAGCATTTTAAAAAATTGACGCTGTAGCACCAAGCTGTAACAGATATTAGTACAATGTCTTTGTCCATGCAGCAATGAAGAAAATGATGATATCACAAAATATCTACCATAGGTAGCTATTGTAAAATGAGAATACTCCATATTTAATTGCAATTTTTTAATTTACGTATAGTTAAATCACAATTTTTTCTAATGAATTTTATAGCTCCAAGTTGAGACATTGAAATCAGCATAAAAAATACGAAGTAAATTAATCTAGCCAAAAAGTATCGTTTGCAGGTGTTTTAAATTTTAATCTATAATTGTAAGTATAAGTACAATTCAGTACTTTCGTATAATTAGTTCAATTTAATTTAGCACAATTTCTAATAATAGTAAGTACAATTTATCTCGCCTGAGAACTACAATGAGAAAATCATTACCAATAATTAAATGTAATTTAACTGAGTCTTCATCTTCGACAATTAGGAGTTTACGGAACACTTCGTTCCATAGATTTCGGTGCTAGTTAAAAAGTAAGAGTTGTAATTAGTTGGGGAATTTCAATATCTTTAGGAGCGAATAGACATATATAGCAAAATGGTTGTCACAGATGCAGTCGAACTAGCAAGAGTCCTTTAAATTATACGTCTTTGATGGCGGTATTCAAAATGGCGGTATTCAAAATCAATGATTTTAAAATTTTTAATGACTTTATACTGATTGGGGAAGACATTAAGTACTGTAAACAAACGCTTTGTTTACATTTGGAATTGCTATTTAAATTCACATAAGATCATATTTTCCACATAAAGTCATATATTTGTTGCAATTTTTGTTTGCAATACAAGCCAGAGATATCATAAAATAAGGCCAATAAGAAGTTATTGTTATATAGGTGCTTTGTATTTTAAATGTGATTGGTTCATTCGTAGTCACATGACTGTAAACAAATGCAATGTTTCCCGCCAGGGAAACAAGTGAAAAATTGTTGCCCGCTTCTTGTCATAACAAAGTAAAATGGGTTTCGATTTTAAATGAAATTGTTGTGTGACATGTATGTTTTCGTTCCTATATAACAAAACACTTAATGTACACTACCTCGGGAAATAGTGAGTTTTGTTTTCTTGAAAACAAAACTCACTATTTCCCTCGGGAGCATATATTAAGTGTATATTATCTCGAATACTCAACGGGGAAGAAACGCAAAAAACGACAAACCCGTAGGATCGTACCTTGGATGAGGAGAACGTTCAACGAAACCTTTTTCTTAATAGCCGGTTTCAGATACACAACAGATTGGCCATTGATGTGAACCTTTCGGTTCGTACCAGCATCGACTGCACTTATTGCCAACAAATTTGTTGTCTTCCATTTTTTACTTTTCACCACTGTTTTTGTCGGTTCGATTCTGAAATATTCTTGCTGATGGGAGTTATCTGTAGAGACGTGTACACCACCATGATGTTCGTTTACCAGTAAAAACACGGTAAAGAAATCGACTGCAAAGTGAAAAAGAAAATTGCGATCAATCAAGGTTCCTCGCACTCAATACTAATATTAATTTATCATGAATTATTTCAAAATCCAAGATGGCGACCACCTAATACAAATTGCCACCTAATACAAGCATCTAATACCACCTAATCTAATACCATCTAATACCACCTAATACCACCTAATACAAGCATCAAAACTGTTTTAACAAAAGGCACTCGCTATTTATACGTAGGTGTCTCTGTGCCCCAAATGAGACCTTTGCCAGAAAGTTGCCGAAAATTTTCGGGCACACATGTATAATTGACCATAACAAGAAAGATGGCGGCTGTACATTTTACCAGAATACATTGCGGTCGGAAATCGTTTAAAAAAGCGAACTGACGCCTTTTAAAGGACAGGCATAAAACAGAAAGTTATTTACTTCGCTGTGTTAAAATTTTACGTCAGGAGTTTTTCTTGCCATCTTTTTTCAGTCAATCATTCTTAATTCCGCAATGCATTCTGGTAAAATGTACATGCCGCAATCTTTTTTCTTACGGTCAATTGAAAACATTAAAACTTATCAGTGGCAAATAAAGAGATCACGATTGACTCGTATTAACTGCGATGGCAGTTAGTATTAAAAAGTAATACAATATTTCCGTTTTATGATGAACAGTCAGTTCCCACCTCAGCATATTCCGTCGCTTTACCTGTTGTATTACATTCAACTCCGGCGCTTTCATCATGCACGCAGTCACTATTTCCCCATCCGGGATGAGCACAACCATTTATATTTTCTTCTCTTCCGGTACAAGCGACCTCCTCCAACCACACACTCCTAGAGCCTTGAGGTACATCGTACCAAGGAAGAGCTCTAACAGCATCTGGATAACCAAGTTGACGACAAGCTACCCTTGCGTCATTTATATCCCATCCATTTTCACAAATTGTTCCCCATTGTCCATCGTGGAGTACTTCAACACGACCAGTTCCATTTGCACTTTGTGGTCCCTGTAACCTGAGTGAACCAGGTCTACCTGGGGCGACTGAAAAAAACATCAGAGAGTTGAATAAAACCAGTGTAATTGGGTTTACCCATCGTTTCCTACGCACAAACGACCACCATTGAATTACAAAATCTGTCAAACTATCACGATCAAAGAACGATCTACGACAGGTTTTCATTCACGTCATTTGAACGAAGGGCAATTAATTCGTGTGCCCTGAGTTTGAAAACAGAGGTTCAATATCATACTCCACTTTCAAAATAAAAAGGCTTTCTCTGATAATGAATTATATTTGCAGATATCATAATTATGTGACCGGGATTCTCATGAAAATTTCATAGAAATTGTATTACTACATGTGATACCTGAAATACATTGTACTCCAGCGTTATTGTTATGTGAGCAGTGCAGTTCTCCACTCCCCCAATCAGAATAAGAACAATTAGCTAAATTTTCTTCCACTCCTGTGCATTCAACACGGTGTAGCCAAATCTGACCAGTGCCTGAAGATGTTTGGTCGCCTTTAAGAGCTTTCGCAGCGTCAAGATAACCAAGTTGACGACATACAACTCTAGCTTCGTTTATGTCCCATCCATTATCACAAATTGTTCCCCATTGTCCATTGTAGAACACTTCAACACGACCTTTCCCAGTTGCACTCGATGGTCCTCTTAATCTCAGTGTCACAGGCTTATCTACAAGAGCTGGAAACATCTGATTGTACAAGATTGGGAAAATGTGGAAATACATCCCGCAATTCTGATTCGTAACCCAAAAACTACTGTAACTAACAATCTTGAACAAAATTAGAAAACCTAGTTGAGAACTAGTCTTGCATTGATGCTAAATGCTTGTGCTTGCATTAATGCTTGTGGCAAAAAAATCATAGACAAATTGTTAAGTACACCTTGCATATATTTCATTCAAAATTTCAAACAGCATTGGATTTGTGAAAGGGAAAGGAAATCCTACGAAATTCAAAACAGTGATAAATCATGAATACGACATTCGATCTCAAAACGATCTTAGGAACCTTGCCTATGATGACAGTTTTCGATTTGGGATTAATGAGTTGACCAAACAAAAAAATTATAGCTAATTCTCCAACACTAATGAAACGTCGATCTGTCTATTAAAAGTTTTTGACAGTAGTGTCTTCGAATGGATACCTAAGGCTTATTTTATTATCTTTTTCGGTAGCTAACCTGTTGAACTACATTCCACTCCAACATCTTCTTCATGTGAGCAAGCATGGCCTCCCCAGCCACCGTGGGGACAAACTGAGATATTTTGTTCTGCTCCAACACAATTGACACGAGATAACCATATAGGTCCAGAACCCGAATGGACCTGCCAATAATGAAGAGATCTGACTGCATCGGGATATCCAAGTTGACGACAGGCAACCTTAGCATCCTTCATACTCCATTCATCACTACAGATTGTTCCCCATTGGCCATTGTAGAGAACTTCGACACGACCTTTTCCATTTGCACTCAGTGGTCCTTGCAACCTTAATGTTCTTGGTTTGCCTTTCCAAAATCAAGAAATGAAGAATATATGAATGTATAGAGTCTATCTGTAAATGCCGGACAGCGGAATATGCATCGGGAAATAGAAATACTACAGAGTTGGACGATATACGGGAAAGCAATCAACGTGTTATTTCGTAACTGAAAACCAGGAATTCCAAATAATTACATGAAAAAAGAATGATTTAAGAAACAAAAGAACTGCTAAATATCTTCGGAAAAAGCGTGAAAATTATGCAGTAGAGATAAAACGTTGGAATAGATGACGAAGAGTCCTGTGATAATATACTGGAACGTGAAAGACTCATAGGTTATTTGGTTAATCCAGCTTACTAAAGGACATTATCTTCTCTTCAGCTTTACCTTCCCTTTTGCATACGACACCAGCGTTTTCTGAACTATCACAATTATGATTTCCCCACCCAAGATGATAACAGCGCTTTATATTTTCTTCATTCCCTGTGCAATCGACGTCGTCTAACCACATATCCGATGTCACAATGCCAGGAGGATTATGTCCTGTGAGTGCACTAACAGCATCTGGATAACCCAGTTGACGACATACAACCCTGGCGTCGTATACATCCCAGGAATCATCACAGATGGTACCCCAGGTTTTGTTGTAGAGTATTTCCACAAGACCAGTACCAGATTCGCTTAAGGGCCCTCTTAGCCTCACCGATATGTTTATTTCTGTGAAAAGTCAAAGGTTGATAACAGATTAGTATTAGAGCTACAGTACACTTAACATCTCACGTCATGCCGTGTAACAACTGTCTCGGGAACAAATCGAAAAAATTGCGGGTTCGTGGGAAAGAGACGTGAAAACGTTTTGCAACTGCAGGTAACCTGTCTCATCAGAGTCTGGAGCGGTATGCATGATCCTACGTATACATTCTTCAAAAAAGTCTCCAATTGAAACCTTTAACAGAAAAACTTGCTAATCTGGCAAATTCAAGTAAGTCCTTCATTATACAATTCCCCTTGCATTAATGCACATAGTAGCGATAACAAATGAACCCAACACCCTAGTTTAGATGTTTGAAAAGACAATATATGTATTACGTCATGTATAGCTACATTCATTTAAAAACGTTTATTATTACCTACTGAAGAACATTCTACACCAGCGTCTTCCGAATGCCCGCAATCTGTATTCCCCCATCCGGGATTGGAACAACTTGCAATATCTTGTTCTTCTCCACTACAATTGACTTCATCTAGCCATATAGGTTGTCCATAACCAGAAGGAACCTCACGCCCGGGAAGTGCTCGAACAGCATCTGTATAACCAAGCTGACGACACGCAACCTGAGCATCTTCGATATCCCAGTTATCATCACAGATTGTTCCCCATTGTTCATTGTGATAGACTTCGATGCGACCATTACCAATGCTACTTGATGGCCCTTTTAATCTGATGGTCTTCATTGGGGAGGGATCTGTAAAACAATTTTTTTCGGTTTTTAGTCGAGGGTTTATCAAAACCTGACAAGCAATCAGAAGTTGTATAAAACTGGTGTTAACAATGATCCTCCGACACTCAGCAAACGAGTGCTCAATTTACTTTTCAAAACAGTATTATAAAATGGAACATACATACATACATATAAACCTTATGGAACAGAAAGTTATTTGAAAAAAAGTGCTGATACACAATTTTTGAAATTTTCTAAAAAAACTGTGCATCTAGAGTTTTCATGAATGCCGATGGTGAATGGGATTTTATACAAAGAATACAGTACATGGTTCAGGCCTTGTGATCAATGATGTATTGAAAAGCAAGAGTGGAAATACAGCCCATACTTCGTCACACTGCATGCATGTTATCTTGGTGTAAAAATTTTGTATAAAACGCACCACAGATGTATCTATAAATGATACTGAAATGCAGCATAATAGCAAAATCCTTATCAAGCATATTTACCACTTGTACTACATTCCACTCCAGCGTCTTCGGAATGAGAGCAATCATGATCTCCCCATTCCCGATGAGGACAACTTGTTAATTGTTCTTCCTTGCCACTACAAATGACGTTCTCTAACCATATAGGGCCAAAACCGGAAGGAACTTGGGACCCTTGAAGAGCTCTGACTGTACTCTGGTAACCAAGTTGACGACATGCAACCCTAGCATCTTCTATATCCCATTCGTCATCACAGATTGTTCCCCATTGTCCATTATGAAATACTTCAATACGACCTGTTCCATTTGCACTCAATGGGCCTTGCAACCTAATTGATCCATACGTTGATGAATCTTGAAAGAATGACAAGGACATTAAGACGGAGAAGGAACTCTAATCATCTTCTTAAATGGTTCAATTAGAAGTTATAGGATTGAAAAAAAGATCTGATCAAATATTCTTAGATCTCATACTGAATTCCTCTATATTTTTACCTGTCGTGCTACATTCAACTCCAGCGTCTTCCGAATGGTCGCAATCATGAAATCCCAAAGCATTATAAGAACAATTTGCTATATTTTGTTCTTCCCCAGTACATTCAACATCATCTAACCAAATAGGTCCAGAACCAGGCGAAACCTGGCCTCCTCGAAGACTCCTTACGGCACCTGGATAACCAAGATGACGACATACAACCCTAGCATCATTCATATCCCAAGAATCATCACAGATTGTCCCCCATTCCGAATTGTATAACACTTCAACGCGACCAATACCATTCACACTCGATGGTCCTTCTAACCTTAGTGATAAAACATTACCTACAAAAAGTTGAGGGAATAGTGTAATTTCTAAATTGTAGTTGGGAGATTAAATTATCAACTAGCTATTACATATCCTTTATACAATAATTATTTATTTACATCGTTCTGTTTTACCTGCTGTTTTACACTCTACTCCAGCATTGTCAGCATGGCTGCAATCGTGATTTCCCCAACCGGGATGAAAGCATGTTGTTATATTTTGTTCTTCCCCACTACATTCAAGCTCATCTAACCATATAGGTCCGGAACCAGGAGGAACCTGACCAAGTGTTCTAAATGCATCCGTATAGCCAAGTTGACGACATACAACCCTAGCATCATTCAAATCCCAACCATTACCACAAATTGTTCCCCATTGTCCGTTGAAGAATACTTCAACACGACCTTTTCCAAGTTCACTCGAAGGACCTTGTAACCTGATTGCCACAGGAGGTATATCTAAACATATGTTATAACAGTATTTAGTTAATTTTTCTGAAGATGAAGTCAAAAACTTACAATATGTGTTTTCCACATTTAAATTATTTCTCTATAAGAATTATAATCCTCATATTTATCCGCGTTCGTTTTGTTACATTGGAATATACGAGGTTAACAATCTCAGCTACACTTAAGCAACACTTAATTGTTAAGGAAAAGCCCTGAAGTAATCGAAAGAGCGAATGAGGAAGTATTTCTCATGACATATATTTTTGATAAAAGCCATGCAAAATCAAAATTTGCTTCATCTTCTTTGTATAAGGATTTCATATAGATTAATACGTGATCAATTTTTAGCAGTTCCTCTACCTTCGTTACTGCACTCTACTCCAGCGTCTTTGGAATGTTCGCAACTTTGTTTTCCCCATCCGGGATGCGAACAACTGGTGATATTTTGTTCTTCCCCAGTACACGAAACCTCTTGTAGCCATATACGCCCTGAACCAGAGGGAGCCTGGTCGCCTTGAAGAGGTCTGATGGCATTTCGATAACCAAGTTGTCGGCATACAACCTTTGCATCTTGTATGTCCCATCCAACATCACAAACTGTTCCCCATTCTCCAGCAAAGAATACTTCAACACGACCTGTTCCATTCTTACTCAACGGCCCTTGTAATCTCAGTTGCACAGGAGTATCTACAAGAACTTGAAAGCATATTCAAACATATTGTTAAAAATGGTTGTTATTTTAAATGGTAGTTATTGTATAGTAAAAAAAAATGGTATAGTCCTGAGGCCAGTATAAAAGACTTGTTGACTCTTAACTGTAGTTAAGGGCAATCAGAGTCGTGTGATTTCTGAAGTATGAAAAATGTATGGTTAAAGAGTTTTATACAAACGGCCCCTGTAGCATAAAGCTGACTAAAAGAACCATATTGCAAGACAACCATATTGCAACTCTTGTTTTACCTGTTCTGCTACATTCAACTCCAGCGTCTTCGGAATGTGAACAGTCTTCATTTCCTAAACCATTACTAGGACATTCTGCTATATTTTCTTCTTCGCCAGTACAGGCGACGTTATCTAACCAAATACGCCCAGAACCAGATGGAACCTGGCTCCCATCAAGTTCCACGACTGCGTCTGCATAACCGAGTTGCCGACATGCAACTCTAGCGTCCTGCAAATCCCACCCATCATCACAGATTGTTCCCCATTGTCCGTTGTAGAGCACTTCAACACGACCAGTACCATTCGCACTTAGAGGTCCTTGTAACCGTAGTTGTAATTTCATGTCTGTTAAAACATAAAAAATGATCGTTTAATTTGGCGAAATTGACTAGATTAAAAAAAATACCAAGCGCTGTTCAACATATGAATGGCTAACAAGCCTTTACAGCATTATTTATCGATCTTTTTTGAGTTTAGAAACAAATTGCCCGCTGCAGTGTGATTTTTCACTTTTGGAAGGAACTGATTTGATTGAACTCTTTCATTGATTGCCGTTTTACGTACGTAATATAAATCAAGTTTTTTAAATGGACAATTTACAATGAAGATATAATATTATATCAAACACGAGTCTATTCCTTAAGCTTGTCGAATGAACTATCTATTGGGTGCAGTGGCGTAGCTAGAACGATCATTGGGGGGCGTATTCATACATTCGTGATACGCAGGATTAATTTCTTTTCAAATCAGTTGTCTTTACAGTCTGTTAACATGAATATCTATATGAATATGGCCCCCTCCCCCCAATTAACGATGCTGGCTACAACACCGATTGGAGGCTTGTTTACATGATCCCGCTTAGACGAGATTTAACGAAGCCCGCGAGGTGAATTTAAAGTGTTGGAATGAGAAATAACGTGATCCTGGTGGTAATGTAGACATCCCAACAATAGCATGTGTTTGCTTGGTTTCATAAAGACTTTGGGTAACCGGAATCATGTAAACAGGCCCTCAAAAACTGTTTTAGGTTACTGAGGTATAACAACGTTTAGCACGATGAGTTATTTGTGATAAGGAAAATTTTTGGGACACGCTATGTTTTTTTGTCGACTTACCCTCTGTAAAGCATAACACGCCAGCGTTTTCAGAAGAACTGCAATCACTAATTCCCCATCCCAGATGAGAACAACTTGTTAAATTTGGTTCTGTTCCAGTACACGAGACGTCATCTAACAGTATAGGTCCAGAACCAGTGGGAACCTGGTTGGCTTGTAGAGCCTTAAAGGCACCTGAATAACCGAGTTGGCGACATGCAACATTAGCGTCTTTTATATCCCATTTATCATCGCAGACTGTTCCCCATTGTCCGTTGTAGAATATTTCGATGCGACCATTCCCATTTTTACTCAGAGGTCCTTGCAATCTTAATGCGCCAGGCTCTGTCACATCTTAAAGGAATGACATGATTAAATCCTACATCGATTCTGATGAATTTGTGATAGTCAATGAGAGTCATTCTAAAGTTGAATACCTATCCACGACATCATAAAACGAGGTTTATCTAATCTGAATCATTCAATGAAATTTTTCAATTGAATCGATACTGTAGTGTAAATACCAAAAAGTCCTCCAAAAGGGATGGTTGGCTTCATGTTTTTATCAAATCAAATATACCTGCTGTTTTGCATTCCACACCAGCGTCCTCCGCATGCGCGCAATCCTGATTGCCCCAACCTCCATGAGAACAGCTTGATATATTAAATTCTGTTCCAGTACAACTGACGTCGTCCAACCATATAGGCCCAGAACCAGAAGGAACCTTGTCTTCCGAAAGCGATTTAACAGCATCTGAATAACCAAGCTGACGACAAGCAACCCTGGCATCATTTATATCCCATTCATCATCGCAGATTGTTCCCCATTGTCCATTGTAGAAAACTTCAACACGACCTCTACCATTTGCACTCGATGGCCCTTGTAACCTCAATGATCCATCTTTATCTGAAATAGCTTGGAGGTAAATCGGCGAATATCAGTTAACCAATACGACTCATATCAATATAACAGCCGATTTTATAAATGAGGAGGTATATAGTATAAAACTAGTCTTGTCCCTAACTACAAATGAGTTGAACAATTTTTAGGTGCCAAAACTTTTTCTGAATAATGAATGATATTGTTATCTTATGTTACTATACGTGACGAAGTACTATACAAGTTTATAGCGATCTACACCTTTTGTAATGCATTCAACACCAGCGTCTTCAGAATGGCTGCAATCGTGAATTCCCCATCCTTGATGAGAACAACTTGTTAAATTTCTTTCTATTTCAGTACACGAGACTTCATCCAACAGTATTGGTCCAGAACCAGATGGAACTCGGCCGCCCTGAAGAGCTTTAAGAGCATCTGAATAGCCAAGCTGGCGACATGCAACTCTAGCATCTTCAATATCCCATCTATCATCACAGATTGTGCCCCACTGGCCATTGTAGAATACTTCAACACGACCATTTCCGTATGCACTCGAAGGTCCTCGTAACCTAAGTAATCCATCCTTTGGACGAACTTAAAGGAACAAGACGAATGTTAAATTTATTAATCAATCATTTACCCCTATGCTGGTTATAATTTGCCTTGATTGCAAGTCTTTGCAGGAGTTTTAATATCTTTTTTTAATTTTAGCCATTTATCACGCTGAATGCCAAACAAAACGTCGGTGAAAAAACTGCAGAATTGTAATAAACCTTAACCAGCAAAACACTACGCAACTTTCAGGATGCTTTTTCCACAGTGACATAAAATGAGAAGAACAGAGAAATATTTACGTATCGACGAAGATTTATGCATTTGGATGCCAATCAGAATGTTTAAAAATCTAACTTTTATAGATAGTGTTCACTACGATTTAGCGGCAATTGTACTAACCTGTTGTACTACATTCTACTCCAGCGTCTTCAGAGTGTGAGCAACCAGTATTACCCCATCTAGCGTAGGAACAGCTTGTTAGATTTTGTTCTCTACCTGTACAGTTGACGTGAGCTAACCAAACAGGTCCAAAAGATCCTGGAGGAACCAAGCCCGCACCAAGAGATCTCACTGCATCTGGATAACCAAGTTGACGACATACAACTCTGGCATCTTTGATATCCCATCCATCATCACAAATTGTCCCCCATAGTCGATTATGAAATACTTCAACACGACCTGTTCCATTTGCACTTAATGGGCCTTGTAACCTAATTGATCCATACGTTGATGAATCTTAAAAGAATGACAAGAACATTAAAGACAGAAAAGAAACTCTAATCATCTTTTTAATTAAAGGTTTCAATTGGAAGTTATGAGGTTGAGAAAAAGCAAAAATATTTTAAACAGCTTCACCTTCTCTAAAACATTCCACACCAGCGTCTTCGGAATGACTGCAATCATGCACTCGCCATCCTCGATGAGAACAATTTGCTAAACTTTGTTCTGTTCCATCACACGAGACTTCGTCTAAAAATATGGGTCCAAAACCATATGGAACCTGACCGCCTTGGAGATATCTTAAAGCACCTGAATATCCAAGTTGGCGACATACAACCTTGGCGGCATTCATATCCCATCCATCATCGCAGATTGTTCCCCATTCTCCATTGTGGAATACCTCTACACGACCTATTCCACGTGCATTCCCAGGACCTTGTAATCTCAGTATCGCAGGCTTAGTAACAACTTGAAGGAATAAGATGATTTGATAAATTTTATCATTCAGTCATCATTGAAAAGTTTAGCAATCAATAGTTTATGTACATTTTACACAAGTGGGACAAAAAAGTGGTGAAATACAGGAAGAAGCTGAAGCAACCAAACATAAAACGGTTGTTTGAAATAAAGAAGCAACTGTTGGATTCTCATTCTCACAAATACGTTAAATATATGAGATTTCGGTGGGCGAAATTACCTGTTGCACTACATTCTACTCCGGCGTCTTTAGAGTGTAAGCAGTCATTATTTCCCCATCCATTGTGAGGACAACTTCTTATATCCTGTTCTTGGCCGGTGCAACGGACTTTAGATAACATAACAGGTCCAGTGCCAGGAAGAACCTCTCCCCCAGGAATAGATCTGACTGCAAACGCATACCCAAGTTGACGACATACAACAGTAGCATCTATTATATCCCATTCATCATCACAGATTGTCCCCCATTGTCCTCTGTAGAACACTTCAACGCGACCTGTTCCATTGGCACTCAATTGGCCTTGTAACCTCAGTGCTAACGATTGATCCCAACTATCTGAAATTGAACACATAGATATGGTATGCATTTAAGTACTGGGGAAAAAGAATCTGTTGTTTAGTTTCATACTGAATGTTCACCTGAAACAATCTACGTAACGCATTTGGAAATTTGCAGCTGTATAATTGCAATATTAATCATGAAAAATAATAATTATTATCAATATAATTAAAAATATTATTCCTTTCATCACTGGCCCCAAAACTATATTTCCATAGAGTTTCATCTCCAGCTTTACCTGTACTCCTACATATTACTCCGGCGTCTTCAGAATGTGAGCAATCTTGATTTCCCAAACCGTTGTGGTAACACATTGCTATATTTCGTTCTTCTCCAGTACAGGCGACTTCATCCAACCAAATAGGCCCAGAACCAGTTGGAACACCGCCCGCTTGGAGTTCTTTGACGGCATCTGAAAAACCAAGCTGACGGCACACAACCCCAGCATCATCAAATCCCCAGCCATCATCACAGATTGTGCCCCACTGTCCGTCATAAAACACTTCAACGCGACCAATACCAGTAGCATTTAGTGGCCCCTGCAACCTAATTGGTAGATTCGCGTCTGCAACTGAAAATGAAGGATTATCGTTAATTCGTTACATGAAATTATGTATTTTAAGTTCACATATTTCATACTATGCACGATTTGCTTCACACCAAAAACACATAAAATCAGAAAATTTGTTTATGTTTTCAGTAATCCAATCAGAACAATTTTGAAGAGAATTTTTTGGGGACTATTAAATGAGAGAAAGTCTAAAACTAAGAGCATTCTTGGTGAAGGAAAGAAGAAATTCGATTTCATTTGTAACATTTCAAGACTTTTCTGAGATAAACGGAAAGGCAGAAAAGTAGTTCTCAAGTTCTGGTCACTGAAACGATTTACTGGAATGTGTAAGCTAAGGAAAACAACTTTTTATCAGAATTGTTAACAACGTATTGGCTGATCATGAAGAACAACTCGCAATAATGCTGACCTACATAAATGAATTTCAGGGAACCTCAGGAAAAAAGAATTTGTGCGTTTAATATCTGTGTCAGAAAAACCTCTCATTCGAACGTTTTTGACGCTACATTGAAGTTGCTTAACCAATTTTGTTCCTCCTTGGAAGAATTCATCGAATAAGATTAAATGTATATAATGAAACTAATTGAAGCTATTGCGGAAAAAGTCTAGAACAGCAGGTTTGCGAAAGGTATCGGGTAAAGAACAACTTTTTAAAAGATAAATCACGAATTTCTCTCAACCAGGATCAAGAGATTTTTTGTGGATGCATTTGGTTACAAAAATCTTACTCGACTAGGGTTGGAAGCAATCACCATCCGAATGACCGAAAAAAAATACTCCGCCACTATTAAAATTTCAAGGTGCTTAAATAACGATGCTAACCTTCAGATTCTTTCAAGGGGCGCATATTTTGAATTTCTAAAATACCTGGATGTTACTGTTGTAATTTGTTTTGTCTGCAGTAAAGCTTAAAAATAACGGATTGAAATTAAGTCTTCTTACATTGCCATTCAAAAGTTTCTTCTGTTGCTTTACCTGTTCTACTACATTTTACTCCAACGTCTTTAGAATGTGAGCAATCGCTTACTCCTAAACCATTATGATAACACTTTGCTATATTTTGCTCTTCTCCAGTACAAGCGACGTTATCTAACCAAATACGCCCAGAACTAGATGGAACCTGCCACCTAGCAAGTTTTCCGGCTACAACCGGATAACCTAGTTGACGACACACAACCCTAGCGTCCTCTAAATCCCAATTATTATCGCAGATTGTCCCCCACTCTCCATTGTGAAATACTTCGACACGACCGGTGCCGTTGGCACTCAATGGCCCTTGTAATCTGACTGGTAAATTCGGGTCTGCAAGAATTAGAAAGTTTAAAAACATTTTGTCGTATAATTTGCGAGAAGAAATTATAGTACCTTTTCTTCAAATAGAGAGCCGTGTAAAATTCAAAATACAAATTCAATTGCATATGTTTCCCCCCATTTCTTGCAAATCATAGTTTCACAACCAAAAGGTCCCAAATACACAACGTCGGCACTTTACCTTCGGTTGTACACTTAACTCCAGCGTCATTGTAATGTTCACACTGCTGATTTCCCCATCCATTATGAGAGCAATTTGTTATATTTGGTTCTTCTCCAGAACAAGCGACATCAGATAACCATATTCGCCCAGTACCAAATGGAGCATCGCCTCGAAGTGCATTTAAGGCGTCTAAATAGCCAAGTTGGCGGCATACCACCCTGGCATCTCTGAAATCCCAACCACTATCACAAATTGTTCCCCATTCTCCATTGTACAGTACTTCAACACGACCTGTTCCATTTGCACTCGATGGCCCCTGTAACCTCAATGTCACAGGCTTATCTGCAAGAACTTTAAAGTATTTGCGGATATATCAGGTCAGCGATGGTATAGTTAACTATAAGCTAAGTTGATATCAATTAAAAATTAATGGTAATGGAGCTCAGTAGACAGTGGAAACTTCATATACAGAAAAATGCAAATCATTCTGCAGGTAGTGTGAACGGTTTACCGTGACGACAGATGGATTTGAACCGGTATTGTGCAGAAGAGGCAAAAGTGGAGCAGTTGTTTGAAAACTGCATTTTCAGAAATTCAAGTCATATATATGATTGCATATTAATGATATTATGGCATAGGAAGCCCAGAAAAATGAGTCGGCCATTTGACTATACAACTAGTGACGTAACTTACTATATATTATTGGGAAGGAAGAAAACTCTCGCCTCATTTTTCAACATATTCACAAATTAAAACACAAATTACTATAGTAAAACGGCACGTCGGCTGCTAAATGCCTACCGTAGGTTTAAGTTGAATAATCAAACTATACTTTCATAACAAAATTAATGCTGAATTCAAAGAAAAGCGCTGGAAAAACGTACACAAATTTTGTAAATTTGCCGAAATTTTCGTGAATACATGCGGGATGTAAGTACCTACCCAAAATGGCGGCGGCGGAATAATCTGATTGGTCGAGAAAGGTAAACAAAGAATGATCGACCAATTAGATTTTTCTGCCGGCCGCCATTTTGGGTAGGTACTTACATCCCGCATGTATTCACGATTCAGCAAATTTACAAAGTTTGTGTACGTTTTTCCAGCGCTTTCTTTTGAATTCAGCATTATTTTTACTATGAAAGTATAGTTTGATTATTCAACTTAAACCTACGGTGGGCATTTAGCAGCCGACGTGCCGTTTTACTATAGTAATTTGTGTTTTAATTTGTGAATATGTTGAAAAATGAGGCGAGAGTTTCCTTCCTTCCCAATAATATAGTAAGTTACGTCACTAGTTGTATAGTCAAATGGCCGACTCATTTGTCTGAGCTTCCTATGATTATGGTGAGCAAGAAGAGTCTCCGTAGTAAACAAGATTACACCGTAGCCAAATCTATTGTGAATCCTCGTTTGACCAGAATTTGGGTTCACTAAAACATCTCCCTATACCCTTTTACTACAAATCACCTTTAGTTATCCTCGAGGCCATTTGATTGTAAACAATTCCTTGCAAAAATAAAAAATACTATACCCCATTTTTAAGTTAATAGAACCTTTGTGTGACGTAGAAATATTTACCTGAGTAAAGGCTGATAAAGTCGAAATTTACCGGAATAAAAGGGAGCAAAAAAGAGGGATTCTTTTTGGCTGCCTCAATTACCTGTTGTACTGCATTCCACTCCAGCGTCTTGAGAATGCGAGCAGGCATTATTTCCCCAACCATTATGAGAACAACTTGTTAGATTTTGTTCCCGGCCAGAACAACTGACGTAACTTAACCAAATAACTCCAGAAGATCCCGAAGGTACGTCGCCTCCAGTAAGAGGCCTAAATGCATCCGGGTAGCCAAGTTGACGACATGCAACCCTGGCATCATTTATATCCCAACCAAGTTCACAAATTGTCCCCCATAGTCCCCTATGGAATATTTCAACACGGCCTGTTCCATTTGCACTTGATGGCCCTCGTAACCTCAGTGTTTGCGATTGATTACCAGTAACTTCAAAATCTGTAATAATAAAAGATATGTATGTATGTTGTAGCAATTAATTGATTTTGAAGGAGCTAGGGTATCAATTCTTTATAATACAGATTTCAACTTTAAAACATATCACTACGTAAAAATATTTTGAAATGTATCTTTCTTCAGAGAATGAACATAAGCTAGAGTATTTGTTCACGCGAAACATAGGGAATTATAAAGTGGCATAACCACATAGGCAACAATTTAGGATTACGGCCAACGGGGGCGAATTTTATGGAAGGATATATTCACCTTGGGATACTTAAATAGATAAATATGCACAGACTTTCACATCCACAGTGAAATGTATTTTAAATAGTTTAAAAGGCAAGTTTTAATGCGAAAGGCATGCATCATGCAAAGCATGTGTAAAAAATAATCAGGTAAAGAAGTACATTCATGATATCGCAATTTGGCAGAATAGTGATGTCCCCGTAAGGGAAGGGCAGCGGGGTGAGTTTTCCCATATTTCTGGCGCCTTCTCCCAACCAAAATGGTTACACCTAGTTAGATTTTGTTCCCGGCCAGAACAGCCAACGTAAGTTGACCAAATAATTGCAGAAGAGCCAGAAGGTACGTCGCTTCGAGTGATAAGCTGTGTGAAAGAAACGTGTATTATATAGTATGGGACATACCTTTTGTTTGACATTCTACCCCAGCATCCTCCGAATGCCCGCAATTTTCATTGCCCCATCCTGGGTGAGAGCAGCTTAATATATTTAGTTCTTCACCAAAACAACCAACGTCGTCTAACCATATAGGTCCAGTACCGGAAGGAACCTGATCTCCAGAAAGCGATCTAACAGCATCTGAATAACCAAGCTGACGACAAACAACCCTGGCATCATTTGTATCCCATTCATCATCGCAGATTGTTCCCCATTGTCCATTGTAAAATACCTCAACACGTCCTCTTCCAATTATACTCAATGGCCCTTGCAACCTCAATGTCCCATATTTATCTGAAAGATCTTAAAAGAATATCTCGAGCTTAAGTTCACCAACACGATTCATGACAGAGTCACTAATAGCGAATTTTTCATGAACGGTTAAATTACAACTGTTTTATTTCTCGCATAAGAATCTAGTTAAAACTGACTGTCGGTTTAACAAAAAGAGAGATGAAAATTGAATGGAATTGCAAAATAAAATCGTGAAATATAGGGCATTTACTCGCTGGAACTAAGAGTCAAGTATTAGAACTTGTGTCCCTTATGTAAACTGTTGCACACACTGTGTTATTCACGGGTTCTGGACACGGAATTACTTACAAAAAAATTCTCTCTCATAAGCTCTCTCAACCTGACGTCAATCAACTCACTTGCAAATCGCTCAAATCCTTGTAACTGGTTAACAAGAATGAACGTAGTCAAAATGGGTAAAAAAGTTTTTAACGTTTTAAAAAATCACTATCACACAAATAACCTTATCTATCTTTGGAACAACCGGGTCCAGGACAACAAGGTGATAAAATTATAGTAAAGTGCCCGAATAATACAGAGCCCGCGTAATGTTTGACAAATTCAGTTGCATATATTTTCCTCCATTTGCTGAAAATCATGGTTCAACATCCCAAATATTCAAAATTGCTACTTTACCTTCTGTTGTGCATTTAACTCCAGCGTCTTCGTAATGTTCACACTGCTGATTTCCCCACCCATTATGAGAGCAATTTGTTATATTTGGTTCTTCTCCAGTACAAACGACATAAGATAACCATATTCGCCCAGTACCAGGTGGAGCATCGCCTCGAAGAGCATTAACGGCGTCTGGATAGCCAAGTTGTCGGCATACCACCCTGGCATCGCTGAAATCCCAACCTTTATCACAAATTGTTCCCCATTCTCCATTGTACAGTACTTCAACACGACCTGTTCCATTTGCACTCGATGGTCCCTGTAACCTTAGTGTAACAGCCTTATCTGCAAGAACTGAAAAGCATTTGCGGATATATCAGCTCAACGATGGTATAGTTATAAACTAAGTTGATTCCAAGTAAAAATTCTGTAAGCCTGTAAGGTATACTGCAGCTAATTGGCCAAGCTGATAAAACTTCATATACGAAAAATTGCAAATCAGTCTACAGGTAATGTGAACAGTTCGGTAAACCCTTTTGAAAGATTTCAGAAATTCAAGTCATACATATCACCGCATATTCAAATGTGAAACGTGGCATTACCTTTTTTTTATTATAGTAATTATGGTGAGCAAGGAGATTCTCCGTAGTAAACAAGATTTCTTTATTATGCCCTTGCCAAATCTGTTGTGAATGCATGTTTGCCCGGAATTTTGATTAAACAAAACATGATCTCCCTTGTAACTTTTTACGTCAAACACCGCTTTAATTATACTGGAGGCCATCTGGCTCTCAAAAATTCCTCGCAATAGGTAAGATATAATATAATATTATACCCCATTTCTAAATTAATGGCACTTTTATTGACGTGTAGAGAAACATTTACTTAGAATTATTAGTATAGAGGAATTTTAATGCAGCAATTTTTTCGGTTGCTTTACCTGTTGTACTGCATTCTACTCCAGCGTCTTGAGAATGCGAGCAGTCAGTTATTCCCCAACCATTGTTAGAACAACTTGTTAGATTTTGTTCCCGGCCAGAACAACGAACGTAACTTAACCAAATAACTCCAGAAGATCCCGAAGGTACGTCGCCTCCAGTAAGAGGCCTAAATGCATCCGGGTAGCCAAGTTGACGACATGCAACCCTAGCATCATTTATACCCCAACCATGTTCACAAATTGTTCCCCATATTCCTTTGTGGAATAATTCAACACGGCCTGTTCCATTTGCACTGAATGGCCCTCGTAACCTCAGTGTTTGCGATTGATTACCAGTAACTTCAAAATTTGTAATAATAGATACATGAATTTATGTTGTAGCCATAAATTGAAATTGAAAGAGCTAGGGAATCAAATTTTTGTAATAAAGATTCCAACTTTGAATCGTTTCACTCATGATATCGCATTTGGAAGAAAAGGGCTGTCCCCTTCCGGAATAGGCAGCGGGGTAACTTCCCTATTGTTCCGGCGCCACCTCTGCCTAACCAAAATGGTTACACCTTGTTAGCTTTTGTTCCCGGCCAGAACAACCGACGTAAGCTAACCAAATAATTCCAGAAGAGCCGGAAGGTGTGTCGGTTCGAGTCATAAGCTGTGTGAAAGAAACTCGCTGCGCGTCATGTCATGTTAACAGGTTAATGTAAAGACAATCGAATTAAACCTGCGTAACATGAATATATGAACATCGACCCCTACTTATCGTTTTAGCTACAAGAATATGAATGTGTGTTACTACTTATGGGACTACGATACCTTTTGTTTGACATTCTACCCCAGCATCCTCCGAATGCCCGCAATTTTCATTGCCCCATCCTGGGTGAGAGCAGCTTGATATACTTAGTTCTTCACCAAAACAACCAACGTCGTCTAACCATGTAGGTCCAGTACCGGAAGGAACCTGCCCTCCAGAAAGCGATCTAACAGCATCTGAATAACCAAGTTGACGACAAACAACCCTGGCATCATTTGTATCCCATTCATCATCGCAGATTGTTCCCCATTGTCCATTGTAAAATACCTCAACACGTCCTCTTCCAATTATACTCAATGGCCCTTGCAACCTCAATGTCCCATGTTTATCTGAAAGATCTTAAAAGAATATCTCGAGCTTAAGTTCACCAACACGATTCATGACAGAGTCACTAATAGCGAATTTTTCATGAACGGTTAAATTACAGCTGTGTGAGTTATGGAGAAAGCAACGTTTTATTTCTTACATAAGTAAGTCGGTTTAACAAAAAAAGAGATGAAAATTAAATAGAGTTGCAAAATAAAATCGTAAAATATAGGATATTTACTTCCTGGAACTAAGAGTCAAGTATTAGAACTTTTGTCCCTTATGTAAACGGTTGCACACCGTGTTACTCACGAGTTCTGGACAATGTAATTACTAAAAAAAATAAAATATTCCCTCTCAAGCCTCACCTCACCAAGGCCTCTCAACCTCAGGTCAATCCTCTCGATTGCAAATCGATATCCTTTAAATCCTTATGATTGGTTTACAAAAATGAGAGTACCTGTAAACGCTTAAAGTCGATCCCTATACTCTATCTAAATATCTAAAAGAAGAGCTTTAATTTTTTCTTGTTTTGTGCTATGATTTATTATGCGTTATCCAACCTCTACAAATACTTTTGTATCTGGAGCTTTACCTGTTGTTAAGCACTGCACACCAGCGTCTTCAGAATGGCTGCAATCGTGAATTCCCCATCCTTGATGAGAACAATTTGCTAAAATTCTTTCTATTCCAGTACACGAGACTTCGTCCAACAAAATAGGTCCAGAACCAGATGTAACTCCGCCGCCCCGAAGAGCTTCACGAGCATCTGGATAGCCAAGTTGTCGACATGCAACCCTTGCATCCTCCAAACCCCACCCGTCATCACATATTGTCCCCCACTCTCCTTCGTAGAATACTTCAACACGACCAGTACCATTCGCACTCAAAGGACCTTGTAACCTGAGTGAACCAGGCTTGGGAAGAACTTAAAGGAATAAGATGGAAAATTTAATGTTCACTCACGATCAACTATAAAAAAAACTGTAAGAAACATTATGCCATGCATGAGAGGCAAGGTATGTCTGAAAGAGGGAAACAAAAGGAAAAAACAAAATTTTTGAACTCATTTGAAAGACTACAATTTTAATGCAATATAAAATTTACGAGAGATAATTCAACTCGGCTTTAAAATTTTCTTTTGAGCATGCTTTCAAAATTCGTTTTTCAAAATTCTCAGCAATCTACGCATATAAATTCGTCTAAATGCGTCTAGCCACAGCTTTACCTGTCGTATTACAAACTACTCCAGCGTCCTCCGAATGTTTGCAATTCTGGTTACCCCATCCGCGGTGAGAACAACTTGTTATAACTTGTTCTTCTCCCGTACATATGACGTCGTCTAACCAAA